GACTCTGGTACCTAGTCAGCACATGCACCGTCGACCAGCCGCCCGGAGTCACTCGAGGCCGAGACAAGAGCACCGTAAGCGCCAGGCGGCCGGGCTCTATTTTCAGCCCAGTGCGTCCAGTTATGTCGTGCTTGTTCTGGCTGGCACCGTCGCATTGTCAGCATCGTTCAAAAGATTCAACCGGCCAGCCCATGCACGTTACCATCCGCCCATGCACGTAAAAGTTGCTGACGCACAAAGTGCGCGTGTGTGTGTATACACGACTATTTCTGGGAACAAGTTCTGTTTCCGAAACCCAGACACGAGTCGCGCGCGCGCGCACGGGTGCCCAGCGCTAAGAAGGCACCCCCATGAAGGTTGTGATCTTCCACCCCGTCCTCTATCATGGGATCTTGGATCTGCCTCGCTCGCGGGTCGGCCACCGGAGGAACAAGCGTACGGGTCTGCCAAGGGCTGTGCTCTGTTTGAGGTTGGGTCAGGGTGATCGCCGTGGGTCCCTCGACGATTTTACCCCCGTTCATTGTTCTCGAGATGGGCTCGACCGGCCGTGCTTCCCAACTTTGTTCAAGTACAGTACAAGTACAAGTATTTGGACCCTCGTCACCGAGACCACAAACCCTGTGAAAGTCGACCCGGCCCTGGCTTTAGGCATGTATGCGAGGAGCTGTGCCTTGCTTCCGTATGCAACACCTGCATGTACCTAAGGGTTTAGCTCTCGCCAAATAAAGTACGCGACATGTGCAAATATGCCCTCTCCTCTGGCACGGGGAAACTAGTGGTTTTGTCATGGGGAACGGTACCTATTACCTCGTACTTGTAACTATTCGAACCTCAACGGGAGAGGAACAATCTCTCAAAATGTCTCTCTTGAATTTGATGGCTCCGGCATCCCCCCTCCTAATTCCCCGGCCCAGAAATGGCAGCGGGGAGCAAGGATGACAAGCTTCAGGGGCTGGATCTCTCGGGAAGACGCTCTGACCACACGTCCATTTCATTTCGGCATCGACAAGGGGCCCCAGAAGAGGAGCCGTTTCGCGAGATACCCGCACCGTACGGTAGCGACCACGGCCACCATATTCGGGAGGCATGTACGCCTACGACACACCGAAGGGCAATTCGCATCGATGACGGGGGATGGCTGTCAAGAGATGTCAAGGTTTAGCTCTAGCTGCTAGGTTTGTTAGTGAACGGCGCTCCCGTCCTTGTCCCTTAGCCTACTTAGTACCTAGCCCAGCTTAGGCCGGGCACAGCATTTCTCTCCTTGCCGCGCGAACAGCTCCAGTGGGCAAAATGCTCCGCTCTTTGAACTTTTTTTTTTGGATCGCGTCCTTGATCCGCCAAGGTTTACAAAGTACAAGTAGTGACGAGAATCATTGATCATACAAGTAGAGACTTCCGCCGGCCGAAGGATGGACCGCAGGGTGCCCAAGCCAAGCGGACGGTGGAGGGAGGAGTTGACGACAGAGCAAAAAACCATATTTTGCCTCTCGACAGGATAGACCTCGTTCGTTGAATACCATTGTGCGACCTCGGTGTCGTCACCATGGACAAAGATGTGGCGACCACACGGCTCGTGATTTCTTGACAGGTCTGCCGGGCAAAAGTCAGTTCCAATCCAGCGATTCAGATTGATTGTCTGGCGATTGTGGGAGCAGCACGGCGGCCAGTTGCATTCCAGTCCCTCAGGACTGTATCAGAGCTGCAAGGAATGCCCTGGCTGGGAGGCTGGGTGAATTTCGGCGGGAGTTAGGCGGCGTGGGGCTCCCGAAACAACCGCACGCAAATGCAGGGACTGTCCCTGTAGCTTGCCGTATGGAGTACCTCGACCGACCTATGGACAAGGAGATCAACCATTGCTCCTTCGTACAGAGCACTGAACATGGTAGGTGATGTTGGTATCGAGATGAAGGGCAAATTGATACCAATAACTTGGATTTGTCGACGATACGGAGGAGAGGAAGGTTGCTCCTGGCTAGGCATTCTCAAGACACGCACAAGCCTTGCGGGCGCGACCGAAAAGTGCGACCTCGTTTGGTAGAGAGCTTTGCTTTGGTTCAGAATGAACAGTGGTGTGCGCCCCTCCACGATGATAGGCCAACGAGCGTTTTGAAGCTGTGCCGTGTAGTTCGTTTGGGTCCAAAACGGTGCCAGCACAAGAACCTACGAAGTACCAGTCCCAGCCATGGGCAAACCCCGTGACGTACAGGCGCCAACCAGAGCAGGTACCAGGAAAGCTGGGACTTGCATGCTGCTAACAGAATGTGCGAGGGCGCTCAGGACCGTGAGACCGAGGGACGGGCGGCCGTTGGATTGGCTGGGACGTCGAGATGACAATGGAATAGCGGCACGGGAGACCCTGGCTCCTGGTAAGGTTTACCATTCCACAGGCTTTGCAATTGCTGACTGGCTCTGGGGGCAGGCCACCCTCGCACCTCTGTTGTGGGCTCTGGTCCTTCTGACTACCTGCACTGTGCGTGCCGTTCCCCACACATCCTGGCCATTCTGATCTTCCTGTTCGTCCTGTGTGCTGGGCGGTGGTGATTGTTCCGGAGCAGTGAGACAGGGGGGCCACAGCCGACCAACGACGGAGCAGGACCTGGTCCAGGGTCAGGGAAACCCATGGCACCCAGGCTAAGCCTAATATGTGGATGGACGTCGCGCGGGTCGTGGTGGTGTGTGGACTGTGAAGGCGATCTTTGTACGCTGGGGCCGCCTGTCTGGGTAGGAGGTCGTGGAAGGATTCCGCACCACCCCAACTGGGACTTACAAGTAATGCGTCTTTTGCAAGGTGGATATACAAGTATTTGCCCAGTTTCCAGGGTGGATGTCGTCGCATTATCTGGTCATCTCTAGCCCCCAAAGAGTCAAGACCCATCTTCGTCCAGGGCGGAACCGATTACCGCGATTGAATACCAGTAACATCCTGGTCCAAGGCTCCTCCTTCTCCTCTGAGGCCTAATTCCGGTAGGTAGCACTCTACAAGTATTGCTGACCCCTCGGCCTGACTGCGGTCGACGAACGACACGTGGGGAGTGGTGGTGATGATGATGATGATAATGCTAATGATGGTTATCATGATGGGCACGAGGAAGACGGTGTCGTCGACTTGTTTGCTTAGAGTCATCGAGACAGGCCAGACAGGTTCGAAGAAGATGTGTACGGAGTACTCGTGGATGATCCGTAAGAATGGACTGCAGGGTGTGTGGCCAGGCCAGAGCAAAGAATCAGTCAGTTTGTTGGCTGTGGGTGTGGACGGAGTACTTGTCCTTGTACCCTCCCTGTGCACTTTTTGTACCGTATCAATGCAGGCGCTGCACACGGAGCATGTGCCTTGAATCGCTAGTGCCAGAAACCCACGCCCAGAGCCACGGTCGCTGCATGGCTCTGGTCGAGTGACCCCACTGCTTCTGTAACTTGTACCAATCCCAGCAGAATCCGGCAGGCTAGAGGCGCCGTCAGCCAGGCTCCAGGGCGTTGCTCGTGCGCTGCACCGGCGCTGAACCGTACCCAAGTTACCTAGGTAGGTATCCAGATGGGCTCCAACTGTCTCTCCCAACGCAATGGGCCCCAATGGAAGCCCCCAAATGCTAGGGAGTTTCTCGGTTCGACCGCCAGCACTGAGTGGCAAGGTTGGACAACGGCCACTTCTGCAAGATCAATGTGTTCTTTTGTGCCATTTCATCTCCGTTTCTCCCCTTCTGCCATCCCAGTTGACTGGGCGGACCACCAGTTCCACCCTTTGAGAGTCCGCCCAGCCCAACCCATGATCCATGAAGCCGTTCCTTTCCCACTTCTGTTCTCTGTGGCTCGACTCGTTAGCCGCTTCCGGTAAAGCACTGGGCCACACCCTTTTTTCGCTTCTCTGGGCACTTACTTGGGTATTGTCCAGTACCTACTTCGTAAATCCAGAAGACAGCACAGTGTGTGTTTGCCCACCCTTCGCACCCACCCACTCCCCATCCCACCCATCCATCCCCAGCAATTAGGTACCCCCCCCCCTCCCCAATCCCATCTGCCAACCCGTGCCCGCAACCACCACGACCTTATTCCCATTCTTGGGCTGGCTGGCTGGCTGACATGACCTGGGTCCCGTCCTCTTTTTGCCCTTTTCCGTGCTGTCTAACCGTACGCTAGGGACTTGCCTGGTTTGCGCCTTCCCTGCTCCCTCCTCCACTCTCCTCTTTTCTTAGTCGACCTACCCGCTTTCCCAAATCCCCTCTCTATCCTCACCTCTCTCTCTCCCCTTCCCCTTCCTCTCTCCTTTCCCCCATCACCACCATCGCCAACCTCGCCGGCCAACCCACCCGTTGTCGACGACGTCCACCGACGACGACGACGTCTTGAGTCTCGAAAACCCGGCCGAGTGGTGGACCTTGGATTTACAACCTGTGGCAACTGATTGCCTGTCACCGGTACCTGCTGACTCGTGCCCGCTAAAGAACCTGTCAAAAAGTGTCGAGCCGGTACAACATTTTGACTTTGACGCCAAAGGATTCCGGGCCCGCTCTGTCTACCTGTGGGAAACAACAGTGCGCCCTCCCTTACGAGCCTGATTCCAGTCCAGAGGCCTGGGTCTCTGCCCGAAACCAAAAGTCTCGACAAGTTCCCGACAAAGAAACTCAGCCAACGGTACGGTACTAGCCAGCAGCTGCCCAGCATACCAGAACCAACGCCCCAAAACGACGGAGCCTGTTCCAAGTTAAACCAAGACCCCCTCCCCAGTCCCTCGGGTCCGCCGCTCTTCATTCTTCCTTTGCTCACAGTCTGTTGGCCCACGTCAATTCGCAAGACTCGTTCAAACAAACACTGTCGTCCCAGTCTCGCCTCTCGATAAACGCCTGCGAGCCAACTCTCCCGTCAATCGTTCGATTGATTCGCCAACAGTGCTGTGCTTTGCGACGCCGCCGTCACCACCAAGAGAGCCCGCCATTACCCGACTGGCTGGCCAAGCGTAACCTCGCAAATATTTATCCCATTGGAAAAGCTGCCGATTGTCCACAATGGTCATGTTGGCCCCCATTCCCAGCCGCTCAGGCTCGGAACCTGTCGTCGTCGAGCGACATACCCGTGGCGGTCGTCATCTGTTCTATCGCCTCGAGGTGATTCAGCAACCCGAACGCGCCCGTGCATGTGGCTCTGGTCCCAAATGTGAGTGTTGGCTGGTTTCGCAGCGCCCGATCTTGCAGGACCAGACAGTGCTAATCAACTTGCACCAGCTTCTGCCGACCGCCGGCCAGTTGATCCCCCGCCCGTTGTTGAGCTCCGCATCTTTGAGGGCGGCCCTACCCTCGAGCAGTCCAAGGACATCACTTTCCTCTACAACGCCAATTTCTTCCTGTACGCCACCCTTGAGCATGCTCGCGTCATGGCTCATGGCCGTGTGCACAACGCTGCCGCCAATGCACCGCCCGTCTTGACCGGCATGCCTGTGTCGGGTATGGCCTATCTCGACCGCCCTCAGGAGGCTGGCTACTTTCTCTTTCCTGATCTGTCTGTGCGCCACGAAGGCCGCTATCGTCTCACCTTCTCGCTCTACGAACAGGCCAAGGAGGACAAGGACAAGGATGCCGAGAAGAGCGACCAGTCAGCTGTCGAGGCCGGAGATTCATTTGATTGGAGGATGGAAATCAAGTCGAACGACTTTATCGTGTTCAGCGCCAAGAAGTTCCCAGGTCTGACGGAGAGCACTGCCCTGAGCCGGACGGTCGCTGAGCAGGGTTGCCGTGTCAGGATTCGCCGTGACGTGCGCATGAGGAGACGCGATGGCAAGGGTGCTGGTGATTATGATAATGCAGAGGATGAGTACGCACGGAGGAGACGTACACAGACGCCCGAGGCTTCCTCCCAGTACCGCAACCGATCGATGAGCAGCGAGAGTGTCCAGAGGACTCCGTACCAACCCGACCCACAGCGCCGCCCCTCTGGAGCCGAGTACCCGCCTCCGCCTCCGGGCTTCTCTGGGTCGCAACCTTCTGGTGGACACCTGTCTTTCGGTTCTCACTATCCCAGTCAGCCCTACCAGAGCCAGCACCATGCTCAGCCCTCGTCCGTTCCCCAGTCGCCCTCGTACGCCCCGGCGCAACAGGCGTACCCTCCTCACCAGAACTCCTACCCGGCACCGCCTCCGCCGGCACCGGCACACGGTGCTTACCAGGAGCGCCCGCCATCGCAGCACTACTCGACCACGGCACCGTCGCCCCGGAGGGACTCGTACCCCACCGACTACAGGCGCTCGTCGACCAGCACTTACCCTGCGCCGCCCACGCCTCACAGCGCTACAGAGCCCGAGTACAGGCCCGAGCCCGCTCGGCAGTACGCAGCCCCGCCGCCGTTGGCCGCCTCCACCCCGATGGAGCCCAAGCCGGTATCGCTACCGCCTCTCAGCACTGCCTTTGGCCCGCCGCCTTCGGACAGCATGATCCCCGCACGGGCGCCGCTGCCCAGCCCAACTATCGACCGGTCGTCGTCGTTCAGCTACCAGTATCCCTCGGCACAACCGTCATTGCCGGGTCTGGGCAAGCGGTCTTGGGCCGATGCCAATCCGGTGTCTGCGCACAGCCCGTACACGTACAAGAACCACAGCCGGCAACCAGAGCAGACGGACGAAATTGAGAACATTGACGATCTCGTGTGGAAGCGTGCCGACGGGTCACACCGCAGAGGCGATTTACCCGGTCAGATCCTGCAATAGTGCGACCTTTGCCGCCGGAAATGACGTCTCTCACGATCTGTTCAAAAATCTTTGGAGCGACTTGCTTGTGTTTGGGCGCTCTTTGGGGGGTGGTGGGCAGGCGACCCTGGCGTTGTTTGCTTCACTCTTTTGACCTCTTCAACAGGCCAATCTTTCTTCTCTGGCGGTGCTCAGTATCCGCCCTCAGCGTTACGACATTATACCTTTTGATGTTTTTTCCCCCGTGTTTTATTCCGAGATACCATTTCCACGTCTCGATCGAGGCTGGACAGGCATCTGTACATAACCCGGCAACTGCCAAGCATCTTTCCTTGATTGCGATGTCCATGGGCCTACGCGGCATACCCCATGGACACGACACTCCTTTCGATTCCCCGGACGGCAAATTTCTCTGCTTTTGTTATTGATCCCTTCCGCAACATCATCATATCCATGTGCGTCTGCGCGCTTGTCGTGGACTTGACCGAGCTTGGTATAGAGCGATGCATAGGTTTTTTCTTTTTTTTTTTTGGCAAAGGGGGCCAGAGGGATTCAAGTTTGGCGATCCCAGACCGCCTGGATGGTAATCCATGGAGGATGATGGATGAGGGATTCTGGCTTGGAGAGGAGGTGGACGATCTGGTTAGAATGACAGCAACCAACTCTTGGCCATCTCAACTCGGACTCGAGGGATGGGCATCGAGGTCGAGGCTCGACCGCTTTGTCTCTTATTTTTTCTTCTTGGGGGTGGTTCTTTCATCTGTGTTGTGTATTGTGTGACAAACTAGTGCGGAGCTTTTTGTCTAGGATGTGCGTGCGTGGGTTAGCGGGGAAAGAAAGAGGTTGCTGGGAAGGGTAAACAGGAGGCACATAAACAGGCCACTGCGGGGATCTTCTTTCTATCGGGGCTTCTTAGGTATTGAATGGACAATCCAGGTCATTTCAGACATGTCTTTGTCTACTTGTGCGTTGACAAGTCTCGCGTCTGTGAGCGTGTGTGCGTGTGGTGATGAGGGGAACTTGGTCTCCATGTCGCGAGTGGATACCTACAACTTTGGACTGGACCCGGGATCTTCAAGTTTGGCCAACGCCTGGACCAGAGATCTGGGACTAGAGGCAGCACGGAGACGATGCGGGATGGGATTGGCAGGCATGTTCCCTACTGACCCTACATACACAAAAGGCCGGGTCTCCATCTCGTTTCATCGGGCTTGTTCTAGCTTGCTTCCAAGTTACCCTCTTGCCACAAGTTCCGGCCATCCAAGAGCTTACGACCGCAGTGGACCATGCTCAGCTCGACGATGCATCGCGCTGCCGCTTAGCGGGTTCCATCGTTCTCTTTGGGAGCGACAGAAAACGCGATTCTGGAGAACTACCTAGGTAGAACGCGCTGGTGGGTGGTGCATTAAATGCGTGTACGGAGCAAGGAAGGTCCAGTGTAAGCAAGGAAGGGCGTTGCTTCCAAGTTCTTACCCATTATATTCTGGAGGCCCTTCATCTCTTTTTTTTTTTTTTCGTGTCCGTGTCGCGTCGAAAAGGAAAGCCATTCACGCGTCTGGTCCGTGCGCGCCCGCGTCCAAGTGCTTAATTCTTTCCTTTTATTATCTAGCTGTCTAGATGAATGAGGATTGCATTGCCAGTGAATCCCGGTTTCATGGATTGATCATGAAGGAAAGACAAGGAGGGGGGACAGATCCTTTGCCATCGCATCACATCACATCACATCACCGACGACAAGTCCAGCTGGCCCAACAAAGGCATTCCTACGGCTCTCCGCATTCCATTCCAGTCCTTCTGGTTGGTGAAACGGACGGCGCCGTTGCGCGGGAGGGAAGGGCAGGCCAGAAACAGCGAGCGACCGGAGTGAGGGCCCTGCATCGTCTGCTTTCGTAGGGCTCTTGGTCTTCATTCCGCCCCTCAGCGCTGGAATGCTGGGGTGAGTCGTCCGTTGATACCGGGACGAGAGACCATTCAACAAACAACAACAACAGGACGGACCGAGGCAGAGAGGCAAGCCTTTACCCGGATTCCGTCATCATCGCCGCCTTGCCCTCTTGGATTCTTCTTCTCTCTCTACCTACAACGGCATTGCCAACCTGTTCTTGCTGCTGCACCAGCACTTGTACTTTTCCTCTGCATACTACTGCAAGGTACACCGTACCCTTGTCTGGTTTGTTGGTTGTGGTGGAGAATATATGGTGTACACACCTCCGCACAGCGACAACGACGACGACCGGGACCCCCATGTCGCACATTGGCTGGTAGTCGAGTAAACAAACCCAGCAGCACCGCATCTCTCTCCCACTTATATCGCCGGCCGGCCAGCAACCACCACCGCCAGTCGATTGATAACTATCACTCAATCGACAGTTTCAGATCTCTGCGGCATAGAGCAGGCAGCTCTCACCCAGTCCTGCTGGACGTGTCGCTTTTGCGCTGCTCGCCAGCAGTATACACATAATACACATACAAACGAGATTACATCCGGATTGCGCATCGCAGGCCCCTTTCCTAGCAAGACAACACCAAGCGGATTGCGCCTCAGCTCAGTGCGCGCGCGCGCATAGTTCACCAGCTGTACATCATACTCTTCCGAATACCATATACCCGGCATCACATCCAGAATTGTACAAACAGACAACACACTATATCCATACATACGCCATGTCTTCCTCACGACCATCCTCCATAACGGCCATGCCCACCTCCACCTCGGCCCAGTCCCGCTTTCTCGAGGGCTCCATGAACGACCGCACCAGCAACGTCCCGCCGCCCGAGTTCATGGGCCAGAGCCCTTCCCTGGCCCAGCAGCAGTCCTTCGAGCGCCAGTTCGGCTACAACCCGGTCTCGGGCCAGTCGGTCTCGCTGCCCCAGATCCAGTCCTCCGCGAGCTCCTCCTCGGGGCCTCCTGGCCGCCCGCGCGTCACCTCGGGCAACCGCAACTCGGTCCAGTCGACGGCCAGCGACGCCTCGGTCGCCTCCAAGCGCAGCTTCTTTGCGCGCCTCGGCGACGGCGTGCGCGAGCGCCTGAGCTTCGTCGGCCGGTCGCGCTCCACGAGCACGGTGGGCAGCTGGAAGGCCGGCGCCGGCGCCGGCGCTACAGAGTCGAGGGACGCGCAGAGGAGGGACGAGGTACAACACGAGGCGCCCGCGCAGGCGCAGCAGCTGGAGCTGCACACCGTTCATATTGGCAACAGCCACAACGACAGCGAAGGCGACGTCAATATGGAGCAGGCGCCGCCCCTGGACCCTTCAGAGCAGCAGCAGCAGCAGCCCACGAGCATGCCACCGTCACTACCGGCTGCTTTTACCACATCCTCCTCCTCGGGCTCGGGTGCTCGACCTTCGCCGGACGAGATCATGGCCTCGTACAAGCAGCTCCAGCAATCGGGCTTCTTCTCGGCCCACGCCATACAGTCCACGCGGCACGTCCCGCCCCCCTCAGCGGCAAACTTGCCTCCTCTGCCCCCTCCCCCGCAACAGGCAGCTCCGGCGCCTCCCTTGCTCTTCTCCAAGCCCCTGCCGGACCTGCCCGCCTTCGAACCCCTGCCCACCATCCCCTCTACTGGCGCGCAGGTCGGCAGCCCGACTATCGCCCAGGGCTTGCAGCAGCAGCAGCAGCAGCAGGAGCAGCGCGGTACCAAGCGCTCCCAGGCCGACGCCGGCGTGTCCTCGGCGAGCGGCAGCGGCGCCGCGCGCAAGCTCGTCAAGAAGCTGCGCAAGAGCACCTCGCGCTTCGGGTCGGACCTCAACACCAGCCTGCGCCGCACGGGCTCCTTCAAGAGGCCCGGCTCGTCTGCGTCGGCTTCCGCATCAGTGCCCGCTACTACCACCACGCCGTCCACAGTGGCGGCAGAACAGACTTCGCGCCCGTCCCTGTCGGCCATCCAGAGGCCGCCCTCGGCCTCCCAAGCCTCGTCGGGCGGCGGCGGCTCCATCCTCACGTCGCGCCGCTCCCTGAGCGCCTCGTTCCGCGGCGGTCGGGGCCGCGACAGGGAGCCCGTGCCGCAGTTCTACATCCCCGCCATCTCTGCCAACGGTGGGCAGATCGACGGCGGCAGCATAGCCGGCGGCGGTGGCAGCAGGGGGCGGAACAAGCTCTCCAAGAGGACGTCGCGCTCCCGCTCGCGCAGCCGGAACCGCGGCGGCAGCAGCGCCCGCAGCGCGTCTAGGTCGCCTGCTCGGGCGGCTGGGGGTCACCAGGGACGCCGGTCGCCGTCGCCGGCTGCGCGGGCGCTGGCCCGCCGGCCCAAGTCGGCCGACTCGGTCGTGGCGCAGGCCCCGGCGCAGGTGCAGAGCCAGAAGGAGAACCAGAACCACCAGCAGCAGCCGGCGCCGGGCCAGGAGAACGTGCCCCCCCCGGCGGTGGCGCTGGCGGCCGCGCACTCGTTCCACTACCCGCAGCGCGTGCGCGTCGGGCGGCCCGAGCCCCTCGCCGCGGTCGTGGTGCCCGACTCGAACCGCGGCATCCCCGTCGTGCCGCGGATCCCCGACGAGTTCAAGTTCAGCGTCGGCCTGCGGAGCCGGCCCGGCAGCGGGGGCGGGGGCGACGGCGCGGCCAAGGGCGACGGCGCGGGCTTTGGCGTGAGCTGCGTCGGCGTCGCTAGCGACGACGAGGACGCCGTCGGGTCCGGGGACGAGGAGGTCCGCGTCGCTGTTGCGGTGCCGATTCTGAGGGTCCCCAGCCTGAGGAGGTAGTTTCCGCCCGCCTGCTCTCCTTTGCTTCCTCTTGGGAGGAGGAAGGGTGGAAGGATGGGAGGATGGATGGGTGAGTGAGTTTCGTTTGAGGTGAGGGGAGGGGGCTTGGGTTCCTGCTATTGCATTATGAGGTTATGATATGATTGATGTTTTCATGTTTTTTTTTCTTTATCAGGTCGTGGGGACAAACATATTCCGGGTCCTGAAGGCAACAGGGGGAGGGAGGCATTTGGGGATGGGATGGACTGGTGTGTGTGTGTGTGTTGCGAGACACACTACTATCTATTCCGACAAACGTACACACAGAAGCACATATGCGTGGGGGGTGATGATGACGAGGTTTTCATGAAAGAAAACGGTCGGATGTTCCAAACGGGTACGACTTTTTTTTTTCTTTTGGGTAACGGTTTGGGCGCCGCCGTTAAGGGGAGAGGGAAGGCTCAGGGGGGTGGGTGGCCCTTGTACATACATGACTGGCATAACGAGGAGGGGGCGTTCTCTGGGTTGGGCCTCTCTTTTGATGTGTCTCGCAGTTTTAAAAGATTATCTTGAGGAGGAAGGGGACGGGTGAGAGGAAGAATTGAAAGCGGGATTTTTGTTCAACTTGGGAGTGTTGTTATCATCTTGTCCCCTGACTGTGTGACTGTTGCACTCTTTTTTACGACCGACACTTGATCCGGAACCGACAAACCGGAAAGTCTATGTACACCCAACAACACCCCCGAAGTCACCTCACACACATCTAGGGGCGGGGGGAAGAAGCTCGAAAAGGATTATTAAAAAAAAAACATGGGTTATCTCATGCTACTTTGATATCTATATGTGTCCTGCCTTCAGGCACACAAAGCCCCAGCCCATCAGCCGGGGGGGGGAGCCGGCCAAATGCCGTACGTGCCGGTGCCTATGTACTTGTACTACAAAGTCTCAGGGAAGAATGATACGAATAAAAGCGATCGCTACAACAACAACCACAAACCAAAAAAAAGGCTTCAAAAAAAGATTGAAACCCCTTTCCGCCCAAAAGAACATCCCTTCTCCTCTTCCCAAGAGTTGTTTGTGTGTTTGTTTGTTTGTTTGCCTGCCTGCCTGCCCATTTCTCTAGCCCCGCCGTTGGTCCTCCCAAAATAGTAGTTCTCAAGTAATCCAACACACCACAACAACCAGTCGGCCTGTCTCTCCTCCTCTCTTCGTGAGGATGAGGATGAGGATGATGAGATCAAGCTTTGCAAAACCAGATCAACCACTCGTTCGTTGCCCACACACAACGCACGCAAAAAAAAAAAAAAAACCAGAAACAAATCCCCCCTCACATCTGGTATCTCCCGCCCCGTACTCACCGGGGGATCCTTTGGAAATGAACAACACAACGAATGTAGATAAGGTAGGTAGGTAGGTAGACCACTCTCCACCGCCCACCAGCTTGGCGGACATCTCCATATCTCTCTCGCTACTACAACACCTCAACAACCCTCTCCTGTACACCCTCCACGGCCCTGCCAAACGTCACAGTCGGCATGAGCCGAGACGCCATCGACAGCGCAGCAGGGAGGCGGCTATACAGCGTCGCGCACAGAATCAGTAGCAGGACGGGGATCTGCAAAGAAAAAGAAAAAAACACAAGTTAGCATTGACAATGTTCACTTTCAGTCAGCCGGGGGTGGTGAATGAAGACATACCCAGATGAAGAACAACTTCCTATCCGCATCAAGCCCCTTCCTCTTCTCGGCGTGCACCCGCCGGAACTGATCCTGCTGCTCCTTGGTGATGGCGTTCTTGCGCCCGATCTGCAGCAGGGCGGGGAGCTGGCTCGCCGACGACGACGCCGACGCTGACGTCGACGAGCTCCCGCTCGCGACGCTCTCGTCGTACAGCGCGGCGCACTTGCTGTCGGCCTCGGCCTCGGCCGCCGCCCCGGCCGCCGTCGCCTGCTTCGTGTCGAGGTCCTTCTGCGGGAAGATCTCCTCGTACGAGGGCGGCGGCGCCCCGGAGCTCGGCATGAGCGACGACAGGTCCCACCAGCGGCTCTCCATCTCCTTGGACGGGCTGTTATTCTCCGCCGCAGAGCCGGGCCGGCTCGACCCGCCGCCGCCGCCAATGTTGGGCACCAGCGACGAGATGCGCTGGAACATGGGGTTGGCGTTGAGGTAGGCCTGGTACGACTCGGGCCACGAGTGCGGCATCTGCAGCGAGTAAGGGAACTGCGGCAGGTTGGGCACGCGCAGCGCCATCGCTTGCTGGAACTGCTGGATCTGCGCGGCAAAGTGGTCCTTGAACGCCATCATCGTGGCGGCAGGCGAGCCCAGGCCGGCTGCGACATGGTCGTCGGTCGCCGGCATCAGGGGAGCCGGCTTGCTGTCTTGGCTGCGACGACCCTGCGTGCTGCCCCGCCTCATATGCAGCCACTCGTCGTGTTCCTCGTCACTGCTCTCATCCTCGGTCGTGGCGTTCTCCGAGTACTCGGGACTTTCATCCGCCGACTCGGAATCATTCGTAGCGTATTCTCCAGCCGCCAGCTGGGAAGCAGGGGGCTCCCAGAGAGACTTGAGCGACGCCGCGCTGCTAGCACGGCTGTGGATCGAGCCTCCGCTGCGAGATCTGGCATGACGCTCGATGCGACGGATGACCAACAGCACTTCACGCGAAGGCGCAAGCTCGGCCACGGTCAGACCCGAGAGGGTTCGGATGGTCGGGTCAGCACCGGCCATGATCAACCGCCTCACGATCTCAGGCTGGTTGTTCAGAGCGGCGAGGTGCATTGGCGTGTATCCGCAGCGGTCGCGGACATCGGGGTGCGCGCCTCTAGCGAGAAGGCCAGCTACAAACCTATGCATGCCGAGGGCGCAGGCCAGGTGCAACATGGTCTGGCCCGTCTTCTTCCTGCAGAGGTTGTAGTAGGCCTTGTTTGCCGAGTCGTCCAGATCGATAAGCTCGAGGATCTTCAGCAGCTTGGACTCGTAGTTGACACCGCTAGCGCTATAGCCCGTGTAGTTGCCACCCGAAGAACCGCCAGCCGGGCCAGACGAAGTGCCCCAGCTCGAGGTGTCAGTGCCGATGATACGTCGGGCAACCTCCTGGGCATCCTCGAACCTGCCCGTCATCTTCTTGGACAGCACTGTAAGAGCCGTCCTCAGGAGATGCTGCTCGTCATCGTCAATATACTTGAACGTGATGCGCTGCTGGTTGGGTGGGAACGGCGAGGCAGGCTGGCCGTTGGACTGCTTAAGAGTGACCAAGACGTGGCCCGCAGTAGGCGAAGGAGGAACCAGGCAGACGAGCGAGCGCTCTCCCCAGAATGTCGTCGTGGTCGCCTTCTGGTCGCCGAACATGACATCCAATCCCTGGTAGAAGCCAATGCCGAGAATCGTAACCTCGATGCCCCCCGACTTGGGTCCTTCGCCAGGGATAATTTTGTGGATGATGGAAGGTGCCTGGGGCGCCTGCGGCATGCCCAATGGCATGGAGAAGAGGTTGGTCTGGAGCGCTTGTGTTATCTGCGCCTGCTGCTGCGCAGCGGTGGCAGCGTTCCGGAGACCGTTGGGGCTGGGTGCACGGCTTGGGTGAGTAGATGTAGGTGCTGAATACAGCTGGGTCATGGCGAGGTTGTCCATGCTTGCTGATCGGTTGTTGTTCGAGAAGAACATCTGATCGTTGTTGCTGTTTGGCGTCGGCGGGCCCGTCGCAAAGGGCTGCGTCAAGTTCGCAGGGCTAGTAGACTGCTGCGCAAATATCTGTTCAGGGGCGAAGCCGGCGATGTTCGGCGAGAAGGGTGATGTGGCCTTGGAGACAGCGGTGCTGGGCTGCCCATTAGGAGCCTGCGAAGCAGGTACCTGAGCGGTTTCGAGACGAGTCATCGCAAGCCCAGAGGGAACCTTGGTCGAGCCACTCGATTTCCTCTTCTTCGTTGAAGGTCCCGACGCGGAGGTCGGTGAAGCTGGTCGTGACAGATTGCGCGGGGTTGGCCCTGCAGAACCGTTCTGTGATGCCGCGCCCGGAGCGAGCGTACTCGACTGGCGCTTCAACGAGGTCAGATCAGAAGTAGATTGTGATACGCGGAAGCTGTTCCCAGGGCTGAGAGCACTGTTCTCGGGGGTGGTCGCCAGCGATTGCTGTTGTACAAGCGACGTTTCCGAGGTATTACTCGTAGAGGTGGCGCCCATGCCTGGCGGTAGGGTGTGCGTCTTGTGGTCGTCCGTGATCATGATGGACGCTGAGAAGGCCTGCGCAATGACCTGGTCCCGGCAGTCCTTGATGGTAAAGATGACTTGGAAGCCAGACTTCTCGCCGTGATGTCGGCAGTAGCATGCTATCCTCATCGGCGCATCGACGGCAGCCTCCATCATCTGCTCCACGGCCGCAGCCCCGTGGCCCATGGCGGCCGGGTTCTGCCACTCCTTGATCTCCTGCGTATTGAAGACAATGACGCGCCGGTGCTCGTTACGCCTCCAGGTCTCGTCCTCCTCGGGCTTCTTTGACTTTTTGCGATCGGCACGCTTCCGCTCCCGTTGTATGCACCCCTTGCAGATCCATATCTCGCCGCCATTTGCGGGCTTGGTCTCGTCATCATCGCCGCTCGATGACTCGGGCGGGGGATAGATGCCCGCAGCAGCACGGGCCAACGCCTTGCGCCGAAGGTCCGGGTTTTGCATGGCGCTCGTGCAGACCAGCATCGTCGAAAGCTCAAGCATATCGGGCGAGCGTTCAGCCCGCGGCTTGGCCAGCAGCTTCGGCTTGGAGATTGTGTGCGTGGGAAGATGCAGCCGCTTGATGCCTGGCGGTAGCGGTGACAGTCTCATCTTGATGGGAATTTGCGTCTCGACACGCGACTTGAGCGGGATCGGATCGATCGTCAGTTTGCAAGGGCTCTGGCCGCCAAACATTGGCTGCTGCGGGTACATGCCAAAGTGTAGCGGTGCGGGAATCCCATTCGGCATGAGCATGCCAGGAGCAGGTCGTCCCGGTGGGGGTTGAGCTGGAGAAACTCCTGTGAAAGGCATGATGCCGTCGGTGGTCATGGTCATGTTCCCACCGTGCGTAAAGTCAATGTTCATGACTGGCGAGGGTGAGTTATTGAAAAAGGCGGAAGGTGAGGAGTCCTGGCTAAAAATAAAGTTCGACGCGGGCGACACTTCCCTCGAGCCATTGGTCTTGAGGCCATTCATAGACTGCGTTAATGAGTACTGCTACAGAAAACGTTAGCACGACCGAGAGGGCGGCTGTGAGCACAACAGAGATAGACACTTACCGAGAGCGCCTTGTTGTGCCGTCGGTTGGCGGGTTTCGCCTCAACGGGCGAGGCAGCCTTGCCCATGGAATTGTGCTGCGCATCGTGTCTGATGTGTGCCTCGGGGGTCGGCGCTGCTTGAGCATTGGGGCTCGGGCTGCTGGTCGCGCTGGCAAAGTCGAACACGTTCTCCATGGCCGCGTCGTCCATGCTGAATTGCTGCTCGATCGAGCGGGGGTTGATTGTCGCGCCATCGTACCGGAAGGCCTCGTCGTCGTCGACGTGCAAAAAGTCCTCGACATTGTAATCTTGCTTGACCTCGGGCCCGTCCGTCATCATCGTGTCCGCGCTCGTCAGACCAGTCTTGGCCGAGGCGGTGCTCCGTGTGCGCTTGGTCGACAGCGAGTCCTCGGACGAAGAGTCTTGGAAGGGCGAGATGGGCGAGTCGGCCGAGGTGGCAGAGGGTGCGAAATTCACATTCGGCTCTGGCGACAGAAACCCCTTGCGACCCGCCTTCCTCGACGCCTCTAGGGACTGGAGCGTGTCGGCGTCCGAGTCTATGAACTCGAGCAGGTTTGGGGGTGAGTCGCCGAACCAGTCGTTGAACTCGGCGTCGTTGAGCTCGGTAGAGGTCGACATTCCTGGGGCGGCGAAAGTTGGTCCGGTCGTGCCGTGACCAGGCGGCGGCATGACCAGAGACCAAAGGAGAATCAGGACCAGCTAGGTTCGAGGCAATTCAGCAACGTTTGGGGGCGGATATCGAGGTTGAGGATCGTCGTGTTCAGAGTCGGGTCGAAGTCGAAAAGCGTCGGCAGAAAAAGGGTGCTGGCGAGCGAACAAGTCGAAATGAACAGAAAAAGCTGGCACAATCGGCAATTTCGCGCGATAAATTACCCAGGAACAACGCCCAACCCGTGCCGCCTGGCTATATTGCGGAATGGTCGTTGTTGAGGAGCGAGGGTCGAAACGTGGTTTCGCTGCGGTTATGCAATCAGGGTCCCCTCCAACCAGAATGAGCCAGGCCGGTGGTCGGCAGTGGGCGCGCGCGCTCAGAACGGTGGATTTTTTTTAGTCAGGAGGGACAGCGACAACGGCCAGAGACTGCCAAAGGAGGCAGCTCGGCTTTGCGTGTGGCTTCTGCGCGGGAGAATGGGCTCTTTGGCCGTCGGCTGGCCTCTTTTCCTAGGGAGTGACTGACGGGTTTGGCAGCAGGAGGTCGTGCGGATCAAAGAGAGGGAAGAGGAAAGAGAGATGTTAGGGGAGCAATTGTGGTGTATCATCAAACTACTGGACTTCTAGTTGGAAATACGTGTGAATCAAAAGCGGGACCGCTGTCTGTGCAGCCAGCCAGAGCGCCAGCAGTAGCAGCAACAGCAGGATGGAGATGGGGCCCAGCCTTTTTCGCGGAGCAAGGCAAGGAGCCAGCACTGAAGGCAGAGAAAGGAAAAAGGGTGTCCTGGCGACTCCGTCCTCTCCGTCTCTCACTCTTTCGCTTCTTTCGCCCTCGCCGCCGTCCTACGCTCCTTCTGGGCTAGCGGGAGGTGTGGTGTCCAGGTGGGTGGGTGTCGTGGATGTCTGGGCTTAGTCTTAGGGTGGCCTCCTAAAACCCTCTGACTATGCGCTACAGCTACTCCGTACAGTCTGGTCCCCAAGCCGGGCCAGCAGGCTCGCTGGGCGGGTACGGGTGGGTTTTGATCTTCCTGGAGGTGGCCGGGGGGCCCTTCCAAGTGCCTTTTGTCTCTTCATTCCCTCCCTTTCTGTGCCTCTGACTGGGATTTCAACGCTAAGAAACGGCCATTCACCGGCCCGTCAAGATGGAAGGTGCAAAGGCTGGCAGGTGTCAATTGTACAGTGCGGCAAACTTTTTCACAACTCCCAGAGACAACTCTCATCAAGGTGCATACTTGACCTGAGGAATCTTCATAAAAAGGATGACGACGAAACAAGACAAGATAGAACAGCGTTGACAGAAGCCATATCTCCTGACATCACATCCCTTTCCTCGCTACCATCCTGATCGGCTTTGTCTGGTGTTACTCATCTCGTTCCTGACCCAAGACAAGATAGAGTCCTCGAATGACTCATAATATAAGGCTGGATATGTCGCAGAAAGCAAAGAAGACCCTTGTTTCCTGGAAGAGACGGAACACGGCATTCCTGGCCAGCCCCTAGAAATGCCCCCTTCCAGTGACACACTGTTATCATGCTATCATGGACGGCATCCCTACCTACGTAATGGTTAACCTAACCCAACTGGACAAGGTAAAGGTAAAGTGTTCCACGGTTGGTTGATGGCCACTACTCGACCCGCCTTCCAGGCACCGAAGCCACCATGATGATAGCTTCGACTCCCCAAATTCAAAGCCCCGAACAGGACACGTCTTTCGTTCTTCTCTCACTGAACGATCGTTGGTTGACTCACCAGTTTTTTTGTTGGTGAGAATCGCCTCTCTGAAACGGGAGCAAGTCCCCAGACTCCGCCATGAAGCTTGCGCGTACTCTTCCCACCCCCAGATGGCTGGCCCTATTCCTCTTTTTGCAGTGAAGGAGTGCAAAGTACAATCTTGTCTATTCGACGGTACGCCATAGACTTCTCCGAATTTCGCTTAAGCGCCAAGGTCGCCAGAGTACACGCAACTCTTTCGTCTAACTACCTCACCTACTCTTTCGTCTACTTGTTCTCTTTCACGCACACAAACACAGTGCGAATCGTAATTCCAAGGAGCGTCGGCTTTGCGCACACCGACACCTCCTGGGGCCCGGCCAGAGCGAAGAATACCTGGTCCGGGACGCATGCCCGCCCCTCGCCCTACTGCACGGCCTGCATATCCGATCACCTCATCATATCAGGATGGCTGTCCGGGTAAAGGTATCTAAAATGGAGGGCGTTCCAGTCGTTCTGGAGAACGAACGCCTATTGCCTTGTCGTTACGTAGGTATGCAGGGAGGCTGTAACGCTGTTGCAGTCAGTCTGGCATTTACAGCGAGCATTAATTATTAACGACGAGCAATTATCCCAAGACGAAGGAAGAAGGGGGGTGGCCCCGGACACCGCCGCTTCAACTCTCGGCCAAAACCCAGACAAGGCTTATCTATCTACCTACCTATGTATAGACAAGAGAGATATCAATAATTGAGTTTCACCCCAAATGCCATAGGGCCGAGGTGTCTCCAGTGACAACCACTGGTTCGTCAAAGGTTAAAAAAGAAAAAGAAAAGAAAAAATCGCGCCTTGCTTGATCGGATCTGCGTGTCAATCGACTTTAGATAACGCAGGCTTGTGCGGACCAGATCCGTGACGCCCCAATTCCTTGCCTTTACGATGTACGATGCAGCAAACAGCGCATCCAGCACAACTATCCAGGTCTCAGGCCCAACCCCACACAACCACCGTCGCCTCCGCCGCTTTTTCCGCCAAGCTGGGGTTGGGTGGCTGCGTCGAATGACAGGCCCTGAGATACCAATCTCTCCAGGAACGGCCACGAAAAACAACTCATATCAAGCAAAGTGATAGTTCATCGGTTGGCCCATAATTCGCAAACGGAATCAATTCCAATGGAAAACTATCAAGTAAGAAGGAACGCAAACAACACACCATCACCAAACTCACCAATCTATCGCCACCCCCAAAAAACTAAAGCAGGATGCAGTACCTAGGCGGTGTAAGTGGTGGGAGGGCCCGGCCTGTCCATGCCGCGTGCCTCTGTGCCTGAAAATCCCGAGACCCTGGGATTCACACCGCCAAGGGCATCTTCCATTGGCCGGGCGGGCCCTTGCCGCCATGCTGATTCTGCCTGAATGTCGGAGTCTTTGTCGAGGGTGAAAAAGATTCGACCTCAGCCATCCTTCGTCCTCAAAGCTCAATGTGGATGAAATTGAAACCTAAATGCCTGCGAAATTCGCACATCCTCTCCGCATTTGCATTGCCACATGCCCACATAGATAGCTACGATTTGATCATGAGCAGCGATTGGCAGCCTCGACGACGATGCAGCCACATGCATAACATGCTGCATCCTGTACCACACTGACCGCGCACACCCAAACCCATGTCGCACGTCGTCATTGGTCATCACGGGCCGCGGGATGAAGCTCGTCGGGAAACCGTATCGTTCTCGTCGCCACACTCGGCGTGACCGGCTGCGAAGTGCTCGGCTTTGGTCCATTGTCATCGGCGTCGCGCTCAACATCCTGCTCTCGAAGGCGTGATTCTGGGGACAGAGCAAGAGTAGAGTCCCTCGGCGGAACGATCGAGCCGCCAATCCTATAGATCGGGCGAGCGCTGGTGTTCGCGATAGAGTCCCTAGGCGTGTCGGTCGGAGATCGCATCACATTCCCTCCCCGCCTCAGAGTCAGCGTGCTCACGCGACTACCGATATCGAAGGGCGGAAAGGGGGCGTCGCTGTCGGATGCTGACTGTTGGCCTCTGGACAAGGTCCGCGGAAGGTACAAGCCTAGTTTTCCTACTGGGATGCTCAGACCATGCACAACCTATATTCTCATTAACAGCCTGGTTCATGACAATGAAAGAAGGAGAAAAGACCCTTACAATGCTACAGATTGCAATGAACCACACCACGACCTTGACGGCCTCTCCAAGGTGCGCAACGTCCGATCTGGGTGCCCCATCAACGTTCAGTGTCTCGAGAAACTCCAGAGTGATGTACAGATAGAAGATGGCGGACACGCCGACAGGCCCAAAGAAGCCCATGAAGATGGCCTGCCGGATGTCGCGCAGCTGCGGGATGAACCCCTTGACCGCCAAGAGCCAGGGAAGGCGCCGGAACAGCAGGACCAGGACGCCCAGGATGACGAGGCGGTACAGCGGCACGACGTCATTGTTCAAGAACTCGGACCAGGGGCAGACGGCGCCGAACCACATGAAAATGGCGACGTTGAGGAGCATGTCAATGGTCGGCTGCAGCGAATCGTCGAGCGTCTGCAGGCGGAACCAGTCGTCCCAGGTGAAGGCGTTGCCGGCAATGAAGCAGGCGAGAACGTCATCGCTGCCAATGAGCCCGCAAGTCCCGGTGATAAAGAGAGCGAGCGAGAGGGCAAAGACGAGGAAGCTCTCGCGGTCGACAAACTTGCGCTGCTCGGCCCAGTGGAGGAGCTCTTTGGCAACCCAGCCGACGACGGCACCGTAGACGACGCTGAGCAGAATGGTGTAGCCCCAAGTCTCACCGAACCACATGCCCATGGCCGTGCGGGCACCGCCAGGCTGCGTCGCTCCGCCATCGCCAATGTACTTGATGAGGTACAGGGCGAGGAAGAGGAACGGGTACCCCAGACCATCGTTGGCGCCCGACTCGGCGATGATGATCTGCTGCAGGTCCTTGGGCACGTTGTGATCGGCAAACTTGCCCTTCACGATGACGTTGGACAACACTGGATCGGTCGGTGTGACGCATGAGCCGATGACGAGAGCGTGAAGGATGTCCATGTGCGGCACGAGGGCCCAGACCAGGAGGCTGGTGGCGAGCCACATCATGGTCATGATGGGCCCTAGGAGGACAGACAGTGGCCTCCACTCATGCTTCAGGTAGCGACTGGGGAGCTGTACCCCGGCCAGGACAAGCTGGACGCCAAGGACCAGGCGCGAGAAGTACAGCGTGACCGCGTTGAGGTTTTCCTCGGAGCCTGCATAGTCTAGAGGCCGAACAAAGTTGGCGGCTGCAGGCGAGAAAATGACGCCCGCGAGCAGGGAAATCACTTTAGGAGGGTGGCAAAGTCAGCAAGACTGGTCGACTTGGCAGGTCATCAATCGTAGTAACAAACATACGTGCTTCAGATAGATAGAAGTTTTCTTTGCAGAGGTATGACACGAGGCCAAAGAGCGACACCCATCCTCCGAGGACGCTGACAACGATGTTGAAATCGTTGACAGCGAGAGTCGGCATGATGGCGGACGCAAAAGTTAACTGGCCAATAGCCCCTATGCCGGGGGCAGACCAGGGAGAAGAGTCTGGAAAATACGATATCGCAGCTGCCGAGGAACAGCTATCAGGTAACCCCAGAGTCGTCCTTGCTCATGCGGGGAGCGAGGAGGCAATGGTAGGCCGGAGGGAAAGAAACTCGTGTTATTGAACCATGGACATAGTCGATTGGTTGTCGGCTGGCAGAGCACTCCAGCTTGAAGGCAGCGCGACCTTCCCGGAAAAGAGGTCACAGGAGGACCTGCCGGAGATGAGAAAACCCTGAGATGGGTTGGCTGAGAATGCGAGAGCGTGGGTGCAGCAGAGCCAATGGAGGGAGCACAGGCAATGAAGATAACACAAGACCGGATCTGTCCGACGTGGCAAGCAAAGCTTGCTTGTGTTGAGTTGCGTGGGAGGCGTTCGTGTGGATGCAACGGCAAGTCGAAAGAAGAGAAGAGGGTGTGAATATTGATGCAGGACGAGATTCCGTGCGGTGCAATTGAGAGAAATACTCACCACTAGTGCCTGTCTGGGCCTTACCGGTTTTGCACTTTGATCTCTGTCGCCTCCTCTTATCCTCTCAATTGCGCATGCTCCCGCTGTCCTAACTTCCAATTTAGATGGGGACCTCGGGAGGTGCCCCAGGCCAAGCCCGCCCAGCTGCGTCAAGCTTTCACAAGCTTTCAGGTGGTCCCGCAACGCCCAGCACTGCTGCCGCAAATACCCGTCCGTCCGTCTCCCGGCCCCGATCCGATCCTCAAACCGGGCGGCCAAGGCTGAAGACACCAATCCGGTGACTTGGTTCACGATGCCAATGCTCATCTTTATCTCTCTCTTCTCCTCAACATGGAAGAAGCCGTTTTCGTCTCATGCAGCGCACCCTGGCGTGTAGCTCGCTCACTCGGACATGTCGACATCCCTCGCACTACAACCAGCCACAAGAGTCTGGGATGACATGTCCTCTCCAGCCCCGGAGCTGCCGCCAGCGCCTCCTTCGTCACACTCTTCGTCGCAGTAGGCACCCCCAATTCCTTTGGCATCTTCCAAGACTACTCCGGGTCGCATCTGCTGGCCGGCGTCCCCCGAGACTCAGGTCATCCTGACTGACTCCCTCGCCTCGAGCCTGTACATGATCCTCGGCCCCCAGGCCGGCCTCCGCGCCGACTCCCGCCGGCTACGTGACGACCCTGCCCCTCAGCTCCGTCCTCATGGTCGCCAGTCTCTTCGCCGCCGGCAGCCTCGCGACGCCGGGGTACTTCTGCCTCCCGCTGCTGCAGGGCCCGAGCTTCGTCCTGGGTGCCGGAGGAGGAGGAGGCAGAAGCAGCGAGAAAGCCCGACCGCGCTCATGACCCTGTTTGTCTTGTTTGTCGGCTTGCAGCGGTCCGGGTCCGTCAGCCTCGTCCCCGTCCTGGTGGCCGACGTGTCTGGAGGCGAGGGACCTGCCGTCCAAGGTCGGGGGCTCGTGAACCAGCGTCATGGGCCTCGGCGTTCTCGCCGGCCCGGGCGCCGTCTTTATACGCCATCGTATCTGGTGGGCACGACTGGAGCGTGGCGGTCTTATTTTCCCGGCTTCTTATAGTGGCGGGCGGCCTCATGCTTACCAGGACAGTCAAAGTATCTGCAGTACAAATGTCTGAATCAAAGATGTCAAGGATTATAACCATACATATAGAAATGTTGACCTTGACTCATATATAATGGTGCGTTTATATTCAGTGTGATCCTACTTCGGGCGTATAGCAGAGAAGAAGAAGAAAAAGAAAAGAGCAAGGATATCATGCCAGTACGTACACGAGCATTCATGACGCTCGCTGTCAACAAAAAGGTGCACTGAAGCCACACGCACGCAAAAAACGCCACAAGTTCACATCCATCCATCCATCCGTCCCTGACCCCAACGCCCGTAAGCGACAAGGGGGGGACCAAGGACGTCATCATCCACAGCCCGAGCGAGCGAGCTAGCCGAAAACAATCCTCACTCTCCTCACCGCTCAAAACTCCCCCATCAAGCAGCACGCGACGCTCCCTCCACGGCAAGCCTGTCAGCCGCAATGTTGCCCGCGTCCGAGGCGTGGCCCTTGACCCACCGGAACCCCGTCTCGGCGCCGGCCTTGTCCCGCGCGTCGATGAGCTTGCGCACCGCGGCCACCAGGTCCCGGTTCTTGACCTCGCCCTCGCGCGTCTTCCAGCCGTTGCGCTGCCACGTGGCGTACCACTCCGTCACGCACTGGATCGAGTACTTGCTGTCCGTCACGATCAGCACGGCCTGCTTCTGCGGCGCCAGCTGCAGCGCGCGCAGGATCGCCGTCAGCTCGGCCCGCTGGTTGGTCTGGGGCTCGCCAAGCAGCCGCTCCGAGACGTTCCTGTGTTTTGTGCGAATGTTAGTATAAACGGGGAGGCTATCTCTCTCTCTCTCTCTCTCTCTCTCTCGCGGTTTTCTTGGGCAAAGGGGTGGGGGACACCGTACCTCTTGTCGCCGGCTCCAAAGAACACGCCTACGCCGGCGCGAGCACCGGTGCGTCCGTTCGCCAGGCTGCTTCCGTCCGTGTAGATCGTGAGAGCACCCTTACTCGTCGTACCCGAGGCCGCGCCGTTCGTCGCGCCCACGCCGCTCGTCCTCGCCTTTTTCGCCGGAGGCTGGTCCGCGTCGTCGTCGGCCTCCTGCGCCTGCTGGAGAGCTGCGCGCGCCTTGGTATGGATCTTCATAAACTCCTTCGCCTCGGTTATCGTGCCGAACTTCTTGTACTTCGGCCCCTTGACGCCCACGATGGCCTTGGACGCCGTGTCCCAGTCCGTGTAGATCCCGGGCGGGTTGCCCACGGCCACCGCGTAGAACTTGTCCGTCTTTTCCTCCGACGCGCCTACGGGGTTCTGACCCTTGACGAACGCCTCGGCATCTTCTCGGCTAAGGAAGCTCTTGTCTGCGAATTTCGTACAGCTCACGTCAGTATACATACATACATACATCCATGCAGATAACGGAAACACGCCCGTGGGAAACTTACATTGCGCACCCCGGAAGCCAGCAATCTGTGCCTGGCAAGTCGGCCATGTGAGATATACGCCGGGTATAAAGCCAGCGCGTACGGCATAGTACTTCTGCGCGTCCTTGTCCGCGCCGAGCTTGCGCTTCGGCATGGTGGCTACGACGGAGGAGCACTGCCAGGCAAAGGCCGGGGCCGGGCGGAGTATGGCGATGTCAGCGGGGATTTGGGCCTGCGAGAAACCCGAAACGAGGCGTGAGAAGGGAGTGGTCCCGTGTACGTCGGGCAGGAAGGCTCGTGTCGCGAATGCTTTGGTGTTGGTAAAGGTGCGGAGAGTTGCCAGGTTGAAGGTCCCTGATTGTTTTGGTAGCTTTTGACTCTGAGGCCGCTCTTCAGCTTTGAGTAAAAAGTTTTCCGGACAAACTTGACTTTCGCAGAGGAGAGGAGCAGTATTTATCAGGGGAAAAAGAGCGTGGTCGTTGGTCATGGGTGGGCAGGGTTCAGAGTGAGGAGCAAAAGGACCTGGACATGAACAAGATGAGGGGTGAAAGGAACTGCATTCGCAGTTGTTGGGAGCGTTGATAAGATAGGGCGGGTTGTCAGCGAACAATGGTCGGGTGCTCAAGCTTGAGGTCACTACAGCTGAGGCTATTACCCGTAACCCCGAACGAAATAGCTTATTTAGCGGGTCTGACGGGATACCTACAAGTACTTGTAGAACAAGTCCTGGGGGGATTTCAGAACTTCCTTGGATCAAATAAAGGTCACCATAAGCTGGGAGACAGCACAGTTCAAGTCTCTTGTCTTCGTTTCGCAAAACTGATTAAAAGCACGCAAAGATATTGGTCCATCCATGTCCGAAGCAGACCTAAGGTATCTAACTCATGTGGTCTCATAGCCCGTCGCATTCCCTGCGATGCCCCCTTGATTCCTGGGATCTCTCATGTCTGTGTCCTAACGCCCGCGCCTTATGGACAGTGGTCCTGCCATAAGATGATGCAACCTTGTCAACCCAATTACCAGCTCAGAGGGCTACCTAACACCTCTCATGAAGCCGTCCAAAAACGCATTTGATGATGCCTTGTACAAAAGAGAATAACACATTGAAAACCTGCGATCGCAAAACAATAACCCAGCTCAGACGTGGACTTCAGGGCCAACCAGCAGGGGGTTGCATGCATCTGTCGGCTCCCACTCCCAGGCCAACAGACTCCAGTTGAGCTCTCGGCGCCAGAACAGGCCTAGGCCGTGTCCTCCGCCTATGTCCGACAGGTGAGGGTGGTGGGGATATCCCAGGGCGCGGTCCTCGGCCGACAAGCCACCCGTGAGCGGCATGCGCTTGGAAAAGGTGGCCCTGCCCATGCGCGAATGGAGGATGGCCATAGAACACATTACACAGGGCTCGTGCGTCATGTAGAGCTCCAGGCCATGACACAGATAGCCATCTGGGGAGGGGTGCTCCTGGCCAAACACCAGTTGTTCATCGTCCACGAGCGGGGCATCCTGGAATGCCTCGAATTCAAGGATCGGCGGCACAGTCTCCTCGCCATCTCGGTTCTCGGCCCGTACCAGCTTCTGTGCCACCATGCTGATAGCCCGGAGGACACAATGGGCCATGGGATTGCCCGTGCAGCCAGCCTTGGACTGTTTGTGCCAGCGAGCGTCACCAGCAAGCGCAACGAGTCGGGTGCTGCCATTAGAGCTCCGCTGAATGATGCATGCGCCCATGGCCTCTCCGTAGCCAGCAGCATTGGTCTTGGCCGCAACCTGGTGGGCCAGAGCCATCCAGAAGGGCGCATCGTCGGTGATTTCCTCGGTGGCTCGAGTCACCATGCTAGGGTGCGGTCCAAGAGGGTTATTCTTGCGGTACACAGTGGGCCAAAAGTGGCCGGACCAGAGCGCAGCTTGGACCTGAGAGGTCGGCGGGAACAGAGGCACCGGAATAGTCGCGGTGAAGACACCACACTCCTCCATTCCTTCCACCTTTGAGAGTGCTCCTATCAACTCCCTTCTCGGCACTGCTGCTTCAAGGCCAATCATGATGTATACCCAGCTGGACTTTCCGGTATGGATCTGTCGGCTGTGTGGTGTGTCGTTCATAAACTGCGTCTTCAGGTGGGCGGGTAGGTCGCTGCATTTGCAGCACCGGCGTAGATGAGGCATGCCCTTAACAACTTCCTCAGGTACCAGTATGCGGATCTCACTGCAAAAGACAGAGTCAGCAAGCTGTGCGGATACTTGAAAGAGGCGCATCTCCCCAGGTAACATCTCTCATTCAGGACGGAAGAGCAGCCGTTGTAAAGGGCATGGGCGAAGATCTGAAGTGAGTGTCTTACTTAAGAACCGCAGCGACCATCTTTACCGGAGCGCGGGTGATGAGGACACGGCTACAGTGGTGATCATCTCTCAACTCGAGCGTCGTCTTCAGCGGGATGAGGACACCATTCTCGATCTTGGAAGGTCGGAGCTTCTCAAGGATCGGGTCTGGGCCCTCAAAGGCCTCCGAGGAACTGTCGTCTTTCATCGCGTTGCAGTAGATGTAGTATTCTTATATCCGCTTCCTAGCAGTACGGAAGACCCTATCCACTGATGAGCGGCCTCTGCTGCCCGTCACAGCTCGAATTTCCGTTATGTGGCGGGCGGGCGGGGGATCTGGAGGGCGGGCTCTGCGAATCGTAGAGGAGGAAAAGCGAGCGCCGGCAAAGAATTCCTAGATCTTGAACATGGCTATTGCCTCGTTACGACAACCTTAATACCGTCTGGGCTAGGGCTGGCGAGGCCAGAAGGAGAGACGGACGGAAGATGGAGAGGTGGCGGGTTTGGTCGAAAGGTCGGTCCAGCGGGCTTTGAGGAATGGTACGTAGACTTGAGAACGTGCCAGCGAGTGGAAGGCGCAAAAGGAAGTCGTTGTTCAGTCGAGAAGGAGCGTGTTTTTTGCAGATCGGGCGCAGCCACGATTGAGAAGAGGACAAGAGTTTATTGAGGATGTTTGGTTTGAATGGAAGTGGAAGTTGAAGTCACGGTGGTGGTGATGTTATTTGCTTGAGCTCCAAATTTTTGATAAGAAGGACCCTGCAGGAAATTTGTCCAGAAGCTCTTATCGGCCTGCATTTTTAGTGGCGGGGTCGACCTTATCGCCTCCAGGGGATTTGACGGCTATGACTGACATGTTCGTGGCGCCGCGAGCCCAACATACAGGGGGGCATACAGGGGCTAGCTGATTGCTTCACCAGAAAATACAAACCAACTTTGCCCAAGGGAACTCTGAGCTTAAATCAACAAATGTGAGGGTCAGAGTCCGCAAGGAGGTCAAATCAACACTTGCTGGTGTTATCCCGACTATCGTTGCATTCGACGAGAAAGCTCACCTGATCTCGATAGGGCGCCCTGGGTGCTTCACTCAGCTTGGCGTTCTCAACAGCGCTTGGGCAGATCAACGGGTGCATGTTGCACGAAAGCCAGAGATATGGCAAGCTTGCCAGCTCGAGTCACACACTGAGCAACAATTGCCAGGTCATGAGTGCAACCGCCTGAGCAATCCTGCATTGTCTGGGCTTGTTGTCAGACCGAGACAGCCAAGCAGTGACCGTCACTTTGCAGTCCGTATCTCTGTTGGTTTCAGCATCAGACGTACTAGGAGTTTCAGCCCACCACATCCAGATGTTCCCAGCACCAGGCCCGGGGCTGCGTGCGTAGAAGATTCTCTGGTCGAGGCAAAGACACACCGGCTGCCGGTGGGTAGAACAGCCGTGCGATGAGGCGGGGAAGGAGAGCGTCCCGCCGGTTGTCGGTGACGGACAGGAAGCCAGGCGGCGCGCGGACAGACCGAAATCGCACCTCGTCGCGGCGCAAGCTCGCAATGCCCATGGCAAGCTCTCCACCCTCCCGCATATGGATAGGTTAAAGTGAGGAGGGCGCATGTAGGCAAGGGCCTACGACGCTTCGAGACGCATGGGGGGACAGTTTAGGCTATCTTCATACTGCGAGATCAGTGGGGGGCGGCTCCGTCTCCAGAACTAGTCTCGCAATGTTGGGGGGACCAAAGAAACCATCCTCAAACCCCTCATCGCAGCAGGTTACTGGCAAGAGAAGGGGTGAAGGAGAGCTTGGGAGAGCTAAGAAGAATCGTTCGAATATTTCAGTAGCTGATCTCAGTTAGTTGCTACGCTGATCACCAAGAAGGCATACACCGACGGGGCTGAACTAGAATGTAATGTGACGTATTACAGTGCCGCTTCATGGCAGCTGACATCACAGCCCCCGGACCTGGCGAAGGCCGAGAGATGATCTCAACTCTGGAGCGCCTGGCAAACAAGACGAGGTTGACGGCGAATATGCCAAAGAGGGCCGGCCGGATTCCCGGACCTCTCTGTCCGCTAGTCGCCATACGAAGCCCATCGACGTTGGAGACATATGTCGCAAATAGAGAGCACCTTTGAAGCGGCTCCTTTGAGCGTAATTCCTCGCCTTGCTCACGGACCTTTCCCAAGGTGGGATGGGGGCTTAGATAGCAGAGGAGAAGGTGAGCGTAACAGATTTGTGTAAATTTCTAGGCTAGGACGGGCTTATTGGGTGGGAGTATTTCTCGGGTCGCGGAGTATTAGTAGATGGACTCCATAATTGGAACTGCCCGAACCGAATACCTACACAATCAATCCACTTACACCAGACGGTCGCACTTTTTTCTTCTGCTGTTCAGGGTCCAGCATCCAGCAGTGCGACTGGAGTTTGCAATAGATGAGCGCAGAGAGGCTTGAGGGGCTGCTGCTTCGGAAACCGATCAGCTCGATACAGTCAGAGCATGGTCACACAAAAGTTGTCCCCAAACATTCCTGTCCACGGACAAGGTGTTGAGTGCCAACTGGATCTTTGATAGTGCTCTGCCGCAGGGCTCAACGGACGGACCAGTCCTTTTCCTTGAGACTGGCACGTTGGCGGGCAAAGCGACGTGAAAAGCTGCGTGTAATACGTGCACAAGTGCTCATCCAAGCACAATCAGGCCAATTAGGTGCCTATCTGGGAACTTTCCATCCTGAACGGACATAACGGAGGGTCCCAAGTGGCAGGTAGGTAATACGGAAACTTGTGCCAGGAAAGGACATGATGGGCCAGGGGCGTTGCATCTCTCTCCAAGTCTCTATCTTCCCCTCTCTCCGCCGTGCCGCCTCGCTTGGATCGGCGGATTTGTTGAAGGTGGGATGGGGATGGGAAATGGGGTTGGGATGAAATGGGGGGTGAAGTGGCTGCTGCCAGCCGAGCCAGCCTTGTAAGCGAAGGGGAAGGGAACAGAGTACAGTCATTGTCATTGATGAGTACAACGTTGACGGTCGGGCCTCGCTCATCTGGCGTAATCGTCTATTCCCCTTTGAGAGCGGCGAATGTCTCGGGCGAGATGTTTATACAAGTAGGTATTTGACATCGACCTCAGCCTTTCCCAATCCCTCGAGACTTGCTCATTACTCTTCCTCGTCCTGTTCAAGATTCCAGGGGACATACCACCACCTCCCGCCAGCTCATTGTGGCCAGATCAACCTTGTTTTGTCCCATTCTTGATCACTTCATCCTTTCGAGAGTTGGGCAGCCCCTATTCATCTTTCTCTGCTGATTTCCCGCATCGAGTCATCGACCTGGACATCGCACCAGACATTTGCCAATCAAATACAGCCAGCAAATTGGCAGACACGGTTGTGGCGTGGCTGCTACCTGGAAAGGAGAGGCCCTGGGCAGACAAGTCAACTGGAGCTCGAGTGTTTGCCCTGCTTCCGTACCAGGGCTTCCCAAGCCCAGGCTAAACTAGTCGCTCGTTCGGAGGGCCGATTCAGGAGTTCCACCAAGGGTAAGGGTGCACAGCTGGCTTTTTCGGGGCTTTGGCGGACGGGCGCCGGAGAAGCTAACGAACGAGACTCCAGCTTTCTGGCTCCACCTTGAAGATTGGCGGATCCAAGCATCCTGCATGCTGCCTCATCGGCCCACACACACCCTGAATCCACTATTTCCAGAAGCTACAGCAGCCCCAGTCAGTACCAAGCCCTGGGAACTTGCGAAGTATCACCGCGCGCAACGACTCAGACTCTCCGCGCGCCAGGCACCTCTCTCGAGACACACGTTAGAGGGGCGGCGCCATCCAAGGACAGCCTTTCTGCTCCTCTGTAGCGCCGATTGGCCCGCAAGAGCAGCTCCTCTGCGCGGCGACCCTTATTGGCCCGTGCCCTACGGTGAGTGTCTTCCTAATCCCTAATCCGCTAACGCAGGGTGGTTGACGCCTCCCTCCACTGACACGGGGCGCTGACCAGAGACAGAAAAAAGTTGAACTCCCTCCTGGAGGCGCGAACCAACAAAAGTTCCTCCATGATTGCAACACAGTCACTACCACTTCTCGACCAGCCCAGTCTGACAAAAGGTTGAGCTCTCTCTATCTGGCCTCACTCCTCTCTCACTTTTACTTTCTCTTTGATCTCTCTCTTACTTTTTCTTCTCTCTCATCTCTCTCATCTCTCTCTCTCTCAACTCTCCGTCCACCTCCAGACTCACCCACTAGTCGGCACGTTGGCTAACACACTCGTCACCCCCGAAGACCTTGGTCGCATCCAGGCCCAACAGTCATCGCTGGCCAAGCGCGTCATGAGCAGCAAACTGCCAGGCTCATCCTCGCCCCCTCTCTCCAGCCAGGTCCATGGGGACAAACCCCTCCCGCCCCTTCACAATGGACACGATGCTCTGTTGCCGCCTCCTGCGGTGCCAGCGGCCCTCGCCCACGCTGTCAGGTCGCTAGACACGTTTGACCAGCACAGGGCTCTGCTCAGCGACAAAGTCCCCCCTCCAGTGTATGACTCCCCCTATGCGCGCAGCAATACTTCCACGGCACCAGGATCGCCACGGATGTAAGCGAATTTCATTTACACCTAAATTCACATATCCTGTCTCTTTGCATGGTTTATTCTGTTCCTCTCTTTTGCCAATCTATTTTGCTGCTTGTGTCGCTGCCATTTTCCCACACTAGTCCATCCTTTGTCACTCTTTGTTTTCCTCTTCATTTTTTTTCCCGCCAGTGCATGTTGGGGGCGCAATGGGTCTGGGTCTGGGTCCAGGAGGCGCTAACACGCTACGTCATAGTCCCCCAGTGCGACAAAATTCGGGCACCCAAACTCCCCGAGTTCGGCCCCATGCGACGACTCTGAACATCCCCGGCATGACGAGGTCGCGCGTGTCCCCAGACGGGAGGATCGCCGAGCGAGACGTAGCTGCCAAGCTGGTCATCATCATGGTGGGCTTGCCTGCGCGAGGCAAGTCCTACATCACAAAGAAGATCCAGAGGTATCTCTCTTGGCAACAGCACGACACCCGCATCTTCAATGTTGGCAATCGACGGCGCATTGCCGCTGGCATCACTTCCCCGTCTCGACCTCCGCCGTCGCGAAAGATCACCGATGAGGACCGGCCCCTACAGGCTGCATCCATCCTCCTGAATGGCATGCAAGCCCCGCCAGCACAGGACCCTCCTGTGCTCGACCTCAACAGCCAGGCTCAGAGCAACGATGCCTCAAATAGCGCAACCCATCACAACGAGAATGGCGAGCCAATTGACCAGTCCGCCAAGTTCTTCGACCCCAAGAACGAGCAAGCGTCTAAGCTGCGCGAGCAAGTCGCGGTCGAGACACTGGACGAACTGCTCGAGTATCTGCTTCACGGAGGCGGTGCGGTGGGCATTCTCGATGCCACCAACAGCACCATCCACAGGCGGAAACTCCTGGTTGACCACATCAAAGCGAGGGAGCCCAAGCTGGGCATCCTCTTTATCGAGAGCATCTGTCATGACCAAAACGTAATGCCCATTGCCAATTCACGTCCACAAGACAAGGAAGCTCCAGGCTAACATGTGTTTTTCAGCTGCTCGAGGCCAACATGCGTCTCAAACTGTCTGGCCCGGACTACAAGGACAAGGACCCCCAGAAGTCTCTGGAAGACTTCAAGAAGCGCGTGGAGGCTTACGAGAGTGCCTACGAGCCCCTCGGCGAGTACGAGGAGAAACGCGACTTGCAATACGTTCAGGTATGTGGGCGTGGGCTCCTTTCACCGTCGGCAAGACCTGGACCCCGAGCTAACAAGCGGCAAAGATCATCGATGTGGGCAGGAAAGTCGTCTTCCACCGCCTCAAGGGCTTCCTGAGTGGCGGCATTGCCTCTTATCTGACTACGTTCAACCTGTCCCCGCGGCAGATATGGATTACCCGGCATGGACAGAGTATGGATAATGTCGCTGGCAAGCTCGGCGGGGATTCACCACTGACCGAACGGGGACACTACTACGGCCAAGCTCTCTACAACTTCATCACCTTCAAACGTAAGGAGTGGTTGATTGGTCAGAAGAACAGGATCGCACAAGCCTCCTTCCCCCCGCAGCCAGGAGACAACACCCCACCGTATCCCGAGCTCAACCAGGAGCTCGACGAGAAGAACTTTTGCGTCTGGACGTCGATGCTCAAGCGCAGCGCCGAAACTGCCGAGTATTTCGAGGCTGACGACGACTATGATGTCAAGGCATGGGAAATGCTCAACGAGCTGAATGCCGGTGCGTTTGAGGGTATGACGTACGACGACATCGCACGAAAGCACCCCGAGGAGTATCACAAGCGCTCTATGGACAAGCTGCACTACATCTACCCGGGCGTCGGAGGCGAGGGCTACCTCCAGATTATCAACCGCCTTCGAGACATGGTTCGGGAGATCGAGCGCGTGACTGACCACGTCATGGTCATTGGCCACCGATCCATCTGCCGTGTCCTCATGGCCTACTTTATGGACCTCACTAGGGACGATATTGCAGAGCTTGACGTACCTCTCGGTATCCTGTACGCGATCGAGCCCAAGCCGTACGGTATTGAGTTCCACGCGTACAAGTATAACGAGGCGGAAGGCTGGTTTGACGAGCTGCCCAACTACAAGCCCCAGAAGACTGTCGACCGGAACAACTGATTCGGACGATCGCACCAGCAACAGCAGTGTCCGCGATACTCTCTCCTCGCTTCTATGTCTTTTTCCTCTTTTTCTTCTTCTTGGCGTTCTCGGTTGCTTTACTCATGAAACATGAACGGATGGAACAGGGGATCACAAATGTCACCGCCTTGAGAAACGGTGATATACTCGTTTTGCTTTTTTTTTTTTTGAAAATGTTTGCTGCTTTTTACTAAAGATACCTATTTAGAACGGGGCTGCATCAGAGCCGCCCATTTCCAAGACGGGTGCACACGACAGACCGGCTTTGGTCGGCCGGGTTCACCTATGCATGCATATACTAGGCGTTGATTTAGTAGCCAAAGGAGGTCGGCACAACTACCACAGGGATGGCATACCACATGTTTGTTTTGTTTTTGTTGTTTCTTGTCGACTTTGCGCTGAGTTTCCAGGGGATGAGATGTATCAGGTTCTCTCGACTTTGCTGGACCATGGCTATCGATGATGCGCGTTGCCGTTTTTAGCATGCAGAGTGTCTTGCACCAGGCGCTGCTTTATGTACTACTCTATGAACACTATGATACTGAAATGGACTTGTCCAGGGTTGCAACTCGAAATATCGGACTCTTTGTAGAAGTGTGCTCTCTGTGAAATGGATCTGTTGCCCTGTGTCTGTCCTTGTCATTGAATCTCCGCCAGGGGGCCTCTGTGAACTTGCCTGTGGACTCCAAGCTGCTCACCAAGCCATTCTTTCCAGCAACCAGAGACATTGTATAAAAAAAAGGGCGATTCGTAATGTACTGCAAGCAAGTGGTTCAGGAGCCCCGAAGGAATGAGAATAACCTAGACTATTTCGGCATCTAACCATCGGGGTTATCGTAGCAAAGCACAAGCATCTCTTTCGAGTTCGCTACTCCATCCAGTGCAGTGACGTAAAATCTCACAAGTATTCCTCATCAAGGTCCTTTATCCAATAATACAGATCTACAAAAAGGATTCCCCGGTAAAGAAAAAGAAGATGACGGAGAGAGACGACTACAGAGCCCCGGACGCGATGACGGCGATCTGCTGCTCCCGCCGCCGGTCCACCTCCCGCTTGAGCATGACCAGGCACGTCGTCACGGCCGCCACGAGCGCCATGTCGCGGTGGCGCTTCTCCCACGGGGACAGGTCGACCTGCAGCCGGCCGCCGTTGCCCGCCGAGCTCCGGCCGCTGCCCGGGTCGCGGTGCTCGCCGCTGCGCACGAGCTGGGCCACCGCCCTTCTCGACGTGGCGGCGCTGCTGCCGCTGCTGCTGCTGCCCGTGGCGGCGACGAGCCGCTCGAGCACGAGCAGGTCGTCCGCGCCGGCCGCCCGGCGCTCCTTCCTGCTGCCGTACCGCCACTCGAAGTCGCCGAGGCGGCGCGTGCGGAACTGCGCCGCCCGCGTGAGCAGGCCCGACGAGCGGACCTCGAACGAGTCCCACTCCTCCTCTTCGCCGTCCCCTTCTTCTTCTCCGGTGGTGGTGGTGGTGGCGGCCAGGCCGGGAGGCAGGACGAGCCGGACGCGCGGCGGCCGCCCGTGGCCGAAGCGGTAGGTCGTGCTGCTCACGGGCCGGGCGCGCGAGGTCTCCGGCCCCGCTTCGCCGCCGAGGTCGCCGCCCAGGTACAGGCTGCACGAGCCGGAGCGGCGCTCGGGCCGGATGGAGACGAAGGACGGGGTCTGGGACGGGGTGCCGACGTCGTCGTCGTCGGGAGGGAGAGGGAGAGGGAGCAGGAGGCCCGTGGCTCCGGCGTGACGAGGAGGGGGGGAGACGGCGAAGACGGGCACCGGGTCCGGCGGGGTCGGCGAGGGCCAGGAGAGCCATGCCTTTCCCGGGGTCTGGATCTGGAGCTGGATCGTGGGGGCGAAGTTGGGGGCCGGTGCGGTGGCGGGGAGTGCTTGGCGCTGTTGCTGTTTGGTGTCGGTTGCCGCGGCGGAGGAGGGCACGGAGTCGCTGTAGGCTGGGGGCTGGTCCTCTGCCTCGTCGCTGCTGCTCGGGGAGGTGGCGCCGGCGTCTTCCTCGAACATGTCTCGGGCGTCTGCGGTGCGCGGGACGCTGCTGCCTGGTGCGATGCTGTGCGCCTCGTAGGGGGGCGGCACGGAGGTGCCTTGCTGGTGCAAGAGCTCGGGCGTCTTTTCCAACATCGCTGTGGTCATAATCGTCTGTTTTTGTCCTGAGGCGCGCTTCTCGAATGTAAGTCACGGGGGATGGTTTCTTGAGTGATGTTGCCTTCTAGAAAGTGTTGCATGAGGCTTTGGATATAGAATACTAGGTAGGTAGGTAGGCACTCGACGGGCTATTATACTTGATGCCTCCCAGACGAAGAGCTTGAAGCGATACCCATCCCCCCCAAGCCGTCGCATAAAGTACGATCAATACGGGCCACTGCCACCATTTCCCATGCTCCTGGCCAATGACGCACCGGGCAACCTAGACGACCGGAGCGTCAGCGGCTTGTTCAACGGCACAAAGCTTATGAGTTTGTCCACCTTCTAGACCACTGAATTCACCGGGATTTCCAAGACAGACAGAGCTTACCTACCTACCCAAGGCACAGCTCTCAGCCCTTTGTTCTCAAGATCCAGCCAGTCAGAGTGCTCCGATGCGGCGATGCCGGGCTCGGGGACCCACCTCCGCAGCGGCGACGGGGGGCTTGGTGCTTGTAGAACGGGCTGGTGGGGAAGGAGATGCAGGTCGCCCCACTTGGCGCCCCGGCCTGAATGCGAAATACGGTCATGGCAAGATGGGGGGGGGGGGGGGGGGGGGGGGGGGGGGGCAATTCTTGGAGACCTGGGGGAGGATGCCGAGTGCCTGTCAGCAGGTTTGTTTGTTCGGTATGCTAGAACATAAGCTCTGCCTTCTAGAACGAGGCGCAGGTAGATTAGGCACCTAACTAGCCGTGCAGCTGGTAGTTTCCGGGCAACAGTGACTGTGGCGTGGCAGTGCCGCGCTTTGTTGTACATATCCAAGCGTACTTGCAGTATCATCAGACATCAGACCACGAGATACTACCTCAGTCTTTCTTGGCAGACTCCTGGATGCAGGGAGAACCGTGAGACGGAGGGATATGACCCGAGGACGTCGCAGGAGTGACGCATCGTGAAGTGGCTTCTCCATCAGACATGCTAAGAAACGCTCAGTAGGTATAGGTAGGTATCAGTGCCTGGCAGGGGTATTATCATTGCTAAAAAGGGATGTGAAAGCGGAATGTACTCCCGATCCTGTATACACTGGCATATAGCAATCAAACTACCCAATATCAAAACAGTATATCGCAGATCATTACGACAGATAGGTATCCCCAAAGCCACACAACTCCAAAAGCACCACCCCGTCGAGATGGGAAAAAAAATTATTACCAGTCCGCATCTTCCTCGTCCCCCTTCAGCCCGAAATACCTCGGGTTCTCGTCCAGCCGCGCCTCCACCCACATCGGCCACGCGTTGTAGACCTGCCACTCGGGCCCGATGCTGGCGTTGAGGTACTTGAGCCAGCGGCACATGCCGAGGTCGACGAGGCACTCTTTCGACTGCTGCTGCTGCTGCCTCTGCCCCTGGGCCTGGCCCTGGCTCCCCTTGCGGCCCATGCTCTCCGCCACCTGGCGGCTCGACATGCGCGCCGGCACGGAGGGCGACTGGTCCCGGCACTTGTGCTCCGCGGACGTGACGGTGGCCATGGTCTGCTTGATGGCGATCCAGTGCGCGCCGAGCAGCGCGAAGACGGTGCTGGTCGGGTCGACGATCTGCTGGAACTTGTCGTGGGGCAGCTGCATCCACCACGAGTAGTGCCGGGATATAGACTGCCATGCTGTGTGTGTGTGTGCGAGTCGTGTCAGTAAAGCGCGTGTCGGATTTCTCTTGGAGAAGAGCCCCCCCCCTCCCCAAACCCCCAAAGAGGGCAAAGTTGTTAAAAGAAGGAAGCGAAAGAGAAAAGAAAAACAGGGGGTATACTCACCTGCCAACGGCGAGTCGAGGAGCGCCTCCGCCATGCCCAGGAGGAGCTCATAGTACGCCCGCTCCACCTCCCCCGTGCACAGCGGCTCGAGCCCGCGCACGGCCGCCACCGCGCCCTCGCCCCAGCTCCTCTCCATGGGGGCCACCTCCTCCAGGAACGGCTTCAGCTTGCTCAGCTGGTCGTCGCCCATGAGGTTGACAAAGAGGAAGCGGCAGCCCTTGACGTACATCTGGATGGCGACGATGATGACGCCGCGGATGAAGGTCATGTACTCGCACATGCCGTCGTCGAGCAGGACGGACTGGAAGGTCAGGGCGAAGCAGGTGGCCATCATGGCGTTGCCCTCCTCGAAGGTGCTGGCCTTGGGCACGCCCGCGAGCGTCTTCTTGATGGCGCGGATGGCCTTGAGCCGGTGCTGCATGGCGGCCTCGACCAAGGACGGGTCGTACTGCATCAGGTCCGAGGCGGCGAGGCCCAGGACCGCGTGCATGAGGTATTCATACTGCGGGACAGGAATGTGAGCGACACACACAGAGTTTGCCAATCGTCCCAAAGCCGGAGACATACCTCTTGTGATAGGCACGGTATCTCGTGAGTCCAGATGCTCTCGTTGCCCAGGGGGTGGTGTGGATAGCACCGCAGAAGGAAGTGCTGGAAGAATCGCATATCTTGGAGACTGAACAATGGTATTTGATGTTGTGGCTGGACGACCAAATTAGCGGGTGCTGTGTGCCGGTACGCATGTGAACAAAGAGTTCCATGGCTTGGCGTCGAGTTCTGTACGAACCTGGTATGTTACCTGGGGCACGGAAGGGTACTCGCACTTCAGCCCCGACTTGACGCAGTGGCCACACGCAGGCTTGTTTTCTTGGCACTTGATCCGCCGCCGCTTGCAGTTGAAGCAGCCGCGGCGCGACTTGGTATGCCCTCTCCTCTCGAGCCTCTGCTTGGGCGGCGACGTGCTCGAGGTGCTCTTGCCGGAGCCGGGCTGCGCCGTGGCCGTCAAAGCGGTCGAGGGCGACGAGGAGGAGGAGGAGCCATGAGCCGCGAGCACAGGGACTCGGTCCCCCATGACGGTGCGCGACGTGTTGGACGTCGAGCTCTCCTCGGCCATGTAGTCGACGTCGACGTCCTCGGTCTCCTCGAGGAAGGCGCCATACTCGAAGTCGGCCGGCTCGGCGTCGAGGGTGATCATGGGCATCAATGGCTGCGTGTAGTCCATGATGTCGTGTTATCCTTTCGGGTTGACTGAAGTCATTCGTTGTTCAAAGGTGGCGGAGTGAGGGTTTGACATATGGCGCTTCGCGTCTGTCCAGATGTAATGTTTCTGTTCCGAGTGGTTTACACAGCTTGAGCTGAGTCTGTTGGTTGGCGGGATCCTCCGTAAGCCTCTCTGGTTTATATGATTCCAAGTAGAGTGTTTTCTAAGCACTATGCGTTTAGAAAGATGTGAGAAGTATCAAGTCGATGGAGAAATACGCCGTTTGTCCAAATCAATCACGTGTGCGATGCGTGATGGCATGTCGACGTATGCAGCGAGATGATGAAGAAGACTCATATGCCGTGATGTGGTGGCAGTGTCATTTTATCTTGGCATCCATAGCTGAGACCCCCGGAAACCTGCCATGATTAGCGGCTCACTACACTGTTCAGGCACCGAACAGAAGTACCCTTTCACACCACCCCACCCGATCAGCTAACCCCCGTCGAGGCCTAGGAGAGTTCGTTGGTGCCTTTACGAGGCCGAATTCGAGCATCAATGCCAAAGTCCCTCTGCGTGAATTAAGTTGCTATCCCTCCAGCCGTTCAGGCACAGCATCTGTCAGCGACCTCGTTAGCCTGATGGTCCCCGAGGCGGAGGCGCAGTCGCGGAGTCGCTATGGGCGGTGCGCTCGACTCAGGGTTCATACGCCGGGTACATTCCGGGGCGCATCAGAGGCGCGGGTCATATATCCCTCCGGCCTGCCACCGACAACCGACCCTCCAAGTCGGGCTATCCGTGCCACGCCGCGTCGGCACGACGCACGGAGTGCCCCAATGACAGTTACCGTTGTAAATCGTGCACGAACGTTGATTTAATAAACTTTGGTTCGAGTCCAACCCGGGTGGAGTTATCAGACATTACGACGAGGGCTTGTAGTTGAGTTAAACATCAACGAGGACAACATTAACCTTCGAAATACACTCAAGGCGTCCTTGTGACCAAACTGGCATCCCCTGGTGGACATGAACATCACTCATAGACTACAGTAATTCGGTGAGCATGATGACCACTTAGGAGATTCAATTGTTTGCTTGTCCCAGTAGATCGTCCCGCCGAATCAGGAACAGAGTCCGGGCAGTCGTAGACCTTGGCCGGTAAAGTCCACACCTTTTTTGAAAAATGTACCCCTCGGTGCCGCCTATTCGGCGGCAGGGGCCTTCCTAATGGTAGTCACTCACCGGCATTGGCGGGCTGGTGCATGCCGTGGGCCGGGTTCCGGCCTCCTGTGGCTCGGCCTCGATGATGGAGTCTGTGAAACACCCGGGGCAGGCATCGCAGCCTCCTCAACCTGAGATAGATACATGAGCATTCATCCCAGATTGAAGAAACGGCATGGAAGTGACCTAGACGGTATTGAAAGAGATGATCTTGCGAGATCGTAAAGGAGCTCTGTGCGAAAACCAGCCGTGGTCGAGTACAGAGTCTACATTTCGGATCCGGGCCCCGGCCACTCAAGTAAGGAGCACATATACAAAGTAAAAAAGGAGGGAAAAAAAAAAAACTGGCATATCAGCCCGGAGGGTGATATGCTTCGAAAATTCGCCCGAAGGGGCGGATTTTGCTCCGTGGTTGTGAATCGAACCCGTGTCCTCCCCCTTTTCCTTGTCCCCTTTTCCACTTCCCCTTCCCGAAATGGAATCATTAGTCCACCGCAGGACGACATGATTGACCTGAACTTGACCAACCGACCAAGCCGCCACATGTCGCCCCCCTGAAAATCAGACCGCGATATTGGAACTTATAAGGGCCTTTCAACGCTTCTGGCAGGAACGCAGGAAAGGTGTCAATGTCCAGTGACTCTCCTCGGCCTGGCCAAGATCATTCCTGAAGTCTAGCTAACATCATGATGAAACCCAACTATCACTGTAAATGCTGGTAGATTGAGCCATGCTTTGTTTGCGATCTTCTTATCCTGAGCTGACGTTTGGGCCATGACCAGGAACTCAACGGGGCTTTGCAAACAGAATGGCGTATTCTCGATATCTCCTGTCTTGTGTCGAAGATATATACTATGAGGACTCCCGTTTCCGGCATTGTTTTCATACACTGCTTTACCTGGTATTCAAGTACCCCTCAGAAACGGTCATCATGCAGAACAAAAGCTCGACTAGGGCCTTGATTCTAGACAATACCTTGCCCTGAGGTCACTTCCCCATAGACATCCAATAGCAAGACTCGCTGGTGCCATGTCACACACCTGGCTATTGGGAAGCAGCTGGAAGAAGAGCCAAGACTGTCGAAGACCCTTGAGGTTCGGTAGCACCCCGTCCACGTCTGCAATCGTGGTACTTGCGTTTCCGGTCCTGTAGGTACACTAGGATAATGACATTGGTAAGTTGTCTTCTGCATATAAGGTCAATAAGGAAGCAGGAATCGCCTTTTACCAACACTGATAGCATCTGGATACTGAATCGCTGAACACTGCAAAGAGTGTAAGAATCAATATCCCCGGTTCTGATGCAGGCGACAGCAGACGGACCAGAATCTTCGTATACTGGGTTTATAAAACCTCTGCGGCTAAAAAAACCCTGAGCCATGATTTTCAGCAGTTAAGTACTCCCTTCATGTCTTCCTCCATTACCTGTCTCTCCCCGAACGGGACAGGAAGCTTACGGGCAAGTTTCGCAGGTCACCACCATACTGCCAGAAACCTCGCCCTTCCTCGCGGTTCATCTCTATTTGAAAGAACGCTGAAACCAGAAAGTCACTCAGCAAGCCACCGCATTACCGCCTGCATTCCCTGGGCTTTCCTCGAGTTGGTATCGTAGAGTGGACATCGGAGCGCCGGTTCATGCTCGCTATTCACACTCCGTGGTGACTCACGTCAGCTGCAGAGGTCTCATGACGTTGGGTGAGGTATTGCGGTCTGAAATGAGTTTTTATTACGCCATTCATAATTACTATCAAGCATTTTACTTTGCCAAGTATGCTGTGCAGTTCTCTCCATAGCTGAAGCAGCGAGTTCCGGCTTCGCCGACTTGCCAAGTCGATGTTTATGATGATAGGCACCTGTCCAATCACGAGCAAAGAGCTTTCCGTCCCTGTCTAAGAAACGGCATGAAAACAAGACCTTGTCCTTGCTGCTGTTCATCCGAACCCATCAGATCCAAGACCCGGGAATTCATGCCGGGTTTTGCAATACCAGATAAGAGTAGGGCTCGGAAGCCTGCACACACGCGGGTGGGCGGCACTGAAATTGTTCTAGATGGAGGACAGACACTAAGAGCTTCTCGACCCGGATAAATGCTGGGAAAATCCAGAGTGAGATCGCTTTACCAGGCTCAACTGTGACCATTGATGACTAGACATCGAGGAATAGACCATGGTAAATTAAGACACTGAGAGAAGGAATAGCCGAACCGGTAATAGCTGGACTGGTGAGATTGGTCCTGCAGTCCCCAGGCAGGTGTCAACAAACCTTTGGCAGACAGCCTCATCAATTGAGATAACTCTCACGAGGGCCGGGAGTATTTCACGGCCCGATGTGAAGGCGGGAGACTGGGCTTGCAAGAAACCGGTTCTCAGTCACAGTGCCAGAGCGGCAAGATATGATGATGAAACCACTTTTGATGGTCCAATCCATTCTCTGTAATCAGTCTGATCGGGCATCCTGTCCAATGCTTGGTCCTACCTGATTGTGACAACACACAACATTCCTCCAGCTGGCCAGTCTGTAAGGCCGGGCCAAGGAAGTCGGGCCTGAGATACTATGAGCACACAATCTCTCTGTACATTGAGTACCTAGATTTGTGTGTCCCTTTCCCTCGGCATTCAGAGTCTAGCGCGAGTGAGCATGACCGTGATCTGCAAAGAAACTGTCGGTTTCGGCAATCATGATCGAGTTCTCTTGGATGGTACCACACAGGATGTGGTGACACACCTGGCCGTGAGAGTGAGGTGTTGGCTGATCCCCACTCCTGATCGGGGCTCCGAAATCAACAAGGGGGCTTTGCCCTTTTCTTCCCCCAAGCAGTTTCTAGACCGATGGGAGAACAAGACAAGCTTTTTTGGCGTGAAGGGATCTGCTGAAAACGCGTGTGCTCGTGGTCCGTGGCTTCGGGTGTAATTTCGCTTGTCGGTTTCAGGTGTCTCTGGTGCGTTGGTATGCCGGGGGCGTCGGCGGTGGGACTTGGCAGGTTGGGCGCTGAACGCTGGACGCTGGAATGTGGAAGACCCGCGATTCCACGTAATAGGGTACACTAAGTAGATACACGGCTTGCAGGGGTGCCGGCAAGAAAAGAGTACGTGGGCCCAATCAATGCAGAGGAGATGAAAGAACACCCATGAGTCGGGCATGCGACAGTGGAAAAAAGCCTGGAAGAACCCTCGCTGTTGGTGTCTGTCGTGGGCCTCGGTGATGATGATCAACACGGTACTTGAAGAACCGGGGATGCACAGCGATGCGCCACCCCGATGGTGGAGGGGCCGCGAGAGGCTGTAGTGGCAGTGAGTCTGCTCGTCTCGAGGATTCACCGACTTGGCGGAAGTGGCAGACAGACACAGGTTGCATGTGCTGGATGGTACTCATGTCTGTACTTGGTCGAGATCCATGGGTGTCAGTCAGGTCAGACGGGAAAATGGCAAGGCATGAATCATCAAAACGTAGACCGTCACTTGCCTCGCCAACTTCAGCGCTGAAACAGGCAGTCGCAAGGGGCAGTGATTTCCAGGGCGGGAATAGCTGAACAGCATCCCAACGGGGCAGTCACGATTGGGTGCTGAATCCCGGGCTGTAGACGCTGTGAAAGTGGCCCTTTCCTTTTGGTGCTGAGAAACGCGCGCTTCATTTGCGCATCACATGGGTCGCTCACTTGTGCGTGATCTCTGGGATTCTTTCTCGCCTTGCTCCGTCCATGGATTTTTTTTCGTCTGTTCCAGGTTGTTTCCCCGTTCCTGCAGTAGAGCGAGTCCACTTGAAACGAGTCAAAGCTGGGAGGGGAGGCTGTTTGCGACGCTCATTGGCGGCGGTTTGTCCACTGCAGCCAGCGTGCCCCCCGTCCCAGTGCGCAAGGGTGATCATCAGTGCGTTCCTGCATGACAAGAGCTTTCGCAAGCGCTGGCGATTGGACCGGGTCCCAAAAAACCAGAGCAGATGCAGGTCCGGGAAAAGGCCAGCATTACCACGTACTCCGTCCCATTGATTGTAGCTCTGGGGGGAGATCGCCTGCTCATCTGATCTGGCTGGTCTAGGTATCTGATCTGTCTTGTCTCTAGGCGAGCGGCAAGTGAGGCACGGCCACGTTCTGTTGACCGACCTACCAGAGTTCCCAATTGGGCGGCCAGTAGAGCCTGAGCTGTTTCGTGGCCACGGCCTTTGCCGCCCGAATCAATCAGTCAATCGATTCTTCTACTTGTATCAATTGCGTACAAGCAAGATGGCTGTCTCCCAGCCTCCTCCTCGTTCTCCTTCCTTCTTGCGTTGGTCTGCGAGGCCCACCGCCGAGATCGATAGTGCGCCATTTGGCAACCAGCGATCGTGTCGCCGTCCCATCCTGGCGGGTCGTCGTTTCAGGAGGTGAGCTACGAGGTTGCCTTATGTAGGGGCGGTGGGGTCCGCAAAAAAGTCGTTGCTTTTGCTGTGTGTTCTACTTGTAGATGTAGGTAGGTACCTGCGGTTGCATCAAATGGCTGGAATGGAGCGAAGCAAGAGACGGACGGGACTTCAAGCTTGATGTTCCGTGCGGCGTTGGCGACCACGTTCTTCCATTCTTCGGTTCTGGTTCCTGGTGGCTTGGTTAGTAAGCTCAGGTTTGCGCACTCTCGACATCGGCCGCCGTTGGTGTACCAATTAGTTGCGACGTGGTGAAAAGGACATTCAGCGCCGGAGGGGACGGACGCTTGGACCAGAGACACGGGAAGGCCCTAGACCAATAGGAAGGTCTGCCAGGCCCCTTTCTCGGCCCCGTTCGAGCCACGAGCTATCGAGCGGTACAGCACCACTTCTGTGGTGCGGCAGCGGGATCCTAGCCCAGGAACCCCCCTACGAGGCACTAGGACAAGCCCGCCCCGCCTTGCCGCCCCCCTTCGCCCTTGCTGGCGCGCCTGGCTTGACTGGCGTGCGCTGACAAGTTCCTGGCTTCGGACGACATGGGCCTACGTGCTCCTGGCAGATCTGTCCATTTGTGGACTTGGAGGCGCCGCCTCATCGCTGGCGTCGTCGGTCCTCTTGGCGGAGGGGACAGGGTTGGGCCCGCCTGGCTCTTGCACACCGGGCACCAGATAGTTACTCCCTACCTTGAAGAAACGGACGGAGGACAGAGTGGCGGCGGCCTGTCGCTCTTAGGGCGATACACGGCAGCTGTATGTACCACATGCGGCAGATTATTGTCACTCGGTATGAGCCAAGCAGCGAGGATGGAGGGTGGGAGAAGAGGGGCCGACAGTTGAGAGTCATGTAGGTCTAGGTGCTCCCGAGCTGTCTAACGAAAACGCCATCCGATGGTGTCCCAATAAAGGCTGGGCGCAACGGGGCATTGCTGGCCTTTCAGCGCTCAGATTGCACACTCGTGTTTTGTTCAAGGTTTGATTATGCTCATGGGCAGAAACCTGGCCTGCCATGGCAGAGTCCGGGCTGGACGCGTATGTGCCCATACCAACTAGGCTGCGTGGATCCAGAAATAATCCCGTATTTGGTTGCTGAAGATGGGATGAACAAGATAAGGTGGCCGTACATATATGGAACCTTGGGCCGGCCCAGGCGATCGAAGAGCAAGGAGGTGATGGGACTGCCATGGCATGCGAGGGGGCGAAGCTGCCAGATGCAACGAAAGCTGCCATGCAACTCGGACAATCACGAACAACTGTTCCCACTGTCTTGCCAAGTCTTTAATCGCGGGTTTTCCTACTTATACTTCGAGACCAGATCCTATTTACAGACCACCGCTAGGAGTTAGCATAGGCGATCTGCAAAGCAGGCGATAACCAAGTTCGATACGACAGCAAATCGGGACGCCTGGCACTGTCTGAAGGGGAAGAAGCAGCTCAATGTAAGCTGTGCCGCCGGAAAAGGTACGTACGAGTGTTTATTTGCTGGAGTGCCTGTACCATTACGTCTCGGCATGCGAGGACGAGGCCAGGCGGCCATTGGCTGCCCGCTTGCTGCTGTTGTTCACCTCACCATGCACCAACAAACACCCGTGCGCTGCTTTTTTTGGGAACCCCTGCCTGTGTGTCTCTTTTTTACCGATGAGGCCGTCAGAGGCACAGATGCAAAGCTGCAGCAGTGTGAGCGGGTGAGTGTGCACCGCTGCCACCCTCCTTCGGGAGTATCACCAAGAGAAGAGAAGGGAGTAGGAGTAGAGTAGGCGAGTCCCTACCTGTCTACCCTGTTGTGTGCAGTGGCCGGGATGCAATGTGCTCGTTCGTTCTCTGGCGTTTGGTGACGAATCTGGGAATTCCCTGCCTTGCCCTGCCATGGCCTTTTTTCTCTTTTCTTTTTTGGGGGGCATGATCTGCTGTTAGTTGGAGTGGTGGTGCAGTCAGCGGGTGGTGGTGGTACCTGCTCCTCCACCCTTGCGCACCCACACCCACACCCACCCGCAACCACAGCACACACCACCCACCCACGTCGCTCAGTCAGTCAATTCACTTGCTGCTCGGTCGTGGCCCCGTAAAACGGGTCGGGTACCTGAGCTGGTAGGTGGCCGCCCCACACGTGCCGCCAGGTACGCATCCACTCTCCATCCAGCACGGCAACCCCCCTACTTCTGCCCACTCCTCCTGAACTACCTTAGTCTCTTGGTCTCGACTTCAGTCCAGATCCGGTACTCCACGCCGCTCACTCCCAGTCTCTCACTCCCTCACTCCCAGTCTCTTCCCCCCGTCAAAGTCTGGATCCCCCCAGCCCTGGATCGGCCTCCTTGTCACTCCTTTCACTTTCAATAAATTGATACCCCCTTCCCTCTCGCCATTCTTTGTTTCACTCCCTTCCCTCGTCGCCCTCCGCACCCTTTCATTCCCTTGTTCTTGACCTCCCCAAGATCCTTGGCCTCGTCTCGAAGACTGCCTTTTCCCTTCCTTTATCAAAGCCAACCAAGGTCGCGAGCTTCGACCTCGTCCGCTCTCCCTCTTGCATCCCGCCCATTTCTACTTCGTATTGCCCGCCGATAGTCGTCAGCCACTCCTCCCTTGGGACTACCACCGACTTCTGCAAATACGCATCATTCTTTCTGCGTCTTTGACAGACTGCCTCTCATTATTCACTGCCCCATTTTCTCATCGTCCTACAACAACGGCACCCTCAGGCTCAACTCACCCTGACCTCACCTTGCCTCTCACCTGACCTTGACTCCCGCCTCACGTGTAGAGACAACAAACAAGCACAGTCACACGCCTCGTGTGTCGTTTGCACTCATTCTTCTCGGCCCCAGGTGGATCTGACGATTATCTTTCAGTACTGCATCAACAGGCTGCTGGCAATATCCAAACAAAACCATTCATTCGACTCTTGGGAATCAAAGGTCAACACACCAAACAAACAATACCAACAAAGACGCAACACGCACAAAGCATTGACGAGTCGATCTATTTTTAACGTCGACTTATAAGAGCACTGCAGCTTCTCGACCCGCGTTCCTTGATCGAGAACAACCACCGCAACAGCTTTTTCCAAAATGCATTTCCAGAAGCTCACCGTTCTGGCCTCGGCCCTCCTCGCCCAGGAGGCCCTGGCCGGCAGCGCCCACCGTTTCGCCCACCGCGAGTATCACGACAAGAAGGACGTCGTCTACGCCCACACCGAGGTCGAGACCGTTGTCGAATGGGTCACTGTCACCGCCTGGGACCCCCCAGAGAGCCAGCCTACCAAGGTGGTCTCCGTCTTCAAGGGCCACCACAGCGCGCCCCCACCGCCCCCTCCGCCTCCGCCTCCGGCCCCGACCACCACTTCGACTTCGTCGACCTCGTCGTCGTCGTCGACCTCGGTCGCCCCGGTCGTTCCTGCTCCTGCTACCACCCTGGCCACCTCTATCAAGCCCCAGGTCCAGGTTGCCCAGGCCTCTCAGCCTCCGGCTCTCAAGGCCGAGGCCAATGTCGATGTGAGCGTCGGCCTTGGCATCGGCGGCGGCAGTGTCAGCACCCCCGCTGCCTCTCCGACCGGCTCCACCGGCGGTTCCAGCGGCGCCCCCAGCGGCGGCAACAAGCGTGGTCTCGCCTACAACCAGGGCAACCTCCTGAGCGCCTTCCTGAACTCCGGCACCAAGTGCAACTGGAGCTACAACTGGGGTCAGACCAAGGATGCTGGCGCCCCCGACTCGCTCGAGTTCGTCCCCATGATGTGGGGCCCCGGTCCCAACCACGAGCCCACCTGGCCCAGCAGCGCCGAGAAGGCCATCGCGGCCGGCACCAAGGACTTCCTGTCCTTCAACGAGTGCGACCACCCCGGCCAGTGCAACATGAGCCCCTCCGACACTGCTGCCGCCCACATCCGCCTCATGAACCCCTACCAGGGCCGCGTTCGCATCAGCGCTCCCGCCATCACCAACTCCAACTCCCCTGGCCAGGGTATCGACTGGCTCAAGCAGTTCTTCGCTGCCTGCAATGGCAAGTGCGCCGTCGACTTTTGCGCTGCCCATTGGTACTCGCCTGCCGACCCTGACGAGTTCCTTTCCCACATGGTCAACGTCCACAACGCCTGCCAGGGTAAGCCCGTCTGGATCACCGAGTTTGCCCCCTTCGGCAGCGACGACCAGATCGATGCCTTCCTCAAGAAGGTCATGAACGCCATGGACAACGACCCCAAGTACAACTTCATCGAGCGCTACAGCTACTTCATGGTCGGCCCCGGCTCCATGATCAGCTCCGGCACCTCGCTCTCCAGCTATGGCAAGACCTTCGCCTACGGCTCTTAAGTGCAACACTATCCACTTGACCGGGTTGGATAGAGAGCGCGATGTAGGAGACGTGGTTGAGACATCTTTCGCTTCTTGTCTGTCGTTGTACCATCCACTTTGGGGACCACATTTACATAACCGTGGAACGGGGGGGCATCTTCCTTGACCGTTTTTTACATATGGGGAGCTATTGGCTGGCTAGACGGGGATGGGACATCCGGGAAACCAAAAAGTCTGGGAGCCACAAATGGAACTCCCTCGATCTTTGTCGAACGTGATTGGGTGTGATCTCCTTGTCCACCCAACGCGGTTGCGTCTTTTCTTTGCTTCACTTCTTTCTGTACATAACACCTTTTGACTTCTTTGATCTCTTTTTTTGACAAACCGTCAACCTTTGGCAGAGTTATCCTGATCACAGGGATTTCGATCTAAGGGAGATGAAAGGGGAGGAGTAACAGAGACGCCACTCTGAGCGCTCTGCCTCTTACTGCTAGATACTTTGATGATCGACACGGATCTTGTCAAGTATAGAAAAAAGGGGACACAACTTTTTCTGCTGAACAAACTTGAAATTGTTTTTTTGCACTTTTTTTTGCGTTGATTTTTGATGGCAGTTCAAAAGGGGATGAGTATACCTCTAGACCATGCTTTACACTCACGCTCGCTTTAGACATGAAATGAACATGAACTCGATGACTTTCAACATCCATTGTCTTGCGCCTTCTCTCGACCTCGCCCTATGCCTGTGGTCATAAATGACTCGAAATGTGCCATCTAATAATACCCGACTTCAGATACCCGTTCCCCATTCTTCGGCTTCCTTGCGTGTGGTAAAAAAAAACATTACTTCCTTTTTGTGTCCCATCTTCCTTCCATGACGATTGCTGTGAATATCAACGTGGGACTCATTCCCATCAAGGCTTCCTGGTCTATCCAGCGCATGAAAGCGCGATCTCATCGGCTCCGCAACTGTTTGGTCTGCTCGAGGCCTTTTTCCAATCGTGGCCCGATTTTTTGATGTCCTGGGTATCAAATGCCTTCTCTTTCCAAACAAAGGAGCAAAACAAGCACAATGCCCGGCTCGGGGCTGGCCCACCCTTGTATATCATACAACATCTTCCCCCCCCAATTTCCCTCGTCGTCGTACACGCAACAAGGCTAAAACCTCGGGGCAATAATAGCAGAAGATGTCTCCCGGTCTAGTCCCAAAATGGACGCCACGATGCAAATGTTGATGATGATGCATTTTTTGGTCGTAAAAGAATCGAGAGTCTTTCTCTCGCCGTGAGAAATCTCAAAAATGTTGTTGCGGAGAGGGTGGGAGCCGAAAAAAATCACCTCCCCCTCCGTGGAGGCGGCGCATGCAGCACCGTACGAGGCGCCTCCTCGTCGACAATGACATTCTCGTCGTCGTCGTCGTCGTCCCCCTCTTCCTCCTCCCGCTCCTCGACGCTAACCCGGTCGTCGCCCTTCTCCCCAGACTTCTCGTCGTCGTCGTGACTCCCGCAGCACGTCACCGGCGACGACGACGACGACGACGCCGCCGTCGACGCCACGGCCGTCGCGGCCCGCTCCAGCTCCGCCCCGTCCAGGCTCGACACGGAGCCCCGCCCCACGGCGCTGATGTGCACTTCGTTGGTCGCGACGCCTCCTCTGCCACCACCACCACCACCACCCCGGGCGGCCGCCGCCGCCGGCTCATGCAGCACCTCGACGCTGAGCGTGCGGCTGATCTCGCTCGCCGCGGGCTCGGGCTCGGGCTCCGCCTTGTTGCGCCCGCTGCTGCCGCCGCCGGCCAGGCCGGCCATGGCGCTCGCGAAGCAGGACCGCGAGTGGCGGCGCGGGCCGGCGGCGTAGTAGGGGTGGTTGACGCCCGTGATGGACGGCGGCGGCGGCGGCGGGAAGATGCTGCCTGCCCCTGCGGCGATGCTGGCGGCGCGGCAGCTCGGGCAGGGCATGACGGCGCTGGGAACTGCGGCGGCGGCGGCGGCGGCGGCGGCAACAACGGAGGAAGCGGCGTCCTCGAGGGTGGGCGGCTGCTGCTGGGCGTAGTACATGTCGGTGTGGCCGGGCGTCCGGCTGGACGCGGCGTTGTCCTTGGACGTGACCCACTGGAGGACGATGGCGGAGAAGAGGACTGGGAAGAGGTCAGGGTCAGGAGGAAGGAAAATCATGGCAAGGTAGGTGGGTGGATGGGTGGTTGGATCGGGAAGAGGGCGTAAGGGTGGGCAACTTACTGTCGCTGTTGCAGCACATGAGGCAGATCCAGCCCGGCTCGCCTTCGAGGATCATGAGGACCGAGAGGTTGCTGGTCGGAAAAAAGCAAAAGGAAGTCAGCCAGTCTGTTTTTCCCCCAAAGGTATGTCTGGAATTGTGTGTGTTGTTCGTTGACTTACACGATGCTGCTCGTGAGGGTGCAGAGGCAGCCGACAAAGGTCCGGATGGCCACCGTACGCAACCGCGCGCTCGTTGGCCGGAGCTGCGTCTTCTTGTTCCTAAAGGAGTACATGCCTGTACGGTCCAGAGTTAGTGATGTTTCGTCTATCTCACACGCTTCGTGTACAGTATAACCGAGTTTAGACTTACTGGACAGCGGGATGAGGAAGAGGATTGTGAGGTAGACCTGCGGTACCTCGAGTCAGCAGATGCGCACATGATGTCCCATAGTCTGGAAATGCCAGGCAAGCAACGTACATTGACGACAATGTCGAAGGATATGAGTGGGATCATGGCGCCTTTCTGCATGCCGATGACACATACTCCACTTTCCTGTTTGCTGATACGACTGCGTCGGGAATGTGTTAGGATACGTTACAATGACCGAGGCTGCGAAGAGCAGTGACTTACAAAACGAAATTAAGTACTACGACGACACCATATATACCTTTGAATAGTTCATTAGCAGACTCGCACGAGTGCCTGTAAGAGTGAAGGGAGCATACCCAGCATGCCAAATGAGTTGAAGATATAGAGCTTGGACTTCAAGCGAGGCAGTCGAGAGCCCCTGACAATATGCTGTGGCATCGTTAATACTGTGACTTCCATCATCTGTATGGATGCAGAGCCTGATGGGGACTTACTGCTTTCTCCACCAGAAACAAATAGATTGCCTTCGAATGCATTAGTAAAGATTGGCAAAATCCTTCAGCTACTGGTTCAACATACAATCTGTAGACAGTGTCAACAACTATAACAAATCTTGGAGAGACTCATACACGACAACCGTGACCGTACCTTTGTGCTGACATAGCAGCAGAGACAGAGAAGAATGGCCGCATCGCAAGCAGGCGTAGACCTATCAATACTGAAACCGAACAGAAGAAGGCCGGTGGCAAACACAAAGACGTATGAGTCAATGTAGATGCCAAATATGACTGATAAGCAGGTTACAAGTTAACATTCAAATGTGACCCAGAGAAGAGCCTGGCCAGCCGTCAAGCTAGCTAGCCAGCCAAGTCGAAGGGACTTACGCCACATTGTCAACGGTAGCCTGCTCCATACCCTGACAGTAACGAGTCTCTTTGCTGCATCGACAGTCAGTGCGCCGGCCTGGGACAGGGATGCATCCACCGGTCGATATAGGACATACTGAGAAAGATGGCGAGTACGGTCAGCGAGGCGAGGTTGAGTATGATGCTGACGATCCGGCCACCCAAAGGTTCCTTCAGAGGGACGGTGGCCCGCACCGCGAGCGGCGACACGAACCCGAGATCCATCGTCGCTTCGGGCCCGGCCAGAGAGTGGCTGTATGGCAAGGTGGCCGAGAGCCTGAGATTCGGCCTCCGGGGAAGGGGAGCTTTGCCCTGGGGCCTAGGCGGCAGAGGAGAGCCGGCAAGGAAGAGAAACGTCGAGCCGGAGTCGGAGGCGCATGGCAGCACTGTCTATGTGAATCTTCGTCTGTGACCAAGAGTTGGCCCGATATTCCTTTGATGCTATCCCGAGAGCCTGAAACCTGTGATCTGATCAACAACCAAAGGCCGGACGAGGTGTTGTTAAAAATAGTCAAGCAAAGAGCTCGCGGTATATCGACTCCTATGTCACAGGGCAGAAGAACTTAACCGTTCCGGGGGGGCCTCACCCGCTTTCTATGGCTGGCGGCTTCGCCGACCACGTGCAGGGGCGAGACAAGATGCGGATGGCTTGGGCTGGGGGAGATCGCCACTTACGGGTATCTCGTCGTCGGGTGGAATTGGCGTCCAGTCCTTTCAAACCTTGCACCTCTTCGACACGGTGTCCGATGTCAAGGCGGCAACAGTACTTGAGCACGGCTCCAAAAGCCCAGTGCGCTGGGAAGGCGGCGAGGACCGTCGTGAAACAGGAAGATTGGCCGGGTGAGACAACCTAAGCCCGCCGGTGGGAAAAATGGCGCGGATTCTCAGCATAGCGAAGATGGGAATCGCAAGAATTGTGCTTAGATCGCGATTGCTAGTGGAAAGTTTCATCGCTTCGGCCGCGGACGCCGTAGAGCTATCACGACTCATGAGCTATGGGCTCGGGGTGCATAACGCTCTTCCTCCCCGCACACCAACGCAAAGCATAAGCCGACTTCGGGCTCAGCTCCGATTTCCAAAGCCGTACATTCGTTCTCGAGGTACAAGACAGAGGTTCCTTGGTGTCATCCAGACCAGATGGTCGGGACCTCGTATAAGAGGTGATGCCGATGATATTCGGGCTTCCGATTTGCACAAAAGAAAAAGCACTCACGGCGAGAACTTCTCACCGCGAACCTTGTGATATGCTTGCAACGCCAGTCATGTCCCTCGTCCGAGCTCACAAGACAAGCTTCCGCTGCAGGGATCGTCGCTGTGCAGCGTGGCTGGCAATAAGCTATCGATATTAATCAATACAGTATTACCAGAGATCTGCACTGCGTGCAGGTATCCTGTGTGTGGACGGCAGATCGCTACTGACTCGCCACTGCAGCACCGCCCGGGGAGGGTAGCCGGTGCAAGCCCGGGGCGGGGGGTGAAGGAATGGAAGGAAATGCTTTGGGCGGTCAAGCTTCGGCGGGGGAGCATCGGATCTAGTCAAACTTGAGTGGGCTAAAATAATGAAAAGCACCAAGGGCTACATACACCTAGCGCGCCAATTTGACGTTTCCCGGCTGAAGGCAGCTGGGATGGGCTTCGGGCATGGGAGCGCCATGATGACGTGCAAGGCTGCTTGACTCGGGAGGCGAACCGCGCTTGCGGACGCCTCGAGGCAGATATTGCGTAGTACCGGCAGCCCAGAGCCTTCAGCCAAAGCTGGGCAAGCTTTGATGCGAGGGAACTCAATGCTGCGATCAATAGCGGGCTAGTCTTGGAATTGCCTTCGGCCGGGTGAGGTTTGGGATCAACATGATGATATGTATCGGAACGCGGCAAGAGATCGCAAATCATCTTCGACCAGAGAGACTGGACGGCTTCCTCTTTGAGCACTAGCAGCAGTCACTTGACAGTTCACTCGCTAGGGGCCTTTTTCGGGGGCGGCCTTGCTGTCGAAGAACGCAGCTGAGAAAAATATTTGGCAAATGTCTTGCTCAATAGCGTGCGTTACCGAGAGATTGGTCCGGGTGTCTCACTCTGCCGTCACTCTTCGTATTCCCGAACGGGATGATCAACGACAAACAGGGACGAGCTATGGCCAGAGTGTCGTGTGACCGAAGGCTAGGATGCATGCATCCAAGTCCTGCATGATTTGGAAGCAACAGAATCAGGCCAGGAGGGAAGAGAGGTGAGGGAAGGCTTCTCAGCCTCGTCGAGGCTGTTGTTTTAAGACTTAGCGCTTCAAAGTGGGCTGATTCGTCAAAAGTCCCGGAAGAGAAGCCCGCTCCGCAGCTGAGGTTCCAAAGGCCTGGATCCTCGGGGAGTGGAGTTCTGTGCCCAAGACCCCGGAACGTCCGGGATCGACATCCTGCCCCGTCCCCCGCCTTTGAGGATGGAACCCGGGTGCCCTTCATTCAAAGAACGAAAGGCTGATGATGGTCGCCGTGGCTCATCACAATCTTTATCGAGGCAATCGCTATTAGCCAGATTAGAGCGGGCTTGGGACCGAGCCTTATGCTATGTCGATCTCGCTTGCCCTTCGATCTCCATCTCGTTGTGTCTCAGAAACCAAAGTCCCCATTCCCTGGGTTTCGGAGAGTTGCGGCTCCAATAAGGGCACGACTCCAGACCACCCCCTGGCCCTGATCGACACCGGGGTCAAGCCCCTGCCCTTCCAAGGTGGGAAATCCAGTCAGGGAGTTTAGTAATCGGGGCTCAGTACGTCCGAATAGCCCTTTGGTGGGAATCAATACCTCGAATGGAATTCAAGGTTGGAGCTCTGCGACCTCCTCACGATGCACGTGCAATAAAAGCAATGGCCAAACACTCTGGCCTAGGATACCCCGATGACAAGAAAGTCTGTCTTCTGACGGTCATGCCCATTCGCTATGTCTCTCGGCTAGAGATCAACTGAAGTAAAGTCGACGCACGCATCCATGAGCGCGGCCAAATCAATGAATGCGCCCTTTCGCCCACTGCCTGATCCAGACCTTGTTTGTGCAAGAACACTAAAGAGCGGCTGATGCCGCGATGGCAAAGCTCTATCCATCAGAGCAGAGTAAATCCTTCCGAGAGAACCCGTTCTTGGGGTTCATGTCGGAAAACCAGTTCCATAAACCTTATCAAAATCTCCGAGTCCGAATCAAAAGAACCCTTCAAAACGCCTTGCAATGCTGTCGGTCTGGTGTGCTCCAAATGTGAAGAACTGGTATGAACGCCGTGTCTATCGGGGTTAATAATATCCTCCTTCTTCTGCGTGCTGCTGATCACGCATCCATCATTAAAAAAGGAAAATCCATGAATCTGAAAGTAATTGCGCAGTAATGGCCTCGTTGGCGTTCTGAGAACTAGCATTATTTCGTCGTAATTGTCTTGAAAATTCAACAAGTATTCGTCGATCAAAATCCGACTAGTTTGTCGACGACGAGGCGGCACCCGGGTTCTCTGGCCCTGCTCCGGACTGAGAATGGCCGCCGGGAGACTGCGCGCGAGTCCGAACCCGGAATTTCTCGCGCAGCCGTTTCGTCAACCGCGCCGAGCGTCTTCGCTCATCGTCGCCCTCGGCCGCCGTAGGCGGTTGGGATTGAGCTTCCGAGCGGTATCGTCGAAGAGCCTCGATGCGCTCCTCGGCGGTTGCGTGTCGCAGACGGTGAAGGTCGATCAGGCGAGACGAGCGACGCCTCGTCGTACTGGCGGACCCGTCTGTCTCGTTCTCGGCCTCGGCTTCAAGCGGCGGCGGCAGGTGCTGCGTGTCCTCGCCGCTGGTGTGACTAGAACTGTCTTCTTTACTTGGGCGAAGATCGAGACGGCTAGATTCCATTGGGTCAGTATTTGGGCGCCTCGTCTACGTAGCGGACGCAAGATGATTAACACATACCAGAGTGGGCAAGTACCCGACACATTCATCAACCATGGATCAACACACTGTGGGTGGAACTTGTGGTCGCAAGGCAGGACCCGAACATCTTCACCCACGGTAAAGTCTTCTGTGCAGATGGAACAACCAAGGTGCTCGTCGCCTTGGGATTCCGCATCTGCGCCAGCATTGCCATCGGCAGCTCCGGCGGCTTCGGCAATTGGCGTACTCTTGGGTGTTCCCTGCGGTTTGGGCGAAGCCTCGGCATCTTCGGGGATGGTGGAGAGGTGATGAGCGTCATGGACGCCGTCCCTTCCCCTCGATCCCGGAGCGCTCTCCAATTCGAGAGCGGGATCGGGCTTGCTATTCTGCGGCTGTCCAAACTTGACGATGGGCAGAGTTTCGAGCACGGCTCGAGCCAGTCCCCTAGCACGGCTCTGCCTGGGCCGTCCTCCGTACGCGCTGCGTGGGCCGTATCGCTCCGGATACCGGTGGGCCCGGATGGCGCCGGTCCCGATGATGACCAGGAACAACAATGTTATAAGACCCGTAATGCTGTACAATATGCTCATGGCCACTGCCGAGTTGTTGCCGTTCTGCCCATTCTGGCTGTCCTGGTTGGGAATGGTCGCGTTGCCCGTGATGTAAGCTTGCACCGCCCCCTCCCCCGTATCCGTGATGTTCAGCGCTTCTGTCGCTTCTCCCCTCGATGACATAGTAAATATCGAGTGGTACGGTAGGTCTTGGCGTTGCAGGGAGCAGCAATTCCCGATCATGCTATACAGCAGTATCGCCTTGGGCTTGTTGTTCATTAGAGCAGCCAGCATCACATCTGGTGTGATGAATGACGAGTTCGGGTTATCGCAGCAGAGATAGGCTACGGAATCGGGGCTATTGATGTTGACGTAGGATGTCTGTGTAGCTGACACGAGATTGCCTCGAATATGGATCGCCTAGTCGAAGCATTGGTCAGTCTTATCAGTCCTTCTACGACCATGATGATACGATGAAGGCAAGTGGGATGCGCTTGGCACTCACGGTCCGGGCCACGTCGGTCTGGTTGAGTCCCGCTTCAGCGGTGAGAGGATAGATATTGTAAGCCAAGGGGACAATGTTGGCGCCGGGCGCTGTCAGGAGGAGTGACATGACCGAATTCTGCTGCCATGATGGTGCATCCGGTAGAGGGGCTATCAAAGCCGTCTGCGCCGCGACTGAGGCGACGGAAAGGGCGCCCACGAGCGCCACCAGCATAGAGGCCATCATCCTCTATTACCCGCACCAGCGACGGTCGACGTCGCGATGGTCAGGAATTCAGAGCAGTTTCTGGAAGAAGTGATGCGTCTTGGGGTGGGGAAGGTGGGAAGCGGCGGGTGGAAGTAATGAAAGAGACGCAGATGCGGCCGGCAGCGGTTGTTGAAAACGAAGACAAAGACTGAGCCGGTAAGGCTGGATGTTTGGCAGGACAGTCTCCCACCGGGGATGTAACATCTCAATCCGGATGCCAGCACATGAGCTTCGGCTTCTCTGGGCATGCGTCTTGATCGTCAATAAGAGTATGCGCAAAGGTCAAGGGCAAAGGCAGAGGCAGTGGTGGAGGCGGGAGGTCATGGCAGCAGGAAAGTTGGGTGACCGGTGGGCCGTTGTGAGCAGAACGGAACCGGTAGCTGCGGATGCCAAGGGCCCAAGAATTTAGTGCGTGGTGGGCGCGGTACTTGCCATCCAGGGCACCTGTGGTGCTTCTCCGCAAGTACCAATGGGCTCGAGAGTGGGGAGTGCTAAGACCCTGGAGTGCAGGTGGTCATAAGAGGTGCTAAAGAGAGGCCACGCAAGGACCGAGCATAACATGTTAGGGCATTTAGTTGCGTCGCAAGCCATTGATTCCTCCCTCGGTCCGCACCCGTCTCGCAGCACAGCACAACCAGCAGACCAAGCTTACGAGCTGGCACCCTTCCTGGGCAGTCATGGTACATTGATCCTAAACAGAGGCGTGACGATGAGCTATAAGACGAGTCTTGGCTGAGTCAAAGACCACCCATTCCTTTGTCAGAAACAGTCTCGTCACTTGGCTATGGAGACACATGCTTGCACAAGATCGTACCAAGCGTCTTTTGGCAGCTGGATACATCATACGGCAGAGCCATACAGAAACACCTGTGCCAGGGTATAGATTTTTCCAGGACATCCACGCTCAGTAACCGAGAGGACAATGATGACTCTTGTGCAAGAGCTGGATGATGGACAAACCCGAGACACCAATGACTGCCTACGCAATGGAGATGGTGTTTTGGGCCTGCGTGATGAGACACCAAACCTGTTTTAGTGGCAGCGATTCGTTAAAGCAACCACCTGTCAGAGGCGCTGTGTCGCAGGTTCGACGACTGAGCTGACCCTCCATCATGCACACTGGGGGCCACTCAGCTCGCCCCAAAGCCATTCGGCACTCTGGCCGCCCGTTCCACAATGTCGGACTGGTACCGTGGTTGTTGACATGGTAGCTGCAATGCCACTCGGAGCCCGCGCTCAGCTCTCCAAAGCCCTAGGGAGGTGAGAGGCGGACGGAGCCGGAGCCTGGGGTCTGAAACTGCTCGCGCAGGCGTGTTTGATCTCCAGGGCTCCAGACATGTTTGCCCAAGTTAAAGTATTTCAATGTTGTCTCGACTGCTAGGATTGGCTGTAGCTGGAGCTTGTATGCTTATTGTCCAAACACAATGGTTCAATGAGGAGGTTTGCCTTCTTGATCTCTGTGGGAATACTCCAAACAATGTTTCTCGCCCGAGCCAGCACAAATATCGTTTTCGGAGATTTACCATGCACATGCAAGCTTTGTGGCTTCGGCAAATTCTTCCGCTCGAAGATCCTCGATGTGCGTCTCAGATACCAGACCTTTTTTATGCTTAGTCAAGGCGTCGAGTTGACACACGATCAACATATCGAAAGCACTTGATGGCAGTCCTTTCGAAGTCTTCGATCGTTCTTCATGAATATGCCATTGTAATGTCAAATATTGCTTCATCGGCGTTTACAATCGATCATAAGTCTCCTAGAGGGATAATATCATAATTGCAACGCGAATTTCCTGGAACCGAGATCCCACGCTATGTATTCTCGTTCGTTCATCAGAGGCGACGGGCTTTACCCCCGGTCAGCATCCTTCTGACAGGGAGACGTCTGCCGCAGCTTGATGCGCAAAGCCGCTGTCATGTGAAATGTCCGTGCCTTAGATTTCTTCCATGTCCTCCAGGTCGTCCATCGCAGGATAGTCACCGACTTCGACCCTCTCCGGCCTGACGAAGACGCCATGCTTGAGTTGCGATGGCTGTCCCCAATATCTGGTTTCGCCGATGCTCCCATCGTTTCTGCCCACGGGCTCGTCTAGCTGAACTCCGACCCAAGCACCGAGACCGCCGGGGATCTCTTTGACTTCGCCGACGTACTTGATCACCCCTCTCCTGGCATCGTCGCCGCCCACTCGGCACCGCTTGCCTACGGCAATACCACGAGCCTCGATCTCCCGGGCGAAAGAGGCAATTTTGGCCTGCTCGAGACTGGGGGCGTTGGGGTCGAAACGCCCCAGTTTCTGGGACTTCTTCCACGCGAGCACAGAATCCGTCTTCTTTTCATACTCCTCCTCGGGCATCACATACTTGTCGACACCAGAGGTATCGGTGAAGTTGGGCCGAGCACCTGGCGGGCGTGTGTCGATGACCTTGTTCGCGTCAGCATCTTCGTTCTTCTACTACTTTGGATTTGCTGTCTTGTAACGGTGCCTCACTTACATGAAGCTCGCTGTAAGGGCTCAGGTGGAAGGCACCTATCTGTGCAGTCTCCTCATCTGCCGCCACTACAGGGACTTTGTCCTGGCCTGCAACCTTTAGAAATAGCCTCTGAGAGAAGGGCGGAATGCCGGTGATAGGTTCAAGTCTTGATTTCAAGTGGCTGATTGACCATGACGGTGTTATGCGTCTCTCGGATGAGGCATTCTCGGATATAATTTGTAATGGTACATCCGCCATGGTAGAAGCTTGAGACCGCGCAGGCTGGCTGCTCAAGATTTGGAATGGAAAGTAGTTTCAGATGCGATGAAGGAGCCTCATGCAAGGCCTGGAAATATTTGAAGTGAAATTAGAACAATTTGTCGCTTCCCTGAATGATGGTGAAGCTCTCAAAGATTGATATCTGTTCTTGATGGAGGCAAGCAAGTTTGCGACTTGCCCCATCGCCCTTTCCACAGCAACCAATAAGCACGCCCCATACTTTTTGGTGCCTGCCGTGTTTGCCCCTCGCCTCACCACTCACCACCACCCTATTGCTCCTTCCCTCTGACTGGAGAACACTAGGCAGGATATCATAACTTCTTCTTCAATGATTCGATTTCCTAACTTTAGTCAACAAAAGGACAGCCTCCCAAGTCCATACACTTTCCAAACCGAGCGATCTTCACAGCCTTAGAATGACCTTGGGCCTCACCACTCGACGGCGACACTCTCATCAAAGTCCCAATCCACTAACATCGTGAGGGAACAAAAGCTATACGTTTGTTGGGATCGCAAACAGACATGGGCGTCGAGTCTGCCGGCTCCCGTATTGACCATCAATTTTGGCACCGCTGCAATGGGCATCCCGGGAACACAGCATGACACGCACCATAAGTGCCTCGGCATGATCTGCCGTCCAACGTGAGGGGGGCTCACCTCACAGGCACGCTCGATTTTTGATTTGTTGACCTTGCCTCTCACTACAGCTTCGGCAAGAACAAGGAAACTCAAATCACGAAATCCAAGGCGCTTGAAATCTCCTCCAGACGCATAGCTCTATTGGGCAAAACTAAACCCGTGCCAAACAGTCGGCATGGTCCAACAAGCAGGGCATCTCGTCACAACACGGCAGATCGATCGGGACATCACGGCTAGCCACCTGCAAATTGCAAGGTCCCAGGGATCTATACACCAGGATCCCTGGTGGATGCAGAGGCTGTTTGTTTGCACTCCTAGGTCAGCACCGGCTACCTACTGACATGGCGACTGGCGTTGTTCACTCGGCACACCACACCTTGAGCGCAGTTCATACTGACACGGGTCGATACGTCCTACCACGGCCGGCGAGGTTGGGTTTGTTTGTCCCTCGAGATGACTTGCATCCTTGCTACCCGAGATCTGAATCCTTGCTCTCACCGCCACATTGGGTTCGTCCGCGAACCTGCTTTGTACTGTTTCGTAATTGTACAGTCACTCGAGCCTGTGTCGAAGGTGGCACCTGAATCCCCATAACCTGGTTTTTGCATCCTTCATGGCTCTGTGGCGTGCCTCTATCGACTATCAAACTGACCGCCTGACCGGTATCCCCGATCCCGTTGAGGCCCGAGTCACTCGAGCCCAGCACTCGCAAATATTTCCGTAAGCATGCAGACTCCATGGCATCTTTGGTAGGGCTGAAAAGAAGGGGCGGGAGTACAACAACGACGGCGTATGTTCCGAAGTATATGCTCTGCGAATGGATACACGCACTTTGACCTCGAAACCAGTTCTGGTCAACCAGTCAGCTCAGCTCCCTGATCCTAAAAATCAGGAATCATCCTCCCCAAAACACGAGGCACGCTTGTTCATGCAGTGATCAAGACGTGGTCTTGAAATGCTATAAGCCATCCCAACCCGTATGCAGCAATGCCTCCATGTACAGTCCCCCGACGCGCAAGGCCAAGCAACATCGAGAACACCGCAAATAGACGGACAGCCCTTCCAGAGGCACCTGCAGCTTCAATTCCAGCGGTGGAACAGCGGTGGGTGGCTGGGTATTGAACCAATCAGAGAGACAGCACAACAAAAGAAAAGTGTCGGGAATGGCCAGACTCGTTGGGCACTTCAAGGCAGTTGTGCACACCGACCGCCAACTGTCCGATATTGAAACATGCTGCTCAAGGTTGTCTACCGCAAAGTGCACCTGTCGTACGTACGGGATAGAGCACGGCTTCGATATCGAGAGGAGGAAAAAGGAAGGAAAGCGGCAATCTTCTACAGACGCGCCTATTAAACCGCAACAGCCAGATCAGCGTGGCCACACAAGAGCTGAGTCGATATGAAGAGGCACCTCAGATGTTGGCACACCGAAACAAGACCTCGAGTACATGCGTCTCAGTCCATGGCGGCCGCAACGAACAACCCTGAACCTGTTCTGGTCATGACGGAAGGTTGGCAAACTTGACCGCCACTTCATCACACTTGGCTCAGCCCAGATGGTCCAGGCACCGATGTGACAGATGTGTCCGCAAGTCATTGGGCCGATTCAGTATCGACAAGAAAGCTGGAAAGGCGACAGACGACTCAAGTGTTGTCCGGCTGTTCAGATGGATAACATTACATCTGACGATTTTTGTATGATGTACATCGCAGTCCGATTACAAAACCTGGGCTGCGCACAGACAATGCGTTCAGTTTCGATGCCTGCGTTCTAACTGTCCCGATCGGGCGCCCTGCAGGACTGATCAAGCAAATCTACGATACGTCGGCAATCCCTGTCAAACCACCACCAGTTCCTGATCCAAACCTTATGCCCGACATGGGCAGCCATGTAGACTGAAAGGAAGGAGCTCGGGTAGAAAGAGGCTTAGCACAAGCTGAGTCACCGGCAGTCAAGGCCGTGTTCACTTTAGATTTGTGGCAGGGGAATGCCAGTCTCTCCGGTCTAGTATGATGCCTTTTCGGGCTGCGAGACCTGAGAGCTGGTGTGCGAAGTCCCAGGGCCTCAGCTTCGGTTCCGTCTGAAATGATCCACGGAACGAGGCAGTCAGTTTTCCCGGGTCGAGGGCCGTTTATAACGGCAAGCTTTAAGCCCAGCAAAAGCTTGGATCATCACACGCGGGCCGGTGGAGAAGTACCAAACACTTTGTGTAGTTCGAACGATGAACGTCTCCTACCGAACTTTGACCCTGGTTTGTGCGGAGAAGTGCATCATGGGAGTCATCGTCAAACAAATCAGAGGGCAGCTCTTGCGCAGCAGATCCATCGTCGAATCGATGTTTTCTGCTCCACGAGTCCAACATGGCGACATCTCATTCAGCGTAAATCAGTTTCAAAATCCCCACAACGCTATGCACTCAGATCACTAGTCCTGCCAGCGCTCACGACCCCTGTTGTTCCCCCATCTCCAGGCCTTTCAAGCATATCCCAGCTCGATCTGGTGGCACTATCCTCACACGACATGGTGGTACTCCCCCTGCCCGTCGACGCTTGATGCCGAACCCGCGGATGCAACCTCTTGCATCATGGCTTGGGCAGCGGCGGTGGATTGTCGCACTGCTGCGAACCCTGAAACTCTCCGAAGGACCAGACAGGCCTGATCCTATGGCCGCACGCCCCATGTCATTGATGCCACGGCTTAGAGTGCTGTCGAGTCAAATACCCTGAGTAGCTTGTTTGATGCCAAATGCTTGGCTCGAGCTTCTTCTCAACCATGCCCCCAAGGCGAGCGATGATGCATCCTTCCAATGGACCGGGACACGAGGACCAGGACCTGCGTCAGTCGTCGGCAGTTAGCCGAGCCAAATTTCAACAAGCCAGCCAGGGCTTGTGAGGTTGGACTGCACTGCAAGTATGCATGAAAGCTGTGGCCATGCCCCCTTAGGGGTCGTTATGAATACACCTGCGTGCCAGCAAACGATCACGTCTCCTCGTTTTCTACACTGCCCAGCCGTCAAGAGAAAAGAGGCCCCGTCCGATTCCATCAATATCCATATGCGGCAGGGCGTGTCGCCTTGATCCATCCAATTCGACAACTCGCAGGGGCGTGGTCGTGCAAACAGCCACCCTACTTTTGCTCTTGTCAGGCATGACTGTACCTCTTGTTCTTTGTCTGGGTTTTTGCCAAACTCTTTGGTACCGGAGGCTCTTCTCGTTCATGAGGCGTTGGATCGTTGAATCGTTGCGTCTGATGTTCTCTCCTGTGGCGAGCGCTCGAGTACAACGCTGATAACCCAACTGGCTCTAGCACCGAATCTTAAACTGCAACCCTCTTCCTCACCGAGTCTTCTTCGTTGATAATACGCATATCTCATCCTTATTATAGGGCAGGGCATCTGTTAATCTAAACCCACAGCACATACAACTCACATATAATGCACAAAGCCATACACGCCTGGGTCCTGGACTCCACATTCTGGCTGTGCTCACTCACCACCTCACCCACCCTTGCCCCTGTCCTCCTGGCCTGACTTGGTGGTACTGCAAGCCCTACGTACCTCTACCTGGTTTGGACAAGTATATCTTTCTCCAAGAGCATTGCTCCGGAGCCATTGATGTCACTGTTTCCTTTGGATCTGTTTTGGCTCTCCAAACCCAAAGTTCTCTCCGCCTCATTACGAGGCCGTTCGCTTCTCTGGGCTTCGACCGCTGTCGGTTTTGCCTGGACTACCAACGCAGAACAAACAATCTCGGGCACGCATATCCATATGACAGCTGGCGGCCCTGCTGGTCGTTCTGCCTCTGGTTCCCTTTAAATATTCGTAGTCGGGACACTACATGGCTATGGAAGAGTCTGCTCCGTCTGCAGACATTCACCCAGAGGCTTGATTGACCGACGACTTGCACATCTGACCTTTCAAGGTCCACCTTCTTCAACAAAGACTTTCTCCTCAATTATTGGCCCAAAGCGATCCTACGGCTCGCCAATAACGGAACATTTCCCCCCAGTTTCTACTACGCGAATCGCGATCTTCAGCAGCGGGAAGGGGAGGCACACCCTGCTCTTCGGGAACACGAGCGGAGACAAGCGCGAGTGCCGTCCTATGACAGCTCGACCTGCAAGAGGCTCGTTCCTGGATATCACAGGAGTCTCGCCATCGATTGGTAGAGCGTTGTGAAAGGCTCCTGTGATCACGCCGCCACTCTGCAGCAAGCCCCTGCATAGGCAGGCGCCATCTTACTTGCATTGCCTCCCCCGGCTTGACTGATAGCCCCCCCGACGGCACGATAGTCGGTTGCCGGAAGACAGGATTCTACTCCCCGTTTCTGTTGCAGCAGGGCGGTGGGATTTGGCAACAGTGGTCTGTCAAGTCCTTGACCGCCTCGCCTCTTTTCTGTTCAGACACATAGAAAAGCAGAGGCGTGGCTACGAGCGGATGCAGACACGTCGGTAGATGGACTTTGGCCGCTCCCAGCCAGCAAAGGGAAGAACACCGACAACGTGGATATCTCCTCTCTCCTACAACGATCAGATTCGACAGGGTCCCAAGGGCACCCTCCCGACAGCACTCAACCGGCGTCAGGCTCAACTCCCTCTTATCCGAGCCTCCCAAGATCCGGTCCGGCTCAGCAACGCTCTTCTTCCGGTCCAACGGACGTTCCCGTTCTCATAGCCCCCACACCAAACCCGCCATTGGGGATTCGCCCTGGGGCGCTCACGGGCAAGCGAGCGATGCCGCCACACTCTGCCGACGCCCCAGCTAAGAAGCAAAGCAAGTGGTCCCCGGAGGAGGACGCACTGATCATCGAGCTTCGAGGCAGCGGTATGAAATGGGAGGACATCTCGAAGAGACTGCCCGGCCGCAGTGCCATTAGTTGCCGGCTGCACTACCAGAACTACCTCGAGAGACGGAGCGAGTGGGACGAGGACCGCAAGAACAAGCTGGCACGGCTGTACGAGAGGTAAGCACTTTCCCTGAAACCCGACCTTGGCTGGAGCCGCCGCCCTCACAGGCTTGGCGCGACGCTTATGATACAAAACAGCACAAAACTGACTCATGTTCCGGACAGATTCAAGCCCGAGATGTGGGCAAAGGTTGCCGAAGAGATGCAAGTGCCCTGGCGGGCTGCGGAGGCAATGCACTGGCAACTAGGGGAGTCGGACATGGCTCGACGGGCCGGAGTGGTCCCCTTCTCTCTAACAGCCGCGACCATGGAGGCGCCACTGCCTCATCACTACCGAACTTCACCGTCACGCGGCCACCACCACTCTCAATCCTACGGCGGCGCCTCGGCCCCGCGCTACGGACGCCTCGGCTCGGGACCGCCGACTCCCGGCGGGCTCTACACAATCCCGGGGGGCAGACCGGCCCCTGCTCGACGAGAGGCCGTGGGACCCTATGGCCCTGGGCCCGAGTCCGACGACGCGATGTATTATACCCACACTGGGCCGGGCCTGGCGCCGATCCAGGCCGGCGCACACGACCAGACGCCCGGCACCCTGCCGGGCGTGGCCGAGCTCACGACGGGGATGAGCGCCTACAGCACGCCCGCGTACTCCATGAGCATTCCCAGCGCCAGTCCGATCCACAGCCAGAGCAACAGCCCGGTGCCACCCTTCCCGGGTATGGCCTATCCGAGCTACGAGCCTGCCGGGGCCAAGAGGAGGGCGAGCCCGCCCGAGCAGGCCTACCGGGAGCCACGGCGACGGCACTACGACCCCCGCTACGATGACGTGGGCGAGCCCTCCGTGTCTCGATATTGATCGAGACCACGCGACGACTTGAAACCCCTGCCGGCGGCGCAGCACTCGGCACGCAATACGAGACGAGAATTGGGTAGATTGGTTGGTCGACTGTGCTGCTAGGGTTTGTGTCGGGGGGGGGAGGGCTCACACACACAAGACGACAGCAGAGCAGCAGCAACATCACGTTACTGTTTCTAAAGAGTTCTATTTTTTTATGACCAAACGACATGTATGAAAGGGGTGTTGGGGGGGTGTGGAGTTGGGTGCATTGCTCTTGGGTTGGGTACTGCAAGGCACAACGTTACGGTCATTGTCATGAGTTTTTTTTTTCCCTTGGCTTTGTTTTGCTAAGATTGCATTTGCATAGAGAGGCTTTTCCGGGGACCGGGAAGGAAAAAGAAAAGAAGAACGGATGCACAGAGTATCATGTTTCTTTTGATTTGTATCTGGGTTGTTTCTTGTTCAACCCCCCCTTCTTTTTCCTTGCTTATTTGGTGTTCTGCATGAAAAGGACCTTGTCCTGTATGGGAATCTTGTCTCAGATGCATGCATGCCTTTTTGCTTCTCTTTTGGTCTGTTCATTCTGTTCTGTTTTGTTTTATTTTGAAAACAACATCATGTGTCGTTGATTCAGAACCACATTTTCGCTCTTGGCAAAAGATTGCCGGGGGTGTTCTTTTCCTTTGGCTATCCCTGCAAAAAAGACTGCTGTTACAAGGATAAAGGACCCTGTTTTCAGGGATACAAAAGTCTTGAAAGAAAGAAGAATAAACAGGGGGGGTTGGAAGCCGGGATCACTGACGTTTCTAGACTGGGGTTTGGGTGGGAACGGAGTTCTTTTAGACCGGGAACATGCGAGACACGGAGATCGACGGCTGGTTTATGCGGCCGAGCAAGGGTACCAGGGAGAGAAAAAGGAGAGCACCTGAGGAAAGGGCAAAATCCGATTACGATGTCATGATACACTTTACGATGTTTCGGGAGGAGGAGTTGAGGAACGATGGGGGGGCGTTGGAAAAGGGGTGAGGGAGGATGGTTTACGTTCAAAAGGCCTCAACTGACTGGGCCGGTGTTTTGTTTCCGCTCGCATGACCACTTAGATGAATAGACCACATACACACACAATTTCTCTCTGCTCTCTCTCTCTCTCTCTCTCTCTCTCTCTCGTTCGCAAGAATTACTGGATTCGGGAGTTTCAGGCAGTATTGCATATGCTGCACTACGTGGCGTGGTGGCGTGGGGGGTGGTTTGCCGACTTGACGATACCTCCAGTCCTCCTCGGCTGCTATGCCGCCTCTTCCTTGCCGTCGTCCACCTGGTCGCCGTCCTCTTCGAGCCACGCCGCGCTGCGCGCGATGGCCCACCAGTTGTCCCTCTCGTACCCGCTGCTCAGCACCTCCCCTCCCGCGGCGACGACGTCCTCCTCCAGCTCGCCCTTGCGGTAGAGGTGGTAGTACCTCCTGAACGTCTGGTCGCCTCCCTGCCCGTCCTGCTGCTGCTTTCCCCTCTCCTCTTCCGCCGCCGCGGTACCGCCCTCCGTACTCTGCCCTCCGCCCTCCTTGCTCGTGTCGTTCTTGCCCTTTGCCGCCTTGCGCTGCTGCTGCTGCTGCTGCTGACCGCCGCCCGTCTTCATCACCCAGGGCACCAGCAGGTCCTGCTCGCCGCCTTCCTCCCACCCCCTCCGGCTGGACCCTTGCTCGAGCGCCCAGACGAAGACGAGGACCTGCCCGCCCTCGTCCTTCACGACGACGGCCGCCCCCCCGGAGGAATCCCGGCTCCTCGCCCTCGCCCTCGCCCGCCGCGGCGGCCGGACGCACTCGAGCAGCGCCCTTATGCCGCCGACGCGGCGCTCCCTGGTCGACATGTGGTGCAGCACGGCGATGGAGATGGCAAAGTCGACCCTCGTCCGCGCCGAGGGGAGGAAGGGCAGGTCCAGCCCGTCGGCGAGCATGGCGTCGGCGCAGCCCCTCCCCGGCGCTGATACGTCTGCTCCCGCTTCGCCACCACTACGACTACTACTACCCTCACCGCGGCGGCCGCGGTTGCCCACGCGCTGCGCGCTCGCCAGCCCCACGAGCCCGGAGCTCCGGTCCGAGCCGATGAGGAACACGTCGCCGTTGACGCCGAGGTACTTGCCGTTGCCGCAGCCGACGTCGAGCCCGACGGAGCCGGGCGGGCGGGCGGCGAGGAAGCTCGCGACGCGGGGCCAGGGCCTGTGCCGCGTGGCGGAGAAGTGCGGGGCGATGGACTGGTAGACGGCGTGGACGTGGGCCTGCTCGTAGGACGAGGGGTCCTCCGCGGCGCCGGGGGGCGCCGCGTCCGAGGGCAGGCTGCGCTGCTGCTGCGGGGCTGGGGCCGTCATTATTTTTTTTTCCTGAGTTGTTTATCTGGGAGGGGTTTTTGGTCGGCCGGCAGCGTTTAAAAAGCGCGTGGTTACGAGAGGGGAAAAGGGTTTGTGGTATGTCCTTCTTCAGCACCTTTGGCTGAGGGAGGCGCCGTATGAGATGGTGAGTCGGCCGGACGCTGTAGGTACAACTTCAAGTGCCTCGGGTAGGAAGGTGAGTCAAACGTCTTTGGACTTGGTCTTGTCGGAGACCCGAGAAAGACGCCCCTGCGGCTCAGTGTAGATCAGGTTATGAGTTTGGGCGCCGGGACAGGCTTTGAAAGTGGTTGACGAAGTTGGTGAAAAAACCGGGTCTGGCCATTTTCACTCCCGTCTTTTAAGACCCTGGTTTCGGCCAGCACTTACACCACGCCTCGAGACGTGTTCTATATAGGTAGGTGAAAGAGAACCGGGGAGAAATCCTTTTCTCTGTAAAATCGTTAAAATAATTATTCATTTGATCTTCAATACAAAGGACTTCATATGGCAATGCATTATTAGCATTGTTCTTCCAAGCTGGCAGGCTCGGTGGACTTGCACAAGCAAAGGATCATCCACGCAGGAAGAACCTTTTCAGAAATCATATATCAGAGGGCTGAACAATATGTATTATCTCCTGACCCCATCAAGCTTTTCATTGGCTCTCATCTTACGACGACTTGCCCGTGTTGAGCGGGCTCTGGGGGTCAAAGACGTCGGTCGTGATGAGCTCCGGGTACTCGACGCCGCCCTGCCGCAGCGCCTCCTCCATGACCTCCATGATGACGACCGACTCGTCGAGCGGCAGGGTCGCGCTCTCGAGGCGGCCGTCGCGCAGGCACCGCGCCGCCTCGTCGGCCTCCCAGAACATGCCGTGGCCCCAGCCGGCCCTGTCGTCGCGCGGGATGGGGCAGTCGACGACCTCGGTCTTGCCGCCGCCGCCCTGGAGCACGACGCGGTACTGCAGCGGGCGGAAGGCCGGGCCCTGGACCTGGATCTCGCCCTTGGCGCCCTGGATGCGGATGGCGGGCCCGCCGCTGAAGGGCCCGTCCGGGTCCGTGGCCACGCGCAGCGAGGTCGTGCCGAGGCCCATGCTCTTGTGCCTGGGAAAGGTCAGGACCAGGGCCGTCGACTCGTCGACGCCCGTGGCCGGGTACTTGTTGACGGCGGCGGCGACGACGGGCTTCTCCCTGTCGGCCTCGGGCTGCAGGTGGTAGAGGATCTGCATGAGCCAGGTCAGCGAGTAGATGCCGAGGTCGAGCAGGGCGCCGCCGGCGAGGTCCGGGTTGACCATGCGGTGCGCGTCGGCAAAGGTGACGCGCTCGCCGTCGCCGGCGCCGTTGGCGAACGAGTTGTCGGCCAGCACGCGGTAGACGGGGCCGACGGCGCCCTGCCGCACGAGCTCGCGGACCTTGACGCTGAGCGGGAAGTAGCGCGTCCAGACGGCCTCCATGAGGAACAGGCGGCGGGCGCGCGCCGCGGCGACGAGCCGGCGGGCCTGGGCGGCGGTGACGGTGAAGGCCTTCTCGCAGAGCACGTTCTTGCCGGCCTCGAGGGCGAGCATGGCGTTCTGGAAGTGGTGGCTGTGCGGCGTGGCGACGTAGACGATGTCGACGTCCCGGTCGGCCACCAGCTCGGCGTAGGAGCCGTAGGCGCGCGGGCTGCCGGGCGCCTTGATGGTCTCGGCCAGGAAGTCCTGGGCGCGGTCCTTGGAGGTGGACGAGGCGGCGGCGACGATCTCGTGGCGGACGTCGCTGACGCCGCGGCAGGCCGGGTCGGTGAGGAGGTCCTTGCAGAACACTGCGAGAAGTGGTGGGGTTTTAGTCACTGTGGCATTCTCGTACTCTCACTCGGGTTCGAGTTCTTCTTACTCTCCGCGATCCAGCCGGTGGCCATGATACCCCACCTGACGGTGTGTGGTGACGACATGGTCGCTGTGTGTGTCTAGACGTCTTTATTTACCGGAGCAGAACGAGTCAAATCAATCATGAGACAAGACAAGTCAAGACAAGGAGCAGAAGCTTCGCTAGAGGCAGCACACGGGGGGTATATAAAGGGTATCCGAGATTGTCGGGTTGGAGACAAGAAATCAAACGTATTGGGCGGGGTCTGTGCCGTAGCCTGTCATGCAAGCATAAGCATGGCGACGGGCTGTTTGTTGCTCTCCGCTCCGCATCTCGAGTCTCCTCGTCCAGTGGCACCCGCACTACCGCACCCGCGAAAAACTACGTTAACTCGGCGGTGGGGCAGCGGCTGAAGGAGATTATCGACAAGTACATGGTAGCGACTACGGAGAGTGCAAGAGGCCCACCATGAACCGGGTGGAGGAGAGGTCTGGTCTGGTCTGGTCTGGTCTGCGAGGAACGATGGTTTGTTCCATCGAGACGGACCAGGACGAGTCCCATCCACCCGCCCCCTCGATGCCGTGGGGGTTGGAGTGTCGACCGGGCTTTAGTCGGTCTGGTCACCAACCCCGCCCGGGCCTGTAGCCGGTCTTCTATCTTGTTTCCGGTCAGTTTGGTCTTTCTATCTCGTAGCTAGTTGTAGAGTAGTGGGAGGATGCCAAGGGCGGATCTCATTACAAGTAGATCAAGACAGTTGGAGTTGTCCGTTCAATGCTATTTACTCATATGGACAACAAGACAAATGTGTGTACAGCAGGATCATGGGCACCAGTACCGTTGCTTCTTCGTGTAGCTAATTGCAATGTACAAGAGTTCCCATAGCAATACATCAAACATCATAGTCTCAACCAACCGAAGAGAGACTCAATAACGCACTTGACGGGTTTGGTTTCCAAAACAAATCACAGCAAGGCCAACCAACCCACATCAGACCAGACCTCCATCACTCAGCGTCATAACGACCATCCCGCACGCAGCAGCACCTTCGACCGGTAAGAGCAAGCCCGACACCGGCAACAAAAGCCCAAGCTGCACCTCCCGATTGGGAAGACCCTGGGCAAGCTTGACAAGGCCGGCCAACAGCGCGCCGAGGCATCAAATGACTTGCATATCGCATCTCTCCCCTGCTCCTGCTGCCGGTGCCCTGCAGTTGGTCACCCGGCGATCCACTCAACTGCATCATCACGTCCTAGCCTCCAGACTTTCTTCTGCCCGTGGATCAACAGCCGCCCTCATACTTCCCATTATCAACCTCAACCTCGTCCCGCGCTCGATACGCCTCCTTCTCCCACGCATCGATACCCAACCTGCACCGCACCCCTACCACCTCCCACACAAAGACCATGTCGTCATCCTCATCCCAGCCCGCCACCGCCGCCGCCGCCACCGGCGACGGGAGTGCAGCCCCACCCGTCCCGGCGCCGACCTCCAGCCTCGCCCGGGACCTCAACCTCCGCCGCGACGACGACGACGACGACGACGACGACGACGGCGCCCCGCCGGCCACCATCCCGCGCCTCATCTACGGCACCGCCTGGAAGAAGGACGACACCGCCGAGCTCGTCTACCAGGCCCTGCGCGCCGGCTTCCGCGGCGTCGACACCGCCGCCCAGCCCAAGCACTACCGCGAGGACCTCGTCGGCCAGGGCATCCGGCGCGCCATCGCCGAGGGCATCGTCTCCCGCGCCGACCTCTATGTGAGAAGCCAAAAAGCTCCCCCCCTCCTCTTATATAACCAACCAACCCCCCCTTTCAAACGCCGTCCGCGCTGACAGATAATCCCCCCCCAAAAGATCCAAACCAAGTTCACCCCCGAGTCGGGCCAGGACCCCTCAGACATGCCCTACGACCCCTCGGCCCCGCCGGAGGAGCAGGTCGAGGCCTCGCTGCGCTCCTCCCTCGCCAACTTCACCTTCCCCCCCTCGGGCCCTGACGGAGGACAGCAGCAGCAGCAGCAGCAGCAACAGCCCTACATAGACTGCCTGGTCCTGCACTCCCCCCTCCGCACCCCGCAGGCGACCCAGGCCGTCTGGTCCGCCCTGTCCGCGCACGTCCCGCACCGCGTCCGCCGCCTCGGCATCTCCAACGCGTCCGCCGCCGACCTCGCCGCCCTGCTCGATGTAGCCGACGCCGCCGCGGGCCTCGTCGTGCCGCCGCCGGCCGTGCTCCAGAACCGCTTCTACCGCGACACCCGCTGGGACGTGCCCGCGCGCGCCCTCTGCCGCCGGCGCGGGCTGGTCTACCAGTCCTTCTGGACCCTCTCGGGCAACCCGCGCCTGCTGAAGCTGCCCTGCACGACGGGCCTCGCGAGCCGCGCCGGCGTCGGCCCCGAGGTCGCGCTGTACGCGCTCGTGCTCGGGCTCGGAGGCACGAGCGTGCTCGACGGCACGCGGAGCCACATGCGCGAGGACCTCGCGGGCGTCGAGGCCGTGGGCCGGTGGGCCGAGGAGGTGGCCCCCGGCGAGTGGAAGGGCTTCCTGGACGCGTTCCGCGAGTACATACACGAGGCGCCGTGAGGGGCGGGCCGCATGGTCGCTGCGTGGTGCGCGCGGGCGGCGGTGCCGGGCCGCAAGAAGAACAAGGGGAAGGGGAGGCGGCCCGCGCCGAGGGAGAGCACGGCGTGAGCGAAGTTAGGGCGCTGCGTGGCTGGCTCTGTGTATGGGTCCGTGGTGGAATCTCGCACAGGCTCTCCTGCTTGTCGTCGTACGACGGGGAAAGGGGCCGAGGAAACGTTTTTGAAAGCAGAGGCTTGACGTCTGCACTAGTTAGAGGTCAGTAGCATTGCCGAGTATCACGAGAACAAGTCACTTGTAACGGAAGCCATTGTTGAATCGCAAAGACCGTCTCGGCCCAATGTCAATTATCGTCTCTGTTGTCTAGCCATTGTGCCTCCGGTTCGTGTGACACGGATTCCCATGCACCAAAAGCCCGCACATCCATTGTCGCACGAGAATGCAGATGATGAAAGAACCCCTGCAAAACCCTTCCGTGCAGCCATCATTTCGTGTCTGGTCCCTCTTCTTATGGCGCAGGGGAGGGGATAAAAAAAGGCCCCCGTCAGATGTCTCCATGAAACACCGCTCGCAATGCAATATACACATCCCCCCTTTTTTCGAAATGACCCCAATCGAGTAGTGCACCGCTCCGTCCGTTTGACCTTTGCTCCCTACCCACGGGGCAATATCCCCTCCTAGTATGGCAGGGCGTTCAAGTCCACCTTGGGCTCGCCCTTGACCTTGCCGCGCCGGGCGTGATCATCCTGCTTGTCATGCGTTAGTAAAGCAATGGCCACAGCTCTTTCTTTCCCATAGTGTACGTAGACTCACCTCAGCCTTCCTCTTCCGTCCACCACCGAAGCCCCGGTCCGGCGTCCTCCTGGCCCCAGAGGCTCCTCCTCCTCCCGCTCCTCCGCGCCTCGCTGCCGCTGGTGGCTGCGACTCGGCGCCCCTCGTGGCCTCGGCGTGGCACGAGGCGTGGTACACGCGGCCGCCGACCCGCACGGCGTCCATCCACACCCACTCCTGCGCCTCGTCTAGCCAGATGGGCTTGAACTGCTCCTGGCAGATGGGGCACACGCCCGTCGAGCCGGCGCCCGCGGGCACGGGGATCCAGGCCACCTTGGCCGCCTGCTTGCCTCCCGCGCCGCCTGCAGAGCCACCGCCGGCACCGCCGGCACCGCCGTCCGCGCCCTTGCCGTCGGCGGGGTCCTCGACGTGGTCGACGTCGATGGCTTCCCGGGAACGGATCCAGTCCTGAAGGGCGTCCTTGTTAGTGAATGTCATTCTTGTGCAAATAGCATAGCAGCAAGCAGGGAGAAGGGGGAGGAAGAAGAACCGAGAAAAGACTCACCATCTGGTCGACGTACCAGCTCCGGTGCTGGCCGCGCTTCTCCGCCTCGACGATGCGCTGGTGGATCCGGAAGTGCCAGTCCATGTGCGCCGTCTTCTTCGCCCGGCCCTCCTCGTCCGTCCTGAACCGTCGGCCGCACTGGGCGCACGGCGGTCCTAGGTCGTCGTACATGAGCGGTATGAGATGGGGACGGAATCTGCGACGCAAGTAAATAAATTATGAGCTGGTCTGTTCTCTTTGCTTCCAAGGTGACGGGGCAGGGATTGATGTGAGTATATGCAAAGTCTTCCAACTTACTTCTTCAGCGAGTCCGCAGTCAGGACGATGTCGTTTCGGATCTCTTCCAGCGGTTCCCGTGGGACTGCTGCTCCCGATCTGGCAGCGGCAATAACACTAGCTAGGCCCGGAGGGAGAGAGACGGGCGTCGGTGCATGCATGGGCGGCGCAGCTGGAGGCGGAGCCGCGCCGGGTAGGCCAGAGAGCATGCCGGCCTTGCGCAGGATGCCCATCAGCGCCATCGGGTCCGGCACAGGCGCTGCTGCCGCCTTGGGGGGCTCGGCGACCTGCGGCACCGGTGATCGTATCGCGGCAACTGCTGCCGCAGCGGGAGGAGGAGGGGTATAGGGAGCGGCCGCCTGAGGTGTGGCCGAAGGGGTAGCAGACTGCCGTGCCAGCAGCGAGGCCAGAGCCCCCCTGCCGAGCAATGCGTCAAGAGACACGCCGGCTGCTGGCGGAGGGGCAGTCGCTGGCGGCGGCACTGGTGCTGCCGCTGGCGGTTGATGAGGCGGAGGTTGGTACGGCGGTACAGTAACAGGTGGTGTAGGAGTGTAGCTTGGGGCTTTACGGCCCCTCATCTCTACGGATAGTTCATCAACTCTGGTTTTAATGAGCATCAACTGATCAGGTGGCAAGTGCTGCGCCTGAAGCAGACTCTGCAGGTCCAGCAACGCCTTCAGTCTTGTTTGGATACTAGCATCATGTACGTTTTGCGCAAACTCCGCCTTGCAAGCAGTGATGAGCTGCTCAACATCCTGACTCAATGAACCCATGCTTAATCCTCCAGGCTGGGCAGGGGGAGCACCGTATGCGGGTGCTGGTGGTTGGAATGGCATTGCTGCCGGGGCAGATGGCGGGGGCTGGGGCGTTGACCGAGCATATTGTTGTGCCTGGAAGACGTTTAGCATAGGTTCCATGCTCATATGACAATGGCTAAGACCTACAGGATGAATGGGATATGTTTGTGTAGCTGGGTCAGGGTACTGGGCCCCATTGGCACCAGGATAAGGGGGTTGTCCGTATGGAACATTCTGAGGAGGCGTAGGACGACCGCCCCCGGGTGGCGTGGGGGTCTCTCGGTACGGCGCCTGGGGCCGGCCTCTGGAGAGAAGCTGCTGCTCCTTGCGCATGTGTTCCTGGTTCGCCTGCAGTGTCGATGTCCTGACCTTGATCAGTGCGTTCTCGATCGGCCGAACTACGTCTGGAGGAAACACAGGACGTGTGTCGATGGAACCCGGTACGGGCTCTTTCCATGTCTTCAGCATCTCGTCCATTTTGCGCCGAGTATTTTGGTCCACGGCAGCGTAGGCCTCCATGAAGGTCGAATATAGTTTGCGGCCGAAGAAGAGGGTATATGGAGTGCCGACATTCTTGACAATCGAGTCGAGTAGGTAGAGCGCTGGTAGCTTTCGCGGCGGAGCAACCTTGAAGGAAACGTTAGCTATCACTGTTCAAAAAGTCCCGTGGCAGGTAGGTCTGGAGCGAAGATGAGAAAATCGGCCAACTGCTCCCACCGTTTGAAGCGTTGGAAGATGCAGTCATGATGCAGTTATCTCTGAGGGGTTCTTGGCGGCCCAGTCGGACTTACCTTCTTGATGTGGTCTTGCAAAGCCTCGGCGATTGCGTTTGCAAACTCGGTGTTTTCTCTTGCGATCAAGGTCAAGTTGCTAATCTCGACCCGCGAGTTCATCGTCAGGCCGTCCAAGGCATCTCGGTAGTCTTCTGCGACACCGGCAGCATGGTCCTCATAAGACATGGTGGACAACACTGGGTGGCGGTGGGCAACACAGACAGGACAGATGAGTTATTATGTATTGGGTTGGTTCAAGACACGGGATGTGGTCTGTCTTAGCACTGAAGCGGTGCTGACAGATCCTTTCCAGTTGGAAGCGTGAACACTGCCTGTCCAGAGTCACTGGGGAGGACCGCGGATGTTCAAAGGCACAAGTAGAAGAAGCCCAGGAAGAAGATGGTGGGCAGGGCCTGGAAGTTGCAATGGAACAAAATAGGAAGAAGTGTGTGTCCCCCCAAGGTCCAAGATCCAAGCCCCAAATCCTTCCCTCCACGAGATGGCCACCGAAGAACAATAGCCAAGTCACAGAGTCATCAATAGCATTATTCACAGGTTCAGACGACAACAGTAGGGTGTTTGTTCGAGGTCTGTGGGTGGCAGGGTGAGAAGCAGGTGAAGTCGAGGGTGAATCACTCGACCGACCCTGGGCTGGTAGTTGTCGGAGGCAGGCGAGAATGCGCACAGTCGAAGGCAAGCCAGCGAGGCGACAGATCGATCTGAAAGAGTCGCAGGCTGAGCGGCGGCCCTACAAACAGCGTTGGCAGAGAATGAAGCCTTGACAGGCCAAGTCGAGATGGATGCGAAACAAAGCAAGCTTCGCAAGTCTGAAGGTTTGGCGTTAGTCGTGCTACTAGTTAAGTCAAGTCGCTGCTTAGGTAAGGCAGGCAAGGCAGGCATGTAGTGGGCGTACAGTGAGAGGTCCGCCACTGTGTATCAGCTCGCACCGTACGTCTCCAAATCACCAGCACAAAGGAGAGATAATGTAGGTAATTTCAGATATCTTTTCGATTTGTTCATCAAATGGAAAAAAGCAACAATATTAAGACGCAGAAAACCTTTGCGCCACCTATGCCAGACCAAGGGTATCAAATCAAAATGCATATGTCCGACCCTTGCTAAAACGCCGCCCAGAAAGATCGTGGGTGTCCGTCCCTCTTCGCTATGCAAGCAAGCATTGCCTATTCGAAGGTCTTCCCCCCCCGTCCCATAACAAAAGCAAATGAGTCACATCTACTAGAAGCGATTCAGGTGGCTGACCTCGCTATAACGGGTTGCACGGTTGCCGCCCGTGAAGGCAGGGTGCATCGCCGTCGGAGGCCGCTGCATGCCCTGCGCGATGGGGCTGCCGCGGTCCTGCGCCCAGCTGTCGCCGTCGTTGTGCGAGGACGCGGCGCGCTCGACGTCGACGTGCTGCGGCATGGGGTGGCTGATCTCGGGCCGCTTGCCGCCGAACTTGCTCATAAAGGCCTGGGTGTAGCGCCGCGCCCTCGACGTCTCCTTCTCGTCGCGGAGCGACGCGCTGCGCTGCGAGAGCATGTCCTCGTAGTTCTTGCCCTTAGCAAGATTGCCGTCCTTGCGGAACTCGCGCGCCGCGATGCGGGCCTGGGGGTCGCGGTAGACCAGGGAGGCGATGAAGTTGAAGAAGCCAAAGATGAGGCAGAGGATGCCGGCGGCGAGGACCATGCGCCACAGGGGCAGGCCGAGGTCCTCGACGGTGAAGTCGGGCTTGTTGGTGTTGGCCAGGGCATTGCAGCCCAACATGATCATGGCGAGGCCAAGCCAGAAGAAGCCACGATCGGGACCGAGGACGGCGAAGTTGTTCTTGTAAAAGTTTACAAAGAGTCCCGTCTCCGAGATCAGGAGGAAGAGGGCGATGCCCGAGACAAAAAAGTGGGAGGCGAAGTCGAAGAAGAAGAAGTGATGCTTCATCAATGGCGGCACGACGATCATGACCCAGTTCGCGATAGCGACTGACAGCAGACCGACGACGTTGAAGCCCCGGAGAATGTTGAGGACGATGATGGCCGAGCCCCGGAACTTGGAGCTCTCAGAGACCTCGCTGAATTTCTTAAACATCTTGAAGGATGGGCTGGTTGGAGCTTCGAGTAGGTTTAGCGAACGAACTACCTTCTGTCAGTTCTATGCCCTGCTTTACAGGGTCCGTGTTCCTTCCACGTACAAGTGATGCTCGATGGACTGCTGCTCGGCAGTAGGTATCGTGTAAGAAGGAACGGTGTCCGGGGAAGAAGAAAGCAACAACCCTTGACTTCGCAGAAGCTGGGTGGCTTATAAAGGGAGCGGCAGAGTCGACAATTACTGGCCTAGGCAGTCTTGAGATGTTTGAAAGCGAACAAAGGGTGCAAGAGAAAGGAAACAAACGAAAAGAAAGGGATGTTGAGTGATATCAATGATCACATCCCCATAATCAGGACAATAGCGTGGCGAGTCACAATAGAGAAGGTGAGGAGGCAGACCAGAGCGAAACACTTGTGCGGGCCGTGAGCTTTTAATAGAGGGTATTGTCAAAGACTTGACAGAAAAGAAAGAGAGAGAAAAAAGAGAGAGAAAAAAGAGTATCATTGTTCCCGGTTTACCTGAATAGCCAGACAAAGCCGCCTGGCTTTTTGCCTACTTACCTGGTGTGGGAGCCGAGAAGCGTGTCAGTGACCAGGCACAAACCTCTTGAATAGATGGCCCCTTGCAATATTGTTTCGCCATGCGCACAAAGCCGGGGAGAAGTTCTGGCCAATCGTTTGCTCGACGCCAAAACATCCTCTTGCTCCATGGGAAGCTGAGACGCTCGGAGGGCAAACCCGCAAGAGGCAGATGCAGTGGTTTCAGAAGTTTCCGCGGGGAGTCACGGTCGCTCGCTCACCTCTCTGTCGTGCCAGGGGTCATCGACCTCCTTGGCCGCTGTCGCTGCCCAATGGGCTTCAGCGGGTGGCGACGTCCTCGGGCGATGGGAGGCGACATCAACAGCACGCGTAGAGTGCCGGGCAGCCATCCAGAACGCGTCTCTTGCCTCGAGGTAAGGTGATCCTCCGCTGAGTTTCTGGAAGGGCGGTTGCGGCAGATCAGCCCATCCGAACAGGGAGCGCTCTCGTCCAAGCGACGAGGAGGGGATCACCCTTCGGCCAAGAATCCATGCAGACACTGGGTCCATAATGCGAATCTGGCTGCTTCCAATGATGGGTTGAGCCAGGAACGGGGATGGACGCCAGACATGTCAGGGAAGTGTGCTTTATGTGCGTTCCCTTTGGTGATTTTCGAATCCGGGCTTCCAGATGGATTCGATTGGACGTGGAAAGCTCAGGCGCTGTTTCAGGTCCATTTAGCAGCCATAACTGCCGGCCTCGGTGGGGTCCACAGGGGCTTCCATAATGCTCATGAGGCCCAATGGGTGCTGTCGAGGCCGCAGGACCAACCGAATTTACAGGGCCCAAAATGACTTTATCTGTTGAGTCACGAAAGCTACCTAGGTAGGTAGGTTTGTTCGCAACAGATGACAGGAGCCATACCAAAGGAGTCATTGAGATAAGAGCATTCCTACATAGGTACACTACGAGGGTCCCAAGTTGAGTGAATCCATAGGGGTTGTTTCTATGAAGGTTGCCTACAAGCTACAGCGATGAGAGCCGCTGCTTCTCATGTAGCTACAGAAGGAGGTACCTACACACGTTCGATGTGTGAGCGCATAGGCACATACAGCTGGTGACCAGTATAGCAGATGATGGACTGCCTTTTTTCAGAAGCAGGATCTGTCAAAAAGCTCATTGAAAGCGGGTTTCAAGCAACTCACTCCATTATCAGAGCCTTTCTAGTCACGAGTTTGCAGCCAGCCCGAGGAAGCACTTCAGAGAAGCCCACTGTAACTGCCACTTTGTACTTGTAGGCTCCGCGCTTATAAGTGCCACAACCCGATTCGCCCAAATTCCTGCCCCCAAAAATAGGAACCCTTTACCACGGGCGCCAAATTCTGATTGGCGCATAGCGCACCGCCGCACCGCCCGCTTCCAGACCATTCTTTACGGAGAACTGACGAGAGCCTCTGACTGACTACACGCGCTGCGAATTTTCCCGCATGAAAGCACGATATCCGCTCTCTCCGTCCTGTCCTTCACACCTGTCTGGCGCAAACGATCGGCTCTTCCCTCTTCCCGCAAACAGGCGCGCGCCTCGCACTCATCCAACAGCTTTCCCCCTTTCCCCCCCCACTTTGCGGTTTTTTCTCGTCAACCGTATCCATACAAACCATGGCCCGCGGCAACCAGCGCGACAAGGCCCGCGAGGCCAACCTCAAGAAGCAGGCCGCTGTGGTGCGTTCTGTCCCTTCCGCCGGCCCCTGGGGCCCCTTTCCTGCTCCGCCGCAAGCGCTCGGCGGCGGCACCCCTTCGGCGTCGGGATAGATAGCAATCGTGCGTATGTGCTGACAAGGCGATTTTCCCCACAAGTACAGAAGTCGAAGAACAGCAAGAGCGGCAGTGAGATGCAGCGCGACAAGGAGGCGGTCGCTGCCAAGATGAGGGAGAAGCAGGCGGCCGGTGAGTCCCTCTAACAGCCCATCCTTGGGGCTGTATCCTTCGCAACGATCAGGGACCAGCTCGCTGACATGGATCTGCTACTGCGACACAGCCGACGCCAAGAAGGCGGCCGAGGGCAAGAAATAAAGATGCAAAGAAATAAGTCACGATGATCGGGATATCTTCTTCCCAGCTCCGTGGGACGGCGAAGGCGTTTGCAAGACGAGTCACGAGGGATCACGACGGTCACGAAGAATAACAACCAACAAAAGGACAAGAAAGAAAAAAAACAGGAAATCAATTTTTGCGCGACGGGATAGCGAAAGGCAAGGATATCATCATGTTGGGAGCGTAGGGAGTTCACTCTTCTTGCATTCGTCATATGTCGGTATAGGCCAATCTTACCGCATTGCACACTCACTTTCACCTTGGCTTTTGCATTCGTGGTGTGACTGTTCCCTTTCGTTATCGCATTGCCAACCTTTCTGCATATCACATATCCATGCCGAAGGACTAGAAGATTTCCCTCACTCCCTCTATGTTAACAGACCAGGAGACACATCCCCACGCACTCATTGAACCGGCCTGATGAATGGGGAGGGAAAACAAAAAAGGTAGATCATTTATATGGTATTAATTTGCATCCAGAATACGAACCAGTCATATATACCTTCATGCCCGGGGAGTATGTGCGGAAGTCTTGCCAACCAAGACCCTTCCCATATCCCAAGAAAGCAGAATCGTCTCCCCGCCTGACCTATGAACCGCCCGTATCGAAGTCTTTAAATCTACAAAAAAAGTTTGGTGCGTTTGAAAAACCCCCCGAAGGGAAAATACATCTGTTCCCTCTCTATCTGGAGATGGTTGACCCCCTCCCTGTTCTCCTACTGAACTCATGCAGCGCCGACCATGTTGGCAGGGATGCCACCTGTGTCAAAAGCCATGTTAGGATGTGGACTGTCGAAGAATCAAGTGCATTGGAGGGAATGCTTACCGGCCATGCCGCCGAATGAGCCGATGCCTTGTGCCTGGACGGCAGGGAAGGCACCAGGAGCGCACTGGACGGAGCAAGAGCAAGAGCCGTCGGGGTTGAGGGTGCCGACGCCAGAGACGACGCCGGTGCCGGCAGGGGCAGCCGCAGTGCCGGTGGCCGCGGCGCCGCCAGTGCCGGCGCCGAGGGTGGCGGTCAGCGAGTTGGCGGGGGGAGCCGCGGCGCCGCCGGCGGGAGGAGGAGGGGCGGCGGCGCTGCCGTTGCCGGTGATGGCGCTGCCGGTGCCGCCGCCGTTCTGGGCGATGGCCATCTGCTGGAACATGGCCTGGGTCTTCTCGGCGGTGGGGTTGATGGAGAAGGTCATGCCCTTGCCGCAGTGCTTGGCCTGGGCGCAGAAGAACCACAGGGGCGTCTCGACCATGACTTGCATGGCGACCTGGGGCGGCGGGTTGACGCTGTTGTTGGGGTTGGGCTGGAAGCTCGAGTCCATGCCGCCGGCGAGGGGCTCGCAGGGCTTGTCAAAGGCGGACTGGGTGGCCGTGTGGTTCTGGCTCAGGAAGGTGAAGATGACCATGTCGCCCACGGCGGCCTTGAGCTCGGTGGGCTCGAACTGCAGACCCTTGGGGCCGCCGACGGTGACGGTGTGGGTGGCGCCAGTGCCGGCAACGACGCTGCTGGCACCGGGGGCGACGGTGTTGCTAGCGACGGCGCCACCGTTGGCGGGCGGCGGAGTCTGCTGGGCAGCTCCTCCAGCCTGCCCGTTGTTGACGGTGACGGTCCGCGTGACGGTCTGTTGCTGGTTGATCGAGGTCGTCTGCGCGCCACCTCCACCGTTCACCCAGATGAGAATGACCTCGGTCCTCGCGTTGGCGGTAAGACCAAGGCCGCGGAGACCGGCAGCAGCGAGGATGGCCGGGTCGACACCAATGGCTGCCGCGGCGCCGACGGCTTGCGAGGCGCCGCCACGGTTGGGCGTCCTGCGTTCGACGGGGTAGACATTGTGGACAGCCTTGGCCAGGGCCAGAGGGGCGAGACCCAAACTCAATGCTGCGGAGAACTTCATTTTCGATGATGTATTTTCTCGTTTACGGATATAAAAAAGAACAACCAAACTCTTGCTGTTGACCTGAGGACTTCGGTACTAACGGGTTCGAAAGGCGACTGTCTGCTTTTAGGAATGTGAAGAACTGATTTGTTGACCGTTCACTGAAGGCCTGGATGAGGGCGAGTGCCTGCTCGTTGGAATCGAAGGAAAGAGAAAGACGTGAGGAAACGAACGGGCGTCTTCGTGATAGATCACTGGCAATACGACGACGACGAAAAGGAATGGAGGAGGAGGAAGGAGACCAGTACCTACGCGAGTCCTGGGGGGGAATAGCAGGGCTTAAATCAAGCATGAAGATCCAAGATCGCATCTAGGTCACGGTCCTGCCATCCCGGCCCAGGAGGTCGTCTCGAAACATGACTTGGGAATCATCCGTACAGGGAGCCCTGCTCGGGCCCGTGAGCGTCCGGAATTGGAATGGGTGAAGCCTCCACGCAGCAGCGTCTGCGGGTCTCTGCAATGCTTGGCTCTAGCCTTGGCCTGTCTGCCACTTCGCAGGGGACTGCTCTCTGCGTGGCAACGGCTCAAATGATGGGGAGCATGGGAGAGGGTACATGGTGGAGAGGACAGGCAGGTTTCACGGCCGGAGGCTGGCCCAGCGCTGGGGGGCCAAGTCAAAGGGAGGGACGGGGTCGTGATGTGACAGATTTGTCTCGGGTGGTGTTTGGGCCTGTCGCTAGCAACACCGAATCCGTAGTTGCTCGGGCCCCAAGAGGACCAGGGTCGCCAAATTAACCCTATCCCAGGCCCTGGGGCGACACCTCTAACCTTGACTGAACTCCAGCCTTCAAGGCTGACGACGATCTCTGGCGTGATTTTTATGCTAAATGCCTGCCAGCGGTACAGCACTTGCGTCCCATCTATTTCCTTATGACGAAGCTCTTGCGAACTGCAGTCTTGTCGTCAAACATCCCAAGAGCTGGGCTCTGGGCTTTGGTGGATAAACAGCACACTGGGCCGGAAACAGGTGCCCGATTTTCAGGCCTACTCTACGCGAATGCAACTAACCCCCCTGGCTAGCGACCCCAAGAGCCGTGGCCCCTGGTCCAGACTCACTAAGCAACCCCAGCTTTTAACAGTGGTTAGTGCTCATTTCCACGAACCAGAGCGCTCCAGTGCCTGAGTGCTAGGTCCACTCTTGCGGCTCAACAGCCTAGAAACAGCCTAGGAGGACACGCGCACGCCGAGTCCACTTCCCCTAATAACGTTACTTTCAAGGTTGACCTTGACTGGTGACAGCGGCTAGTCTTATCCGAAGTGCATGCCTATCACCGACACCCTGAATTTTACTCGACTGACAGAGCGTCAGGCCAAGGCGCCGTTCAGTGTAAGGATAAGGAGGAAACGAGGGTTTCCCTTAGAAACGAAACCTTGGCATGCTTGGAAGAATGAATATCGTAATTCAGTCCCAGCCCGTACAAGCACACTTGTAAGCGCCTATGCGGGATGATTATTGCTCTCTAAGTCTTTAGGTATTCACCACCAGATGCCAGCAAGCGTTATTGATCCTTTCAAAGAGCCCTGCATGCCATTTACACGTATCCGAAGGCCCTGCACGCAATCTCTTTCGAGTCCTAGTTGTAATTATGGTGTTTCGCGCACCTCGAGGCGTTCGGGCTAAAACTATGCACGTGCCGAGAGTGGCTGCAACGCTTCCTGTATCAGATTCCTCGCTTGTCGTCGATCAAGCAACAGGCTTGCAGCCGTACACCCGTAGACACAAGATCCGAATTGCCGCCACGGCTCAGCCTCCCCTGTCGGTCTTTTGTCCTCCCTGATGCTATCTCCATGCCCACCGGCATGATTATTGCTCCTGGCTGCCGGCACCACCCTGTGTTTGCTGCTGCTGTTGGCCCTCGTAGAGACCCGTGTAGTACCCTGCGTAATACCAAGACATCAAAAGTTTCTTGAGATTTTCGTCCCGCACTGTCAATTTCGAGGTCCCTTACGCGTCAGCCACCTTCTATTCTCCCGCAGCCCGACTCTATCATCAAGCATGCCCACCACTAGCCCTTGTAGATTCGCTGGATCAACACCAAGGAGGACAGGGGAAGATGAACTTACCGGACCCGAGGACAGCATGAGGCGCGAGGCTAGCGGGGTCCCTCATCTGAATAGCTGGTCGGCCTTCTCCATGATCCTGGCCCTCCGTCGCATCTGACCCCTAAAAAGGCCCAACTCGTCAGTACAGACTGTCATGGGCCACCCCCGACGCAATCGGAAACACCAGGGCCAAGCTTTTTTGATCTGCTGGGATTGCTCCCGGGGACCGAGATCTCCGTGTCTTGCTTACAGATGGTGCGCCCTCAGCCTCGAGTGTTTCGCCCTGGTCTTGGGGGGCGTTAGGGCCTCCGCCAGTCACGGTCTCGTCCTGCGCAGCCGTTTCAGGCTTGGCATTCGTCCCAGCTCTGTGACAAGGTGTTCAGCAGCAGGAAATAAAGGGGTAGCGTGGCAGTAGGTTGGCGGCCTCACCTGTCTGTCGTCGTCTCGGGAAGATCCTCAACTTTGCCTCCACTGGCGTGGATGGAGTGGTATTTCTGCCATACATGTGAGTCGCGGGTCAATCTTGACATCTTGGAGGGGCTGTCGCTCACCTTGTACTCTTCCAAAGCCTGGTTCCAGGACTCTACCAGTGCGGAATCGTCCCAGATCTCATCGTGTGTGAGATTACTCATTTTCTGTTGTTCTTTGACGCGAGTGACTCAGGTACGTCAATAGAAATTGATGAGATTCTGATGTCGCGAGATATTAGGGCGAGGTCTCTGTTGATTGAACAGTTAATTAGTACGCTGGCAGAAAGCTGGGGCGACGGCCCTTGCCGGATTAGGCTCCTACAGGCAACCTAAAGTAGCAACACATAGCAGGGCACAGATTTCTGTCCTCACCTCGACGCACCGACAAGTCATTTCTGCCTTCCTTGGAATCTTGAGCCGCTGGTTTGTAAGTACAGATCAAAAGCTTGTTACAATGCTAATTTCGCTGTTATTTGATTTTTGCTACTACATTTGGCCAAAATGGCCGAACTGGTGGTGTGTTTCTGAAAAGGACCAAACCAAAAGCAGTTGAGTTTGGATGCATGCAGAACTACATCGCTTGATGGAGGACTACTCAGTACGTGTTTCTTGCATTTCTTTCCCGAAAGCTTACCCCGAAGTCGCAAGGCTGTCGCGCCCTCAACTCTTTCGACAACTGCTAAAGTGCCGTAGGCCTGTGTTCTCTCTCAACATGCAGACCTTTGACCCTCCTTCACCCCGCCATTACCTGTCAGTCCTACGGACTCGCGACAAGGACTTCGACGCCATGTTGTGCGGATGCAGTGGATGTGCGGCGGCGGCATGTGTAATTGTCACAGATTGGGTGTATCCTATGGATCGGGCTCATGGGGTTATACAAGTTTGTGTCCACCTCCCTCCTGCTTGCACAGAAGCTCACCCAGTGTAGTCATTTACAATCTATTTAGAGGAGTCCAACAAGCTGTGGCCTATTGCTTTGGACAATTTGGAGCTCTGGGTATCACAATACTTTGTCCATGAGACCCGGCTAGCTGTGACGAAAAAAAACAGACGGGTCGGTCATTGAAGAGATAACCCTTGCAGGATCCCCAATCAGAACCGCTGCAAATTCCCGACATGTCCAAGGCCAGCCGCACCGACATCTTGGCTCTTGCCGATGTCTTTGATGCTTGGTATCACGATGTTGTCGGTGGCGTTCAGGATGCTCACAGATTCGTTCTGGGACTCCGCTCCTAGACGCTCATGCTCATTATATCTGTATAGGGTCGGGATATATACTGGGACTTTGCGTACGTCTGGTTGGTCGATCCACACGCCCGCGAGGCGTTTTAACGGCACCATCAATGGTGACAACGATGATGGTCTAATGAAGCTCAGCCCCGCGCATATAACGAGAGGGTTGCGTTATTTACCAATGATATAAACACTTGGATATTTCTGCGCGATGAAGTTCCTCCAGAGTCCGGGACGTTCTGGTTCCATCCTCGTATGTTTTGAGGCCATCCGCTTACAAGTTGAGCCTCACAGGGGTATTATCATTGAGTGTCAGCTTGAGACTGTACTTCCCCTAGAAACTAAAAATTTATTGCCACTTTGCATTCATTAGGGCCCCTTTGCTATTCCTGCCTCTTTACCACTTCTTTCGTGTTTCTCACTCTGTGCAGAGAATGAGCAATGATGGCTTAATTAATAGCATCTATCGAAATGCATACAACCCCCTTTTCAAAACTCGTCTGATATGGCATGTCTGTTTCCCGCTGCTACGGGATATTTCACCGTGTTGTTGCTGACTCTTGCAATAACGTTGATGAATTCCGCGTAGGTTGCCTCTGGGCTGCATTGCAGCGCAGTAGAGCTGTCACAATTAAAGACAGGGGTCAAATCAAAGGTGTGTAAAAGGTTGAAGTTCAATTCCATAGAGCTACCGCAGAGATCCGCACTTTAAGTGCGAGATCATAGAATTAGCTAAGCACTCTACGCCTGAGCCAGATCTACCTTGTACATGTAATACCAGTATATTTACAATCTTAAAGTCCAAGCATGCCCAAATAGAGCTGTAAAGACGATCATATGCATGTTCATATAGAGCAAAGAAAGGATGCTATTATCATTCTTGCTAAAGCTCACTTCTCAATCAATTTACTTCTAAGGAATATTGCCTTTCAATGTTACATCATTTTCACTTTAATAATAACTTTATAAAAACGATTTTTTATTATAAGCTAAGTAATTAAAAAAAAACAATATTTTTAAGAGGGCTAATAATTAAAATAACTAATACTAGTAAATCATCTAGTAGATTTAATCTTTAGTAAAACTAATAGTGGCCTTTTTGTTTTATTTCTCCACTTATCGCATTTATCTTGACTTAACCCTTTAAATAAACACCACACACCCTTAGAATGATGGCCTCCGCCTCGCGATGGCTTCCCCCCTAAGGTAAGACGCGTCTTGCGCCGACTTCTACTCGATGAAAGTCGCGCTGACTATTCCGCCTAGGCCTCCAGTTCCTGTCATAGACCTCACAGGCGACGACGATACGTCATCTTCTTCGTCGGTGCCCGCACCCTCGTGGCCGGCCGCACACCATGGTGGCCATACTGCCGAAGTCGCGGGACGTCCCGCGAAGCGCCCGCGACTAGAAGAACACCATGAGGTCGCTCACGATACCAAGGCGTTGCTAAATCGATGCCTGCACGAACAGATCTTTCCACAAGTGAACACCGCGGTATCGAATTTACCGAAAGAACAGGTGAATACGACGCTCCTTACGAAGGACGTATGTGCTATACCGGTCTACCATCTTCCTCTCGTCTTCTGCTCACTCCCAAATCTATCATACAGGTCCTAAGTATCCTGCTGCAAGGCCAATTCTTCAGCGAGTTTAGACAGGGCAACGGCTACATCTCACCGGATTTCCAGGCCCAATTAGCAGCACAAGCTCAGGCTGAGGTCAACCGCCTCCGTCGGGAACCGAAATACTCGATCCAAGCACCTATCGCATACGGTACACCAGCTCCTGCCATCTCCGCCCTTCCTTCCACTCAAGTCGCGCCTGCCATCTCTGCCAACCAATCAGCAATTGCTCAACCATCGCGTACGGGTGCTCCTTCCGAGCTGTCATCTCTTCGATATCAACCCGCCTCGCGCCTTCCTAATTTTTCGGCATATAAATATTCCCCTCCCGCGTCTGCTCAACTCCATGCCCAGGTCGAGCCTCATGGCTTCCGACCTGCTTTAGCCGACCCTTTTGAATACATCAACCTCGAATCTGATCATGCTGAGGTAGATGGATCGGTATCAGACGCCAATACTGAGCAGTGGGAGCCCGAGGACGATGGCGCATCCGACGAGGACATAGTCCGCGCGGCCGATATCGACCTTCCCTCTGAGACTAAGAGTCAAGAAGAGTTCTCCTCGCCCGCTGCTCTAGCGACGACGCCCTTGCGACCGCGCAAGATAAAAAAGTTCCACCACACCTCACCACAGAACTTCAGGGCGCGGGCACGCGACCTTGCTCTACAGGCGGAGGAGCATGCACAAGCTACGACTCAGCAGAGACCTCTTGTTTGCAGTAGCCGATACTTTTCGCTCGAGAGACGACCGTATCGAACCTCTCCGGAACGAAAACAGATTTCACGTGGCAGCAAAAAGCTCTTCAAGATTTCCTCGACTAGCCTGCGGGAGCCTGGCGTTGTTCACGTGGACTTTTCCGAACAAGAGGCCGAACATGTGCTAGGAACTGCCAAGAGGGTGCTGGCCCTTGGCCAGGTCGATGCCCAAGCACTTTCAGAGGGCCTCAAGAAACTACATCGGGAGAACAAGCACAAGGAGGCAGAAATCCTCAGCTCGTTGGATCGTCAAATGCTCAAGGGTCGGACTGACGAGGACATCAGAAATTTCTTGCGTGACGTACGCAGAAAAGGCGTCGCAAGACGCGCCCAATTACTGACGCTCGAGCGCGATGACCTGGACAAGCACGCCCAGGCGGTCAGGACAAGCCGCCTATCGTCTTTGCTATTGGCTCGGGAAACAGCCGGGCACAATGGCTTTGGTCCCATGCGAGGTTTCGTGAACTTCAGAAACGAATTTCGTAAATGCCGAGAAGATGAGCTTGAGCTGCGGACGAAGTGGGTTGACTGTGCTGGCGATATCACCACCATTGCTTGGACATCGAACCAATCTTTTATCTGCGGGACGACCACTCATTCTGATTCTCGAAATCAGCAGTACAACAAGCCAGGCAACCTCCTCCTCGGCTCGACATTGCACAGCACTCTGCAAGCGTACCCAGACCATCGTGTTGTGCGACCCGTCATAGACCAAGGCGAAAATTCGACAGAGGCAATGAGGCAAAGCCAGGATCCTTGGCTTTACTCATCAGTCGTCAGCTCCGACTTCGATCAAGCGCACGATAGGGTTTACACTTCCAGCTTTGACAAAACAGTCAAGATATGGAGGACGGAGACTAGTGAGTCTGCCTCCTCCATGAAGTGCTTGGGCACATGGAAACATGAGGGCAACGTCAATTTTGTGGTTGCCTCCAAGCACTCTTCCGGCATGGTAGCGACGGCGGCCGACGTAGCCAAAGAAGCTGTGCGTATATACACAATCAACGAAGTCGACATAGAGAACAGTGGATATCACAGCTTCTCTTGCTCCCGAATCGTCGATCTCGAAGGCAATCCCATATTCACGGAGGAGAAATGGGCCTACTTCCCAGCCACCATCCAATGGGGCCGCGCGCCTGATGTACAACATCTGCTGCTTGTGGGCTACTCTCCACGCAGCATGATTGCGTATGAAGATAACATCCCTGAAGATAGGAGAAACTCAGGGGAAGTATGTCTTTGGGATGGCCGGAATGGAGATCGATGGAGAATTCTAGGCGGAACGTCCCAGAACGTCTTTGAAGTCGCTTGGCATCCCAGCCAGTCGAGTTTCATCGTGGCGAGTTCCCCGGTTGGGCTGAACGTCGAGGATCACGTTCATACCCAAATCCGTATCTTTCGCCCCTCCGATAACAAGGAGTATGGTGAAAAGGCCTTTTCCGAAGTCCAGGTTCTCGACTGTCCTGCGGCCGATATCAATGAGCTCGCAATCATGCCCAACAGCTTCACCTTCTCCTACGTCACGGCAGGCTGCACCGACGGCAAGGTCTACGTTTGGGACACGGCGCGTGGGCAACGGCCTATCCACGTTCTCTCGCACGGTCCACTGATCGAAGAATTCACTGGCGACAGAGAGAAGGAGGACACAGGGGTCAAGTTCACGGCATGGGGTACTTCTCCCGATCGTTTCTACACGGGATCCTCCGACGGAATTGTCAAAGTGTGGAATGTCCGATCTCTCAAGAAGCCCTTGGTCAGAGACCTGCTCGAGTGCCCCGCCCCAGTCTCCTTCGGCGCCTTCTCCCCAGACTTGTCCAAGCTGGTAGTGGGCGACGCTAGCGGTCGGGTTTGGTTCCTGTCCATCGACGCGGACGAGGAACCCCTTAGCGAGGCGGCTCCTCAGTTCGCGAAGGTCAGACTGCCAGATGGCAGTTTCAAGACGATGCTGCGGCCGAACCCGTTCAAGCCCCATCCAGAGCCGCCGGCGCCGACGCACGATGCTCAAGGTCGCCCACTCGAACCCGAGACAGGCATAGCGAGGGCGAGAGCGTACCTGCAGAGGGGAGAGCTTAAAGTTCACAGGGACCCCACCGTGGGTGCGGTCCAAGGGGGGATGTATGCGCAACTAGGCCTGTACCGCCGGGAAGCCCACTTTCAAGGCGATCCCGAGGGACCCCTTAACGCGGGCGTCGACAAGGACCAGCTGGAGAATATCAAGATGTACGCAAGCCGCACGAGGCACAGCGCGCTGGGATCTATTAGGGATATCCCGATCGCTGAGGCGCTGCACCGCCGCAACCTGGAGATCGAAGCTGGAATGGAGAGCCTGTCCATTGACTCGCCGCCCGAGCCTGAAAGCGAGCCTACCGTGTTGGAAGCAGAAGATCCGGAATGGGAGAAGAGGGCAGCGGATTACGACCGTGAGCCCTTTATTTACGAGGGATCACAAGAGGAGCAGGTCCTGAGCCTGGAACCAGATACCCTGGGGTGTTATGACGATTATGACTTTACTTGCTTGCTTAAGGAGCTCTAGCATGAAGAAGAGATATCCCTCTCGACGACGAATCATCAGCTGTGTTGACTTTACTACATGCATCTTGTTCTCTTGTCGGACGCGCTGTCCAAACATCCGCGATAGCTTTCTTCCTGACCTTTACCGCATTTGCGCTGTCTTGCCTTGGCCTGACTTCCATAGAAAGAACTTTGAATGAATGATAACTGTCAAGCACACGAAGTAGAGAACTCATACAATGGACGTTTGCAAAGCAGCCTCACAGCCCGGAAGGCTGTCGGTCGTGTGCCCTTTTTGCGGCCACGACACTTGTCGCCCGATACCCGTCCGGGGAGACGGTATGCCAACGCGTAGAGCCGGTGGGGGGGTCAGCCGTAGGCAGAGAGTGTCGAGTTGTCCGGTTTCTCCCTACCCGCATACGTACCCTCGTCCACCTCCCAAAAGTGATCCACGTAGGAAAAGGTAAGACAGGTTAAACAAGGTTGATTACAACTCTACATTAGGGACACGCGAGCTATTAGCGCACATGCAGGTGTAAATTGTCAAAAAAGTGCCTCACTCATAACAACTACGGGCAGATAGGGTAGACGCACCACCAAGTACCTAGCTAACCAATAGCGCGGTGCCACCCGAGTTCGAGTCGGCGGATCGCCGGTGGGTGTGTGTGGGGGTATTTTCTCCGGGTGAGGCGTTATTTTTTCCTTCTAGAAGACTTCCATGCAGATCGGCAGGGTCGGTCAGATCACAGGGCCCACGACACGAACTGCCTTTTTGGTCTTGTTTTTTTTTCCCTTCCCACAAACCAAAATAGTTTGGCCAAGAAAGTTGCAAAGCACAACGGGGCTCTCCGTCCTCCGTTTTCCGTCTTGGCCTTTTGTCTTTTTCTATGCGCGTTTTACAGGATCCCTGTTGTGAAAACGGAGAGGGGACGGACGACTGTGGGCATTCGGCACTTCGTTCTGCTATGGGGGAAAGATATCGTGTGTGTGCGTGGGGGGGCCCGATATTACTGTCTTGGGAAAAGAAAAGAAACCACGCATACATAGGTACTCTGTCCCTGTATTACTGGCTCTGCGTTTGGATGAGTGAGATGAATGTTTGCGGGAGTCGGGTGGTAATCTCGAAACCCCGATCCCGCTCCTCTGATACCGGCAGTCGCGATGCCTCGTTGTTTAACAAGAGGCTCTTAGGTCCGAAAGGGACTCCGGTGAAGTTGGCACCACTCACAGTCGGCACTCCACGGTTTCTACGGTCTCTACGGAGGTCCTTTTCTTTCGGACGAGTAAGTGTAAAATTATGCTTGCTGCTGTCTGCAGTCCACACATCGCAAAAGGGAGAGAGAAACGGCAACATGTCGTGTGCTCCTCCCCTTGTCAGCGTTCCCCAAAATCACTCATCCATTGCCAATTCCGGATCCCAATTCGTCTCTTCTCATTGAAAGCATCACCAGAACAGGGTAAGTGCGAGCAGTTTACTCATCCTAGTTAGCTAGGTAATGTAGCTATTATCTTATTCCCGTCCCGTCCCACTCTTTCAACCCTGCATATGTACAAGCAATGCAGATGCAGCTCGGGAAACGGAAGACATTAGAAGAGAAAGAAAGAAAAGAAATAGAACGTTGTGGGGACCACCGTGCGAGGGCGTCACGGCCTCTACAAGACAGGTACAAAGGGCCCCGTCTAGCCCGAGCCGCCCGAGAAAGAGAAGAGTTGACAGGGATTGCCCACTCTCTTCTCTCACGATGGGGAGCGGACGGGGGGGGGGGGGGGTTCCACAACACTTCGGTGCATTCATTAGCGTGATGACGGGGTGCATAGGTATTAAGTGAGCCCACAGGCCACCAGGGGGAAGAGGAGGAGCCAAAAGCAGCTTTTTAATGCCTCAAAAGGAACAAACCGTCCCAAATCGCGCCCCCCTCCCCGTCCTGTCTTGGGTGTCTGGGCAACTTGGGTAAAGAAAAGGGAGGGAGGCGGTGAAGTAGGCTCCTATCATTGTGTGGTGGTGCGATCTCGTACCCCAGGTGAGATCCATCGTGGGAGTCTTGGCTTTGGCGGGTGAAAGTGAGGGGAGGGACAGAGTCTGACAGAAACCAGTTGCCAAGACTCGAATCTTTTTGCCAGTTTCTTTGCCTCGAACGTGCCTAAAACTGCTCACCGTCTGCCCAAGTCCGCTTGCCCAAGTCTCACACGGATAGGGTCGATGTCAATGACGATAATCATGCACAATTGGGGGGCAAAATAATTATCTTTTATGAATTCCTACTCTCTGCTCTTATCCCTAGACCGTTCTCATGTCAAGCTCCCAAGGGTATCATAGTGAAAGAGTTTCCGTCCCTCATCAGCCGCCCCCCGCGTCGCAATGTGCAGGTGGCGACGTCTCTGCATGAAGAAAGAAGACAACCTGAGCAATATAGGCCGTCCAGTGAAACAACTGTCGCTGCAGCGGGAGAGAAGCTCCCCCATGCTTCCACTGCATTCCGAAAATAAAGACAAAGTCGTACATCTCGTAGATGCACTACGGACAGTACATCTCGTCAAGATGTCATTGAAAGTCTTGGGGACTTTCAAGCAAGTCGCGTTCTTGACCGTGTCAATGGACCAATTCCAAAGACGTCGAGATCTGCAGTGATAGGTGTTAGTATCGAGACAGTGGTATGAGTTCTTAAAAGGGTCTCTCTGCCACTCACCATTCCGCATGCCGAGAAAAGAACAGTACCAAGTAAATTACAAACCCCTTCAATCGTACCTCACTGCCACCCTCCGAAATGGCGAAATTGCTGGTATTACAAGGGCCACTGAAGCGAGCCCTGCTCCGAGCCTCGATGGCCCCTCCTCTAGTAGTTGGGGCCAGTCTGGCCGTCCGGGGCGGGGAAGGCAAAACCGGGCGGGAAGATGGGCATGCCGTTGGGTCCGACAGCGAGGCCGAAACCAAAGCCCGGCGTGGTCGTATTGACGTTCTCCTTGTTGCGGTCGTCGTCGCCACGTCGATGATCACGGCTGCTGCCTCCACCGCCGCCGCCACGGCGGTTGAACCGACCGCCTCCGTGGTTGTTTCCGTGGCCGCTTCCATGGCCGCTTCCATGGCTTCCTCCATCGTGGTGGTTCTCCTCGTCCTTGCGGCTGGAGCGCGGGCCGTTGAGGCCGCCCCTGTCGGTCGCCATTCGCCGGCTGATAGCCTTGGACGAGACGCCGGCACCAATCTCGATATCGGGCTCCTCGACGACCATGCCCGTGACGATGGGCTTGCCGCCGCTTCCGCCCCACGGCGCAGTGAGCATCCACTTCCGATCCGCCTCGGTGAGTTTGCTGATGGGGATGACACTAATCCCGCTCTGGTAGTCGCTGCAGTCGCGAGGGCCAAAGCCGACGCCCCATCGCGTCCTCAGGGGCAGCTCCTGGGTTCGGGCATCCTCCATGCCTTCCTTGGCCGCGACGGCAGCCTTGCGGGTGTACATCTTGACAAAGGCATGGCGCTTCTCCTTGTTGACAATACAGGTCTGCACCTCTCCGTAGCGAGCAAAGATGGCTCGCAGCTCAGCTTCGGAGCAGGTGACGCCGCCAACGAACAGGGTTCGGCTCAGGACCCGGATGGTTCCATTGGGCAGAGTGTTGTCATACTCGACCCACTTCTCGCCCGGCTGAGGAGGGCCGTCTCGATGTGGACTAGAGCCACGGCGGCCTGCAGGTGATCGCTGCCGGTATTGAGTCCGGTCGCGGTCTTCAGCACGGCCACGTCCTGGGGAGGAACGGCGACCGTAATCACCGTAGCCACGATCTTCACCACGGCCTCTAGGCGAGTCGCGAGCATCCCACCGCCGGCCGGGAGACCGAGACCGGGAACGGCCACGGCCACGCGGTGACCTCGAGTCAGGATACGGGCGGTCACGTGATTCATCGGGGCGGGGTTGGGCGGCCCATCCTCCAGCAGCGGAGGTAGGCACCGCGCCAGGATAGCTACTCTGGGCTGGCGCGGGATACTGGGGTGCACCTGGAGCCGCAGCGTTGGTGCTGGCCATTACCTGGGAGACGATGGCCGTGATCTGTTCAGCTGGCAGTCCCTGCGCCATCAGCGTGGCGAGGAGGGAGGCCACGGCCGGATTGACTGCAGCACTTCCAGGGTTTGCAGCAGGCATTCCGGGGTTGGGGACCTGACCACTCTGCACGGGTGGCGGAATCTGGAAGGGTAGAGGCTGAGCATTTACAGGTTGGGCAGGCGGCTGCGATACTGGCTGGAATGGGTAGGTGCCCGGCAACATGTTCAATTGCGGCTGAGGGGGGACGGGGGGAGGCGCATGGGCAGCTCCCGCGAGGCTGAAAGGAGGTGTAGGTGTAGCTGAAGTATGGGGGATTTGACCAGCAACGGCCGGAACGGGGGGAGCACTCTGCTGTGTGGTCGTGTTCTGCCTTGCAATCTTTGCGAGGGCTTCCATGATGTTGGCCGGTACAGCAGGCGGTGCCTGAGCTGCGGCCGGCCGGGCCTGGCCATTCAGCGAGGCCATTAGGTTGGGCGGAGGGCTGCCGGGCGGAGTGGTCGATTGGTCTACAATAGGCCTTGGTCAGTTTGCTTCTTTGAGGCAACTGCCTCGAGGTGGGTAGCTTTGTGGATGGGAACTGACTTTGTGTGGGTGTATTTAGCTTCTGCTTGAATGTCTCGAGCATGGCAGTCGGGAAGGTCTGGCCCTTCTCCCAGATGTCTACCAGCTTCTTGATTTTTTCCTGCAATGTGAAAGATATGTGAGCTAAATGCCATGGGCTTTCAAAATACAAGTGTGAAAAAGAGGTGGAGGCTGCAGGTGATCCTCTCAAGCCACAATGCTGTGAGGCTCACGACATCCATCGACACTCTCCGCACGGCACTCATCCCAGGTCCAGAACTGCTTCAGAGCCACTTTCTGCCGTGATTCAGAAAAACAAATCCACAGAACCGCAGTTTATGAATGTCTCATGTGAGACCTGGGAGTCGTTTGTGTGCATGTGTTGGCTGTGCATGGCAAAGCCGGTGGTGGGTGGTTTGCATATGTGCGAGCGTACCTTTTGGTCTGCTGGGGCAGTGGCGGTGATGTCGTTCATCAAGACTGGCATCAGCTCGGTTACTCTATTCACTCCTGCGGCAAAAGTGCCGTCCTGTGCTGAGCTGTTGATAGCTTGGCCCTGCTGTTTGGCTTGGTCCATCCATTTGCGGGTTACAGAGTCTACGACGTAGAGCACACCAAGCTTATGAGTACCAGGGGTTTTCTTGAAGTGGGTGTAAATCTTCTGGATGAGGACGGATTCGGACTGTGAGGGAGGGAGAGGTCAGTACAAAGAAGACAGACGTATCAGCAGGTCGGTGCCTGCCGGGGAGGCATCGAGAGTCCTACCTGAACATTGGCCACGCAGAGTGCGGTGATGGCGGTGATGCGAGATCCCGAGACTCCGGGTGGCTTGAGGCCGAGCATGCCCTGCAGGCCGGCCTCTAACTCTGCTACTGGTGACGACATGTCTACTTCGCGATGATGAGGCAGACAGAATCAAGCCGCTGTGCAGATGCGATGGCTCCTTTGGAGAAGAATCAGAGCGCGCGCGCAAAGACCCAGACCCAGACCTCTCGAGGTCAGATTATGCCAACGAGGTCACAGGCTAAGTAGGTGGGTAGGTACGTTTCTTCAAGTCTTCAAAAAGAAAAGAGTATTCGAGTTCTCTCGGCAGACGGTCTAGGGTCTACAGGCCCTACTGTGAGCTTCTTGTGGTCAATGTTGTTGTTGACAGCTTCTTGAAAGAGCGGACTGCAGATTATATAGCACAGAGGCAGGAAATGCCACCCAAGGTGGCAGGGTCTTCCAGCAGTGAATACGTCCTGTTACGAGCCTGTGCGGGAACACTAGTCTTTGTCGAGGTCAAGGTGAGACTGGGGTGAAGCCAGGCCTACAAGAAAATCAATCACTTTGGTTTGATAAAGGTGATGAATGGTGGGTTACTGGTGATGGTGAGATGGAACTGAAAGTGAAGGCGATGGAAGAGGTGACGAAGGGGGAAAATGGAGGAGAGGAGGGAGGAGAAGGGAAGAGATGAATGAGGAAAGGGTGGGTTTTGCGACGTGTCGACCTGGGCGGGTGCTTAAAAATGGGGGAGGCGAACGAGATTGAGCAGAAAGAAAGAGCTTGTCGCACGTGATTGGTGGGGGAAAGGTGAAACCAAATTACCTAGTAGTACCGAGTACTTTGCACAACAAATGGACAATGGCGCACCCTGGCCGTGGCTTTGCTGGCCTCAGGCCTCTGACCACCCCTCGGCCAGCTCCCTCCCTCGTTCACTGACTTGACACGTACCCAAGTACCCAGAGCATGTGCACTCTGCGCTTAGTCAGTTTGTATGGGATCAAACTGATATGATTGCTCTGTGTGATTGATATTGTTCCGACACCAGCGCAATCGGCGACCAGGGAGGAGCCACCACACCTTGTTGGCGTCGTCGGTTTGGTTGGATCCCATTCAAGTCCTTTGTGGAAGAGAACGAACAAGCTACACCTCTCGGGGATACCTACGCACATGGGTACAATACAATCAGAGCACGGCGCATTTCCACATCCGCGGCGCATTATGTGAAACGTTGCTCATGTCCTCTCTGTCACAATTCACACTACTTGAAATACCTATGTACATAAGCAGGATTTGGACAGAACAAGACAACACCATTGATATCTTATCTAGCTACCTAATAGCATTTTGGAGTGCTCTGGTAAAGTCAATATCTCTTTTAGTTCCATTAGGTACTTCTGAAAGGGCTCCAAATTATTCACATTGACGTCAACCTTCTTTTCTGTTGGAGAGCTCTTTGGCAGGGGTCTCTGCCTCACTTGGTGCATTGGTTGGAGTGGTTGGAGCTAAATGCCGTAGAGTAGCCGGCCCTGTGTACTGGCATCTTAGGTGTGTACTTGAGTAGCAGGCATTCACGGCGCCACTGTAGCAGCCCGTATGGGCCCGCAGCAGCCACTGTCGACACCGTCGAACCCTGGGCCGAGGCCCTGAGGGTGGTACACCTGTAGCACGGTCCAGCACACTGGTACTTGATTCACCCCCTAAAAGGTTTCCCCACTGTCCGGCTCGGCGATAGAAAATTGGCGCTGGAATTTGGAGCTGAGTGAGGCAAAGCCGGTCGCCCGTTGCTGCGTGCAAGGAAGACCGGGGCTGTCCCGAGCTTTTGCCAGGCTCAACTTATTTTTCCTCCACCACTACTTGACCTGCGTTTTTTTCGACCCGTCATTACTTCATAAAACTCTCCTCTGTCCATTACTTCTCCGAATAGCCTCATTGCCCATTGTCTGTTTCTCCATTCCAAATACCCCTTCCCTTCCTTACTACAGATCAACAATGGCCTCGGCAATGCGCCTTAGCTCCTCTGCCCTGAGATCTTCTCTCAGGGCTCCTGGCTTCGCCGCTCGCAACACTGCCTTCAGCGCCGCCCGCTGCTACTCCGCAAAGACCCAGGTGAGCTGCCGCCGCCGCTGGCTGCCAGTGCATCGCGCATTGGCCGCTCTTGCCTGCACGCGCAACATGACTGCTGACACTGCTTCTTGTCCCAGACCCTCAAGGAGCGCTTCGCCGAGCTCCTCCCCGAAAAGATCGAGGAGATCAAGGCCCTCCGAAAGTGCGCATACCCATTCCCCCTTCCGCCCCTTCCGAACTTTAGCTAATCGACTTTGTTCTTCTTCTACACAGGGAGCACGGTTCCAAGATCGTCGACAAGGTCACCCTCGACCAGGTCTATGGCGGTGCCCGTGGCATCAAGGCCCTCGTCTGGGAGGGTTCCGTCCTCGACTCCGAGGAGGGTATCCGCTTCCGTGGCAAGACCATTCCCGAGTGCCAGGAGCTTCTCCCCAAGGCCCCCGGCGGCAAGGAGCCCCTTCCCGAGGGTAAGGATCACGCATGACCCCAGCGCATTTCTCTGTAAGGAAACAGATGTCTAATACGCCGCCATCGCAGGTCTCTTCTGGCTTCTCCTGACTGGCGAGGTCCCCACCGAGCAGCAGGTCCGCGCCCTGTCCGCCGAGTGGGCTGCCCGCTCCGACATCCCCAAGTTCGTCGAGGAGCTGATTGACCGCTGCCCCAACGACCTGCACCCCATGGCCCAGTTCTCTCTGGCCGTCACTGCTCTCGAGCACGAGTCTTCCTTCGCCAAGGCCTACGCCAAGGGCATCAACAAGAAGGAGTACTGGGGCTACACCTTTGAGGACTCGATGGACCTGATCGCCAAGCTGCCCAACATTGCCTCGCGCATCTACCAGAACGTCTTCAAGGGCGGCAAGGTCGCCGCCATCCAGAAGGACAAGGACTACTCGTTCAACTTCGCCAACCAGCTCGGTTTCGGTGACAACGCCGACTTCATCGAGCTGATGCGTCTCTACCTGACCATCCACACCGACCACGAGGGTGGCAACGTCAGCGCCCACACCACTCACCTTGTCGGCAGCGCCCTGAGCTCGCCCTTCCTGTCGCTGGCCGCTGGCCTGAACGGTCTGGCCGGTCCCCTGCACGGCCTGGCCAACCAGGAGGTCCTGAACTGGCTCACCGAGATGAAGAAGTCGATCGGTGACGACCTGAGCGACGAGAGCATCAAGAACTACCTCTGGTCCACCCTCAACGCCGGCCGTGTCGTTCCCGGCTACGGCCACGCCGTTCTCCGCAAGACCGACCCCCGCTACATGGCCCAGCGCAAGTTCGCCGAGGGTACGTCATTCACTCCCTTTCTAGCGCCATGAAGCTTTTGACCATACTGACCAATGCTGCAGAGAAAATGCCCGAGGACCCCATGTTCAAGCTGGTTAGCCAGGTCTACAAGATCGCTCCTGGCGTTCTGACCGAGCACGGCAAGACCAAGAACCCCTATCCCAACGTCGATGCCCACTCCGGTGTTCTCCTGCAGTACTACGGCCTGACCGAGGCCAGCTACTACACCGTTCTCTTCGGTGTCTCGCGCGCCATTGGTGTCCTTCCCCAGCTCATCATTGACCGCGCCGTCGGTGCCCCCATCGAGAGGTAAGTTGCGCCTGGACTCTGGACCCTGAGCTTCAATGCAGCATGGCAACCAACACTAATTTTTTTTCCACGCAACCAGGCCCAAGTCCTTCTCCACCGAGAAGTGGATCGAGATCTGCAAGAAGCTGTAAAAGGCTTCGCGAGGCCTTGTCTAGCTTTGTACTAAGATACAGAGGGGAGGAATGGAAAAGCTGGTCTTTCGCATAACAGGGGGAGGACCGGATTACATTGGTGTTGTCCACGGTTCGGGATGGGTGTGCAAAAAGAAATTCGATACCCGTCCATGAGACTTGTACAATACTACTATCGCATAGGGACATTCGGAGCTTGTCATGAATATACCTCTTTTTAATGGTCTAGAGAAAACGACACGGCCAACCACTGGCCTGCTTGACCTGGTGTTTCTGAGCCTGCGCAAGCTTCTCATTCATTCAAACAGATCACTTTTCTCTGTTAACAGAATCAAGCCGCAAAGCAACACCATCGTTAAAGGAGCTGCTCCAGGACTTACCCCAAAAATGGTCCGTCAATTGCAGCACCAACATTCAAGTCCGTTGTCGGTTGGTATCGCAAAAATGTCCCGAGATGGATGGGACCCACAAGAGCTGTTTGCGTTGAGCCGAAGCGCCCAATGGTTGAGTCTCAGGCGGCCCGAGCTCTTTGAGTGCTGGACACATGTTGAGCCCAGAAAAAAAACCAGCCGACCACTCTGGGCCAGTCGTCGCCAGGGCTTGAGGTCCACCACAACACTTCCCAGGTTCCCCCAGAAGGTTGAACCCCAGGGGCCGCTAGGTGGTCGCGAGGCGCCGTTGCTGACGGTTGTTCGATTGGCCTGGACAGTCGTCGAGAGCAGTGTAGGTATCTCATCGGACACCGACGTTGTCAGCACAAGGTGTCACTGCATGTCGAATTTAGTCCATGTCTCTTTCTCTTATCTCTCTCTACAGGTAACTTTATATTATGGGTGTTTCCGGACAGTCAATGGCCGACGTGGACTTGTTCGGGCACTCATGTGCCGTCTCGTGGATCCGTAGAACCAAAGAAGTCGTTGGCAAGCTACCTTCTCCGGACACAGCTTCCGGCATAGAGTAAGACTTGTAAGTGAAGCTCTGGGTCCGTAGAAGTGAATAGGCCGCCGAGTCTTGCCGTAGTCAGAGGGTCTTGACAGCCGTGGCCCACGCCAGGAACTCAGCTTCTCAAGGCGCAGCGCGGTCTTAGGTGAGCTCCTAGAGTAATTACGAGCCCTGACGGGGGGGACAGCTGAGCCAGCAACGAGTGAGACCTCCAGCCGAGCCCTTCAGGGCTGTTGTCCCTGAGCCGGGCTCTAACACGTGCTAGTTTGGCCAACAGCTCCTCTCCAACTCCTCCTCTCCCCTCATCCCCCCATCCATTATTTCGGCTAGCTCCCCCCCAAAGGCCACAGAGGACAAAAAGTTCCCATCCGCGAACCCCATCACTCCTCCCCATTGACGCAATCGCAACCTATTTCCAAAGTACCTATACTACTCTCTTGTCTGTGAGTCAACCTCTTCCGTGTTCCATTCCCGGTTTCCTTCAAAATAGCCATCCTGCGCCTTCCCGCTTTCCAGCACTAATAAAGACGCTCCTCCCTCTGCTCCAGCTCGAGATAACCCACCAGGTCATCCCTTTTCAAGTCCCGTCAACCCGCGAAGAAGCACCCTATCGCCTTGGTCAGGCCCCCTACTTCCACGCCCACATAAGCCATGTCCGCCGTCGTCACCGGTGCGCCGGCCCCTGTGCCGGAGAAGAAGCTGGAGAAGAAGCCCATCAAGTTCTCCAACCTGCTGCTCGGCGCCGGCCTCAACATGTTCGAGGTCACCACCCTCGGCCAGCCCCTCGAGGTCGTCAAGACCACCATGGCCGCCCACCGTGGCGACGGCTTCGGCACTGCTTTGTCCCGCGTCTGGAACCGAGGTGGTGTCCTTGGCTGTGAGTTGCACCCCCCTTCCATACCTTACCCGCCTTCTTCAGCCTCTCGGCGACCCGCTCTATGGCAAAACGGCCCGGAGGCTCACTCTCCGATCTGCCTCGGCTGGGTCATCGGGCTTGCTTGATAAGACAGTTGACTCTGTGGCGAGCGCGATGCTGACCTACGAACGCAGTCTACCAGGGACTTATCCCGTGGGCCTGGATTGAGGCCTCTACCAAGGGTGCCGTCCTCCTCTTTGTCGCCTCCGAGGCCGAGTACTATGCTCGCGCCGCCGGCGCCTCCGAGTTTGGCGGCGGTATCATTGGCGGTGTCACCGGCGGTGTCGCCCAGGCCTACGCCACCATGGGCTTCTGCACCTGCATGAAGACGGTCGAGATCACCAAGCACAAGATGACGGCCTCGGGCCAGAAGGCGCCCGGCACCTGGGCCACCTTCATGGACATCTACCGCCGCGAGGGCATCCGCGGCATCAACAAGGGCGTCAACGCCGTTGCCATCCGCCAGATGACCAACTGGGGCTCTCGCTTCGGCCTCAGCCGCCTGGCCGAGCAGGGCATCCGCCGCGCGACGGGCAAGGAGCACGGCGAGAAGCTCAGCGCCGCCGAGAAGATCCTCGCCAGCGCCGTGGGCGGCGGCCTGAGCGCCTGGAACCAGCCCATCGAGGTCATCCGCGTCGAGATGCAGAGCAAGAAGGACGACCCCAACCGCCCCAAGAAGATGACGGTCGGCAACACCTTCAGGTACATCTACGAGACCAACGGCGTCCGCGGCCTGTACCGCGGCGTCGCCCCCCGCATCGGTCTCGGTATCTGGCAGACTGTCTGCATGGTCGCTATGGGCGATATGTGAGTTGTTCTCCCTCCTTGTTGCGTCGCTTCCTTTTCACTAATGTATATGCGACAAAACTACAGGGCCAAGACGTACGTCGAGAAGCTCACCGGCGAGACGGTCACTGCAAAGCATTAAGCGACGGCGTTCTATATTGGGGAAACTTGTGTGGGTTTTTCGTTCCCTGCGGTCTTCAACACTAGGGGAACTGGATTTTCATTCGGGTATCTGCACACACATACACACACGCTTTGCACACTTTGACAAAAATCCGTGAGTGGAAAACACTGGGTCGGGGGGTATTCTATCTATCTATCTAGAACAGGGCGATCTGGGAGAATACCTGTGCGACCATTTTCTCGTCGAGAGTTATCGTTTTGTTATCGTGTGTTTTTAATACATGTATATGTGTTTTGCGATTTTCTTGCTGTGTGTAAAAGCACAAGGAGAAGATGAACCCAGGCATGCACGCTTGCGCAGGCGGGTTGGCAACCGCTGTTTGAGAAGAGAAAACAAATATAGACATCATGTTTTATTTACTTGGCTTTAGTTGGGCTTCCTTTGCTCCTGATCCACGCCAGTTGCTCTTTATCAAGTCCGAAGACGCCCTCTATGATGCTCTCATTCAGGACGTCGTGGCCCGATACAATATGTAACTCTTAGCCTGCTCCCATACTCTCTCCACTGCCCGACTATTGGATGTGCCTCGGGAAGGTATTTTGATATCGAGGCCTTCATAAGTCGAGTTATCGAAGTCATCGGCTGGCATTGGATGCTCAGCACTTTGCCTCACGCATCATATTTTCCCGACCTCTCCCTGCGCGCACGATGTCAGCAGGAGCGGGTCATCATCTACGTCCAAACATTTCGGGGAGTATTTTCGGGAATTTTATCTTTCTTCTTCTTATTTATCTCCTCCGTCCCCGCCCCCTTGTGCTTACTTGGACCTTTGGCCTCATTGTGACTTTGCTGGGCGTGGCTAGTCTGACGGGCGAGATGCTGGGCGAGCTGATTACCCGTGCAACGTCTCGCTCCTTATTTCGTTGCGGTGGTGATGCCGCGATCTGTTGTATTCAGCCTCACGGCCACTGGCTTGGTGAGTCTGGGTGATGGGTTGCAGCAGTAGCAACAGTACGTAAGTCGTTTGGCTGTGTTTCATGCTCTGTAGTTGCCGGGTTGTTGGCGTTGTGCGGGTGAGATGCCACAGCACAGCAACGATGTCCCAGCGTATTTGGAAGAGGAGGGAACAAACCCACTAGGTATTCGGAATATTTCGTTTGAATTTCTCTTCATTCTTCTCGGCATATTTTGGTACGTATTGGTATTGATAGGTGGTGCTTGTTGTTCAACTAGGTTGTGACTGTCTAATTAATTAATGGTGTTCGATTATTGATTGGAAGAAGAGTTGTTAAATAATACAACTAAGTGTTTTCACAACACAACAGTCAACAGTTCTCGCCCTTCTGAAAGCAGTCACCAATGATGTAATGGGATTTCCCATGGCCACTAGATAAAAGCCTTCAACAGGTTGTTTGTTTCCATGAGGCCACATGCCTCCGCCGGCGAGGATGAGCTGTCAAGGAGACGGATGACAGAACCGAACCAGCTTCTACCCACGAGCACGCGTTGGCAGAACCAGCTTGGAACGGACAAAGCATCCGATACTCGACTGTGTTTCCTGGTCAGAGATATCCGCCGGCCAGAATACAACTCGGACAGATGCCCTGCTTGCTACCAGCTCCCGTTGTATCTATTTCTTCAACCCCCCCGGCCCTCCGGCGGCGAGAAAAGGACTTCGTGCTCGTGACGACGACCAGCCACGACAGGCAGGCAGGCAGCAAAGGTACATTTGTATGCATTCTTAACCCCAATATGTAGCTACCTACGCCATGTGACAAAGCCAAAAAAAAAAACCCATTCCAAATACCGACAAACCTACCGTCTTCCGTCCTCCAAGGGGAAAGGGGGGACCGCCACACGGGAGTGACTGGTAGGCTAGGTAGGTAGGACCTCGAAACGTGGTGCAAGTCCAACGTACGCACCCCAGGATATCACCCACGGGAACTCTGTCTCTGGATTGCTAAAACAATGCCCTTTAGTACCTAACGCATGTATACGTGCCTAAGTGCTTGTCTCCCAGGCTTGCTTTGTAATGGTAACGGCACGTTGTCGAAACAATTGCCTCTTTGTAACGACAAACCTTGATCTCACCAACTTTCATTTGCAGCCTGCTGCGAGGGCTCTTACTTCGTAAGGAGGCCAGCAAACACGCACGCCATCGAGTACGTCACTAAACCGTGCTTTTTCACATCTCAAATAGACCAAAAGAGAATGGACATGCATTGGTGTACTGACTTTCCTCGGCTCCCGAAGATAAGAGCTCCTCCGTTTTCCCTTGCACAGATACGACGACGATCGTAGGTAGGTCGTCGAAGTCCATACCACATTGACTCCCTACTTCGTACGCAGTTAGCCTCGGTCGAGAGACTGAGACATCATATCAGAAGATGTGGATTTAAAGTTGTGTTGTTGTGGAACTCTTCGTTCCAGTTCATGCAAGATCTCATTCCAGAAAGATTCTACGCCCACACATGGGTGGGAGAGGTGGGAGGGGGGGACAGGAGAGGAGGTAGGAGAATAAACAAAACAAACCCAGTCCAAACGCCCAAGGTCCGACAGAAAGAGAATACCCACACCACCGCCTGTTAGGGGTAGGTAGGAAGCCAACCAGGCGAGGTAGTCTTTGCTGCATGCGCAGGTTCATGCAAGTCTGATTGGGGGGGCAGGTCGGAGGACGGGCCTGGTCTCATTCCCCATACCCAAGAGCCGCATGATATGACGAAATGCTTGGAAGAAGGAACCCAGGCACTCGGTGATCGCCCCGAGAAAATACGAACGAGGAGCATTATTCAGACCCAACACATCACCAACCTCTTTTGGCAAAGCACCGTGAACCTTACGGAGTAGTTGCTTGCGATCGGGGAGGGGGGGGGACCCTCACCCAGCAGTTGGAATGTGTCACGAGTAAGAAGAGAGTGGCAGCAGACCGCCTTTCCTGAGAGAAACACCGCAACACCACCAGAGAGGTCTGTAGCCCCGGCGAATAGGCAGGAGGCCAAGGCCGTTGACAAGCCTACCAAGACTCGGCCAAGAGCGTCGAGCACAGGGTATCTCTCAGAAGAGAAGGAGGATCTCTGCCCAGAAAAACGAGCCATTTTTGGCATCAGGTAATGGTTTGCTCACCGAATCGTCCACTTGGAAAGGGCTCTCTTCCTCAGCGCCGCCCGTTACGTCAAAAGGCATGAAAATTACCAAAGCATTGGGTAGGACTGTAGAGATGGGCATCGGTCCGGCCGTTTCTGCTATTACGGTCTCCAAACGTTTTTTTGTTCGTTCTTCCTCGTGAGCAAAAACATGTTGCTAGTCCATGTGGTTGATTGCCGTGCGAACGGGCCCTCTGTTTGTGTTTGTTTGGTTTGTTTCACGTAAACTCGATCGGGCTGTTTCATGTGCCAGAGACCAGGACCACCCCGGGTCGAGGGCCCGGCCACGGGTGCATCGCAGAAAGCACCCCCACGAAAAAGCAAAAGAAAAGAGCAACCAAGTACTCCGTAAGAAAAGGGATCAGACCGCCAGAGTCCTACCTACTCTGTACGAGCAAGCCGGGCTCGTCCTTACAGGGCGCGCTCTAGCCCGGCTCGGAAGTCGGTGACAGAAACCAAGAAACCATTGTGACTTGGCGACAGGACCAGAACCGGCTCCGGCTGCCAGGAGCATGCATCGCGAGGGCCGGTACCGATCCAGTTCAGGAGAGTGTGGCCTGGTGCGTGCTTGTGTGCAAGCGGCGCCGGCGGCAGCTGCAATTCACACAGGTCGTGATTGGTGTCGCGCTTGTCGGTGCGGAAGAGAGATAAGGCTCACTCAGCTCAGGGCACAGGGCGAGTTATTAGCTAATTCCCTCACCTCAAGGACGAAGTGCGGCCACACAACCCGCTCCACTTGCCAACTGAGCTACCGAGCCAAGCTACCGATGCTTCGGGGGGGGGGGGGACGTGCTGCGAGAAAGCCAGGGTAAACAAGGAAGCGAAAAAGACACGCGAGCGCTCAAAACGTAATATCCGAGAAAATGCCTGGGGCGCCCCAGTCAGTTGAGTAGCCAGTAACAGCACCCACAAATAAACGGGGAGGGGCCTGGTGGTGCTCAAAACGGCGTGCAGTGCGGCCAGCAAAAGACCATCGTGAAGGAGACGGGGAGTCCACTACCTACAAGTACGGAGTGCAGGGAGCAGATTGGGGAAATTTGACCCTCATGCGGCCGGCACTCGGACAGAGTGTGACGATGCCTACTTGTACATACCTACAAGGGACCCCCACCGCCGAGGCATCTCTCTGCGACGCGAGTAAGGCTGTGGTGCCTTAGCTAATGATCAAGGTAGGTACAAGTAGCTGGACGAGCACCAGGGCCCGCAAGGCAAGGAGAGCACGTCCACGGACCCATTTCCGTGATCTCTGTGGGCGATAGGCGTCGGGAGTTGCGACTTTGGCGAAGAGCGAGGGTGCGCCGAGGTGCTCCGGGGGGTTGCGGCCCTGACTAAGGCTCCCTTGTCCATCTCAATATCGCCTCGCTCGCGAGATTTCGCCGCACGACGTAAAACGCGAAGAGGCATTTTTATTGACGCAGACAAATGGGCCCGGCCGAGGCTGTCGTATAGCCCAGCCTGGGCGCGTAATTGTAGGGAATGGCTCGTAGCACAGTTTCAGGGCCCGGCTGTCACCGTTCTCAGCACCGCAGGCTTGCATACAGAGGGCGGAAAGGCAAGCGCAGGCCCCTTGTAAGCGAGCGAAGAGGCAGATGGCGTCGCCGGCCGAGAGTGTTGGAGCTCGCAGTGACCCTTTTGGGACAGGTCTCGTCCTCATGGCGGTCCTTTCCACCCATGTTCTAGCGTCTTGGGGTGCATACATGGCCAATCCCTGCCTGTCCAATTCTGACCATCTCTGCGAGCGGTATTGTGCTATTGGATAGATGGCTGCGACGGCCTTGCCGCGACTCCCACACACAGTGGCTGTCGGCTTCGTAGCGCCAAGCCCGTCTTTTCCATTGTCCGCGGCCCCATCTTCCTTATCTCCAAAAAAGATGCTAGACCGACTATGGCCGACAGCACGAAAAGAGGAATGGCCTTGTGGCTCTCTCGCCACCCGCTCCCTCAGTCTGGTAGCGTTTTGAGCTGGGGCAAACGGCCGTTGCCGGAGACTTTTATGCTTACAAGACAACCATCATTGATGATGACGGCGGAGATCTCGGAGCACGGAGGCGAACTCGGAGAGGGAGGGCAAGATGGGCAGAACCATCTGCCAAGGAAAAGCTGGGCAGACTCGAGAGCAGTGGCACTACGATAAGTAACCAATGGCCAAGGACAAACTCAGCAGAGGCTGCCACAAGTGCTCTCTCCCTCTCGGGATAGAATGAACGATGCCAAAGCAGGTGAAAGCCTCCAACACCCAACTTGGAGCTATGACTACAAGAGAAGAAGAAATAGTGGAAGGCCTAGGCAAATTGGAGCGATCAAGTCTGGAAGAGGGCATTCACAGAACACGGAGTAGTCTTCCGCTGGCCGAGTAAAGTGGTTGTGGATTCCCCGACGGCCAGAAGCCTGCAGCCGTTATTGCCGCCGGTCGACGGCACAGGATGAGAGGAGCGTCTTGGAAAGGGCGGAAGTCGGCGCCGTCGATGCCGCCTGAATACGCTCAGCGCTGTGCTAATCAGATGGGGCTGCAGCGAGCTGAGTCGATCAGGTCCATGAGTTGAAACCCGTGTGCTGGGCCGCTAGACGGAGTAAGCGGCAGCTCCCTTGGCCGGTTTTGGTAGGCGGCGACGCCGACCCAGTAGCACCTGGGATTTAATGCCGAAGAAGCAGCGCAGAAGCAGTGATCAATACGGCCTGAAACAGACTGGAAGGGTGAGAAAAAAAAAATTGGTGCATTGCGATAGGCTCCGGCACCGTCGGGGTTGTCGTGGGAATTCCTCTGACTGGTCGGAAGGGATCCAGAAAAATTGAGTGGCACCTGCAAAGAGAACAACGTTGAAAGGAAATGACGTAGTGGGTCTTGGCGCTTGTTGTTGACCGCGGAAATCCAGATCATCGCGAGCTTGACTCGTACGTACTGCAGAGGAACTTCATGACAGGCACAGGCAGCCGACAGGTTATCAGTTGACGATCGCTGTCGCTGTCGCTGTCGCTGTCGCTGTCGCTGTCGCTGTTTGAGCCAGGTGCGGCGTACGTGCGCTTCGTATATTTTGCGCCGTAGTGATAGACCGATTAGAGTTGCAACGAGCCAAACAAACTTAACCTCAAGGTGCGGTCTAGAAAAAGAAGATGCCGCACCATAGCGCCGCTATGCAACCCAAAAAAGGCGCGGACCCTGCACACGCGCAGGCGGGAGCGAGACAAAGTACGGAGTAGAGTCCAAAGCGCTCGTCGCATGGGCAGGGCGGACGGACTGCAGGGCGAAACGCTACTACCTGTGCCGGGAGGGAAACGGGAATGAGCGACAGAGGAGAGGGCAAAGAAATGGCTCGTCGAGCATCCCCACATGCTAGGATCGGGAAATCCACGAGACGACGCCAGCACGGTGCGGATTGCCATCACCGCACACCCCGGCCTGACTGGACAGGTACCTGACCGGAGCGCCTGGCGCAAATTGCTTGGCACTGGGCGTGCATTTGCATGCAATCGCAGAGGCAGCAGCTGGGGTGGGCGCCGATTTCCCCCATCCCTGCCGGCCAGTCAAAGCTCAGGTCTGTGCATGGGATTCCCCAGCCAAAGATCCATGAACCGACAGGACGAATGGCAAAGCTTGTTGTTGACCATTCGTTGCGCTCTGCCAAAAGAGCAACCAATCTGTTGTTTGGTTTTTACCCTTTTCAGCGAGCTCGAGCCTCGAGGGCCCCCCAAGTTCCCATATTTGTGCCGTTTTCTATCCAAAACAATGCAAGCATTCCAACCAGCAGCAGCCTGGAAAACATGCCAATTGCAGTCTCGAATGGCCTGCACGGGCTGCGGGCCAGGTTTGAGGTCAACGACAGTACGAAGTAGGATAGATCATGTGCACGGCATGCGTGCCAATTCGCTGTGTGTAGAAAGGGGTGTCTTCATGTATGTGTGTGCGCCTTGCCAAGCTACTTGTGTTCTCGAACACTCTGATGGTGTTCGCCTTTCTTTCTCTGACCGCCCATTGCATCTACGGGTTTTCCCTATTTTGCGGGATTTCAAGGTGTCGTCATTCGCCATCGGTGGGCGCGATAAAGGACGGGGGATGACTGGGAGGTCGAGAGAGCAAGTGAGGAATTAAATCCCGCAGGGCAAACGGCGAGTGTAGGTAAGACTGCACAAACCACCACAGAGAGCTCCCCTGCGAGACGAACGGTACAGATGTGGGGACTTGCAGCAGCCATGGACCTGACAAAATGCGGATGGTGGCAGCTGGGGAGCAGATGGTGGAGCAAGGGTACTTACCTGGGTGATCCCTTGGCAATATCGTCGTAACTCAATTGCGACCTGTGGACTGGCTCTCCTGCTAGCTACTGGCTCTCGGCCACGACATGGGTTGGGATTGCGAGATTCTGCCGGCAAGATGGAGATGGCAAGGCACTTTGTGCAAGGCTTGGCAGTCTGGCAGTGAGTCTAGGAGACGGGATTCCGTACTGACAATCGCTGCCATTGCGCCTCGTCTCGTCCCCCTTGCGCCCGTGTGATACCGGGAACAAGCAGGAGAAAAGAGGATCGAGCAAGAGATTGCAACTCCCGTAGCAAGGGACAGAACGAAACAAAAAAGATTTTATTCTGGGTCTTGGGCTTATTCATAACATTCACAATAGGCTGGGGCAGATCATGTTGGCATTACTCTCGACAATCTATGGGCCCAGGTACCGCTGCAGGTAGCCTCCACAGTGGGAATCGAGTTGCGGGTGCCACGACGGGGGTAGGAGCTTGTTGTGTACATGCGGGTGGGCCCCCTGGCCTGGGTGACAGACGGAGTACGAGCTGGGCGCATACAGATTTGCTGCGACGGGCAGGTAGCGTGATGAATCGAGGCACCAAGACGGTAGCGTCGAAAACGCTTGGGTGGGTTGGCTCCAGAAAAGAGCGCGAGAGCGACTAAGCTGCGACTAGGTAGTAGCACGATTCGTTCTTTTTTCGGGGGGTGATATGAGTGAGAGCAGCAGTAAGAGGAAAGGGTAAAAGAAAATGAAAAAAAAAAAAAAAACCTTGACGGTACCGTATCATACCGGAAAGCCTCAGCGCAGGACTCATGGCACCCCCAAGCATCCACACACCCGTGGCCGTCCCCATTCCCATCTGATCTTAGCTGCTTTAGGGTCAGAAGTGAAGGCAAAGGTACCTCGTCGCCGCTCTGGCTCTGTGCAAAGTGGTCCCCCCGGACGGAATCAAATAAAATATCGGGCAGCTTCCTCCCACGACTCGCTTTTCCCTTCCCTCTTCCCTTCTTCTTCCCATCACCCACGAAGGTCCTTTTTAATTCTTCATCCTTCCCATCTCGTGAGGTGCAATCTCCCCTCTTTCTCTCTCTTTTCCCTCCCCCCCCGCGTGTGCGTCACTAACACAGCACCCCCAACCTGTCTCTGTACGTAAACAAACTCTCCCACGCAACCGTGCCCCCCCAAACCCTCACATTCCCCAAATTACCTCATCCAAACATACCGGCGGTCTTCCAGCAGAGGCTGCGCAAGAGCTCGGAACGACCCTTGTTTGACTCAAAAGTGGCCCTTGGTGAAAGGCACGACCTCAATCGTCCCAACCCAGGCCCAGATCTCTTTCACCCTGTCACCACCCTCGCCTCCACCATCACAGCCTCCTCACCCTGACAGACCGGTCGCAAGAACCTACTACTCACATTGACTCTTGCCCAACCGCAGCGCAGGATCTCTCATATATTGGTCAATTGGGTTTCCCAGTGAGCAGCGTTAGTCGCCAAACACAGCCGCCATGGCTGAGCACAATTCCGCCGGCTCGCCGGCGCTGAACACGCCAATTGAGTCGGGCCACTTCGATGAGAAGGCCCCCGCCCAGGCCCAGCAGCCCACCAAGGCCAAGCCTGTTGAGGAAGAGGAGGAAGATGAGGACATTGACGCCCTCATTGAGGACCTCGAGTCCCAGGATGGTCACGGAATGGAGGAGGAGGAGGAGGAGACCAACACGCCCGGTGGTGGTCGCGTTATCCCCGAGGACATGCTCCAGACCGACACCCGCATTGGTCTGACTGAGCAGGAGGTCGTTGCCCGTCGCCGCAAGTACGGTCTCAACCAGATGAAGGAGGAGAAGGAGAACCTGATCCTCAAGTTCCTCTCGTACTTCGTTGGTCCCATCCAGTTCGTCATGGAGGTAAGCAATCCCAATCACCCTCTCTTTCCCTTTTTCCCGCACCATCCAGACACGCACACGCCTCGCTCGGGGCCTGGGGTGTGATGGTGGTGCCAAGCGCATCGCATATCCTCATCTCACTTGTTCGTGTCCACCACGGGGCGAGGAGCGAGCTCTGATGGGTCGGGACCCACCCATGGAAAAATTTCCTGCTCTGGTGCAGCAGCAGCTTTTGGCTCGGCCGTCGCCCAGTCCGGGTAGCTCGGGTGGGCCAGCAGGGAAATCACGCCAATGGAGCCCCCGACCCCACCAGCAGCGCCAGGACTGGTCCGACGCACCATCCCAACACGCCAAAACACTGCCAAACTTTGTTTGGGTGATCATTCCTCGCTAACGTGTTTTGTTTCCCTCTAGGCTGCTGCCGTCCTTGCTGCTGGTCTTGAGGACTGGGTTGATTTCGGTGTCATTTGCGGTAAGCAATCTCCCGCCCTATCCACACTGCATGCCCGTCCATCGAGGCGGCGCAGTCCCGCTGCCCGTGGTCAGATCACCTGGGAGGGCAATTCGCTTGTCATGATCGCGATCTGAGCCAATTTGATCCGGACGGGGACTCTACCGCCAGCTGCATCACATGGAAGCAGCGTCGGCGGCGGCGCTCTCGTTCGTGTCAATCCCGGCCAGATCCCTTATCGCGTCAACGCAATTTCCCACTGGTCGCCCCCCCACCACTGCTACCACGCACCCCACACGCAGCCAATGCGGTCGACCGTGGCATGGCGCATGCAGTGATGAGAGCCAATTCCATCGGACGCGAAAAGCTAATTGCCTTGCCCTCGTCCAGGTCTGCTTCTTCTTAACGCTGCTGTCGGTTTCATCCAAGAATTCCAGGCCGGCTCCATCGTCGACGAGCTCAAGAAGACCCTCGCTCTTAAGGCTGTTGTTCTCCGTGACGGTACTCTGAAGGAGGTCGAGGCCCCCGAGGTCGTTCCCGGTGATATCCTCCAGGTTGAGGAGGGTACCATTATTCCCGCCGATGGTCGCATTGTCACCGACGATGCCTTCCTCCAGGTCGATCAGTCCGCCATCACTGGCGAGTCCCTCGCTGTCGACAAGCACAAGAGCGACCAGTGCTATGCTTCGTCCGCCGTCAAGCGTGGTGAGGCTTTCATTGTCGTCACCGCCACTGGTGACAACACCTTCGTCGGTCGCGCTGCTGCTCTCGTCAACGCCGCCTCCGCCGGAACTGGTCACTTCACCGAGGTTCTCAACGGTATCGGAACTGTTCTCCTGGTCCTCGTCGTCCTGACCAACCTTGTTGTCTGGGTCTCGTCGTTCTACCGCTCCAACCCCATTGTTGAGATTCTCGGCTTCACCCTTGCCATCACTATCATTGGTGTCCCCGTCGGTCTCCCCGCTGTCGTTACCACCACCATGGCTGTCGGTGCTGCCTACCTGGCCCGCAAGAAGGCCATTGTCCAGAAGCTGTCCGCTATCGAGTCCCTGGCTGGTGTCGAGATTCTGTGCTCTGACAAGACCGGTACCCTGACCAAGAACAAGCTCTCTCTCTCTGAGCCCTACACCGTCGCCGGTGTCGACCCCGAGGACCTGATGCTTACTGCCTGCTTGGCCGCCTCGCGCAAGAAGAAGGGTATGGATGCCATTGACAAGGCTTTCCTCAAGTCTCTGCGCTACTACCCCCGCGCCAAGGGCGTCCTGTCCAAGTACAAGGTCATTGACTTCCACCCCTTCGACCCCGTCTCCAAGAAGGTCACCGCCCTTGTCGAGTCTCCCCAGGGCGAGCGCATCACCTGCGTCAAGGGTGCTCCCCTCTTCGTTCTCAAGACTGTCGAGGATGACCACCCCATCCCCGAGGAGATTGACCAGGCCTACAAGAACAAGGTCGCCGAGTTCGCCACCCGTGGTTTCCGTTCCCTCGGTGTTGCCCGCAAGCGTGACGGTGGTGCCTGGGAGATCCTCGGTATCATGCCCTGCTCTGACCCTCCCCGCCACGACACTGCCCGCACCATCAACGAGGCCAAGTCTCTCGGTCTGTCCATCAAGATGCTTACTGGTGATGCCGTCGGTATCGCCCGTGAGACTTCCCGCCAGCTCGGTCTCGGCACCAACGTCTACAACGCTGAGCGCCTCGGTCTCGGTGGCGGCGGTGACATGCCTGGTTCCGAGGTCTACGATTTCGTCGAGGCTGCCGATGGTTTCGCCGAGGTTTTCCCCCAGCACAAGTACAACGTCGTCGAGATTCTGCAGCAGCGTGGCTACCTCGTTGCCATGACTGGTGACGGTGTCAACGACGCTCCCTCCCTGAAGAAGGCTGATACCGGTATTGCTGTCGAGGGTGCCTCCGACGCTGCCCGCTCCGCCGCCGATATCGTCTTCCTTGCCCCCGGTCTCGGTGCCATTATCGATGCCCTCAAGACCTCTCGCCAGATTTTCCACCGCATGTACGCCTACGTCGTCTACCGTATCGCTCTTTCCATTCACTTGGAGATCTACCTCGGCCTGTGGATCGCCATTCTCAACCGCTCCCTCAACATTGAGCTCGTTGTCTTCATCGCCATTTTCGCCGATGTTGCCACTCTTGCCATTGCCTACGACAACGCTCCCTACAGCCGCACTCCCGTCAAGTGGAACCTGCCCAAGCTCTGGGGTATGTCCGTCCTGCTCGGTATTGTCCTGGCTGTCGGTACCTGGATCACCGTCACCACCATGTACGCCAACGGCGAGAACGGTGGTATCGTCCAGAACAACGGTAACCTGGATGAGGTCGTCTTCCTGGAGATCTCCCTGACTGAGAACTGGCTGATCTTCATCACCCGTGCCAACGGTCCCTTCTGGTCCTCCATCCCCTCGTGGCAGCTTGCCGGCGCCATTCTGGTTGTCGATATCCTTGCCACCTGCTTCACCATCTGGGGTTGGTTCATCCCCGGCAGCCCCCTCACCCACATTGTCGCCGTCGTCCGTATCTGGATTTTCTCCTTCGGTGTCTTCTGCGTCATGGGCGGTGTCTACTACATGCTCCAGGACTCTGTTGGCTTCGACAACCTCATGCACGGCAAGTCCCCCAAGGGCAACCAGAAGCAGCGCTCCCTCGAGGACTTCGGTAAGTTTATGACTCTGATAATCAAAGTACCTGTCACGATTGATCACCGAGCTAATACTCTCTGCCTCCAGTTGTCTCTCTCCAGCGTGTCTCTACCCAGCACGAGAAGTCGCAGTAAGCGTCGCAAGACAGATGGTGGACGCTTGTATCACCACCTATACATATCACAACTGGGGATGCTGTAGTCGGGTTGGAAGATCTTCGTGTCACATACCCTTGTTGACCGTTCCAGTCATATAGAACTAACACAGGGTGGAACGGCAACGCCTTTTTTTTTTCTTTGTCTAAACTTTATTTGAAGATGGGGGATGCTTCATACCCTAAACAGCTCCTTTAGACGAACTAATACCAAAGAACGTAAAAATTAATTTCTTGTTTTGGTGACAAGTAGTTTGAGCCTTCATGTGAACACAAGTAATCGACTTGATTGTTTCTCACTATTTTTCACCAAGGAGCTATGTCCTATGTGGTAGAAGATGTGCTACAAGCTAGGTACGCAATGGGCGGCTAAGTAAGCTCCTTACTGCGGCACCACGACGTCTTTGCTGGTGTCTAGCTCCTCAAAGCGTCTGAGGTCCATGGGCTTCTCCAGCAAGGGTATGACATAAGGGTCAAAGGTCTTCCAATACGGGTTCTCGAGGTGATACTTTTGAGACTAGATGGCGCGTGGGAAAGCACCAGGTTTCCATGGTCTCAGTCCTTACATTCTCTCCTGAACTTTTGACTTGTGTGATAACGCGACGCAGGGTGGTGAAGAAGAAGCAGGTAAAAAAACAGAACTTACACCTTCGTTCTCGTAGCGCTCGACAATGGTAAAGTCGCGGGGGTCGTGGACGCTCTGCATGACGAACCAGTCGAGCGTCTCCTTGTCCTTGCGGTAGACGCGCGAGGCCTCGGCCAGCTTGGCCTTGAGCTTGTCGACCGAGGCCGGGTCCGAGTTGGCGCGGAGGTGGACGGTGATTGTGTAGACCATTTTTTTTGGTACTTTTGGAGGGGATCAATTTGGAGGGGGTTCGATACGTTGGTGTGGTTTGGTTCGTTTCGACGGGGGATGACGTCTTGACGGCGGCGGCGCGCGGGGGGAGGGGCGGTTTCCTCAAGAGAACTTCTAGGTCTTGGCTGACGGGGTTGCTGCTTGTTTTTTTTGGGAAGCAGAGAAGGATTTGGCAAGGGAGGGAAGACTGTGTCTTGGGGGAGAAGAGGAAGCAAGGAATTGTTCGGTTTCGGAGGTTTTGCGGCCGTTTGTGTGGTGTGGTGGAATCCGTGATGGATGGGCGATCTCCTCCTACGGAGGTGGGGTTTCCTTGATGGATCCAGCACCCTGCAATTGTTTGTCTCGTGCTCTCCCCTCCCTTGCTCTCCCGAGTACCAGTACGGCAGCTGAGACTTGACCTGTCTGTGATGAGCGCAGACTACCTTGGGCAAAGATTTTCGGTTTGGGAGCACGATCAAGAGCCATCCATGTGTGCTATGTGCATGCATGCATGTTAGCTGCAGCTGGAACCGTCCGGGGGGCCGTCTGGGAGGGCAAGAAGAGGGTGTGTATCATCACACGCTGCATGCGCCGCCTGGGCCTCGCGGCCGGGGTCGCCGTTGCGAGCTGGTGCTGCTACAGGTGCCTCATAGCGCCGCGGGCATCTTTGCAAAGTACAACTTCTGATCTTGCTCAACAGGACGGTCCGGACAGACCAAACAAGGTAAGGTACCTAGACTGACCGGCCGTTGTCCAGTCGATGACATACGGTATTTCCCACTTCCAGTGAAAGCGCCTTGAGCTCGAGAAGCAGCTTGATCTGTTCTGTCCTGCCATCGCTGGTGCAGTGTGGACAAACTTGGAAAAGCTGATCAATTGGGATCTCTGGTTGGCTAGTTGGCGCGTTAGCTCGTCATTTGGTGCAATAGGGACATCCCGCATGATGGTGCACCGTCTCTTGCTCAAGAAACGGCTCCGTTTTCCACACAAGCCATGGATCCTGAATGGGAGAGATGATCTACTAGAGTGACTTCATAGGACCAGAAGGAAACATGGTAGATCTCACGCACTGTGCTGGGTGTGAGTCGAGTACATCTCGGGAGTCCTCGTGTGAATAGCTTCGCTACTCTGAATCGGGGCACCCGCTTGGTGTAGCATCGGTGGCTGTTTTTGGTGTGGGCGGGGCCGAGACGATCGCTCTTTTGTACAAGTAGGAGGTGAGTTTGTCTCTGTACGAGGCCCAGGACCCTCAGCTGTCTCGCCTGGCGCTGATACTCATTGTCATTGATGCTGTCTGCGTACCTACCAGGCTACCAAGCTACTCCGTTGGCGGGAGGAAGACTCGGGATGTGCTATTGATTTGACCAGTACCGTACCTACTCGGCGCTACACATCATCCCTGCCCAGACGGCAATCCCGTTAATCAAGAAGGCTCGGCAAGGGCCCTCGAGGCGCGGAGTTCATTTGACTGAAGCTCCCAAAGTCTTTAGGTGGTGAAAAATGAGCCAAGCACCGAAGATGTCTCTGAACGGGGGTCGAGAAACAAATAGCTCTGAGCTGAGTCGCTGCCGTGTCTGGCGTATCAGAAGCCAGGCTCCGGGCCATGTGCAGTCCGCCATCTCGCCTCGCCCGGGAGAGCACTAGGTCCAGGGGAGAACCATTGGCTTGGCGGGCGTCAGCTCTCGAGAAAGCTTGGCGAGTTGACTGCCGGCCAGCTCCAAAGAGCTAGAGGGCCTGGAGTCGCGTTTTTTTGGGTTTGACCTGGTCAGCTCTGAACGACCGTTTGTGTTACGGATTGGGATACTAAGTAGTACGTTGGGTTGGAGACTGACTTGAACAAACAATCTTGAGCAGTGATTAGGTAAAAGAATATGAGAAGCCAGTTTAAACTTGCACCTGGCGCTCTTTCCAGCTAAAACAATATATATGAGGTCCTAATGACCTTGCCTGTTCAGTACAAGCCTTCTGGTGATAGATCTACAGATTATGTCAACTTACATGCCGCCCCCCTAGCAGGAGACCCAACCCTGCACCTGCACCTGCCTACCTGCCTGCCTGCCCCATGAGCATAACGGATAGGGTTATGAAAAGAGAAATCGTGATTTGACCATACTGTATATGCAACAATAATAGAATTCTGTTCATAGAGATTCCTGGCCTTCAAAGACGCACCCAAGGTTCGAGATTCAATGGCTTACCTCACGTGACCTCCCGGGAGGTGGCCATTTTTATCCGCCTGCAGGTCCTGTACAACCCCCAAGTCCTCGCTTTCATGTCAAAACCAATAACAAATGTCCGACACTTTTGATGAAAAGGAACAAAGCTACCAACACTGGCACTTGACACCGGTCAGAGCCCGGGAAATGATATCTCGCCTGCTGCCAGGATAGTTTGAACAGAGCCAGTCCAGCATGGCCTCTCTCCCGGATATCCCAGGCTACTACTATGGTGAGTGGCTCCTGCGCGCATCTTGGTCAAGGCATCTCTTTGGAGTGTTTCACTGACAGAGGAACAAAACTGGAAAGACGAGGAGAAGAAGAAGTACTTCAAGATCGAGAAGAGCCACACCGCACCCAGCAGTGCGGCCTGGTCATCGTCCAATGTTAAGCGCAGGAAGCACGATGACGCGCAGGCTGCTGCGGCCATCAAGAAGCTGAGGATCCAGGCCGCCCGTGTCAAGCGCGCCAGAGTCTTGCAGGAACCGCTCACGGGAGGCTTTCTCAACCGCATGTTCAGCGCCACAGACCCCTACGAGGTTTCCTACGTCGCCTTTGCTCAGGGGCTGCGGGACAAAGGTCGTCTGAACTACCCAGATGAACCGGCCTCAGCTGATGATGTCGAGCCGAATTTAAATTGTCTTTATGTCAATGGCTCGGATGAGAAGACAGGGCTCGGTGTTGCCTATGTCGGTATGATAAAGCCCTTCTTCTTCCTCTTCCAAGCCTTTTCGACTGACATCTGTTCCAGCAGAATGGAACGACAGGACCATATTGGGATACTACATGGCGCGTGATAAGAACGACAGGTATTTTACCCTCAGTATCTTGAAGAGATCTGCTGCTGCGAGTCTCTGCTGATACACTCTCATGCCAAAAGACTCGTAGACTTCCCTCACCACAGATACCGAATCCCCAGAGGATCCCTCGGTTTCTACTCACCGCGCAGGGAAATGGTGAACCTCCCCAGCATTTCGGACATTAAATGCCATGAGCCATCCCGCAGCATCATCGTTACCTCAAGCGGTCCCGCCTGGGGAGACGTGAGCATCCAGATGTTCTCCCCGCCTCTGTCAGAACCCGGAGACGAAGAGAGGCCCTACTGGCTGCTGGGCGAAGGTACAGAACCTCTCCCCCTCCCCCCCCAAAAAAAATAACAACCATCACCAAATTTTGGTATTTGCCTATACTGACTGACGCGGGTTCTTCGAAACAGCCGATAGCATGCAGAGCCTCTCTCTCTTCGGCCGCCGCAAGAGCCACTGTATCTACAGCTGCACCCCGGCTCCGGCAGCCTCGGATATGCTATGCGCCCTCGCCACGGGCAGCGGCGTCGTCCAGTTCCTCCCCCACCGGCCGTACAGCTTGACCCGCATACCCTGCGACATCGTGGCGCAGCCCCATGGCCACCACGACGAGGACGACGATTGGGTGGCGAGGATGGGCGCCATGGGCGGCGAGATGTTCAGCGTCGACTTTGCCCGCGGCAACCACAACGTGCTCTTCGCCGGCGGCCGCTCTCGGGGCATCCACATGGCCGACCTGCGCGAGGCGCCGACGGCCTGGGCCCGGCCCGTCGCCTGCGGGCCCGTGGCGCACGTCCGCTCCGTCAACGAGCACCAGGTCGTCGTGGCGGGCATCAACGACCACCTCGCGCTCTACGACCTCCGGTTCACCGGCCGGGACAGCCGCTTCCGGAGCCAGGGCTGGGGCTCCTCCTCCTCCTCCTCCGCCGCCGCCCGAGGAAAGAAAGGCGCGACGAAGACGACCACGACCACGACCAAGCCGCTGCTGACCTTCCCGGGCTACCGCAACCAGGCGCACCTGCTGCAGATCGGCTTCGACGTCGACGCCGACCACGGCCTCGCCGCCGCCGCGCACGACGACGGCCGCATCGCGCTCTACTCGCTGCGCACGGGCCGGCAGCTGCGGTCCCCCGACGTCGACGCGACGCGGTCCTCCGGGGTCGTCAAGGCGCTGACGCTCGCCACGATGCCGCGCGACAGGAACCCCAGCCTCTTTGCGGGCATCGGGCAGGGCGTCCAGGCGTACTCCTTTGCGTCCCCCCCGGACGAGTGGGAGGGCTGATGTTACAGGAACAGGAAATACATACATACACTGATGATGACGGGGCTCTGATGATGCTCGCCGTAGATGAGCTATGATCGACCACTGTTTTACGTGTGTTTCTTGCCTTTCGTTGCTTTCTACGGAACAGGGCCGTGGTTACGACAAGAGGATCTCTCGGCGTTGGAATGGAGTTCACAGGATGTGCGAGAACGGTGCTCAAGATACCCACCCGTGCGTTATGTTTGTTTACATGACAATTTTCAAGATAGATGCTGGTCGAGATAGCTCAGATAGTAGCACTGACTTGGCCTGGGACTGAACAAGAACCTTCTAAGGATTGGCAACTCGAAGTTTTTTTCTCTACTCTGAAGAGCGTGACATGACATGCGCATGATTGTCCCACGCGCTGAATACCCTGTTGTTGAAAACCCCTTTTGTATTACCCAAAAATGCAACCTGAATGAACCCATCCAAAAAAAGACAAAATGGCCACTGGCAACCCTTCCAAATTACAATCATTCCCATGAATCGACCAGATAGAAAACACCCAGTACTCCTCAGAAAAAAAAAGCAGACCCAAAGCCAGAAACCAACAAGCATAACAAAAAGTATGGCTACCCAGAATCCATTACACCAAAACCCGTCACCGCCCCTCTTACGCCACCATCGTACAGCTGAGGCCTAGGCCACCACCGCTTTCCCCTTGGCCAAGACGATCGCCCCCGAGTCCTTCTTGAGGTTGTACATGTCCGCGAGCAGCGGGAATGCCTTGTCAAAGGCCTCGCCCAGCGTCCAGTTCTCCTGGCGGCGCAGGTGCCGCTCGAAGACCGGGTTGATCATGAGCTCCTCGCCCTCGGGGCTCTGCAGCAGCGTGTCCGTGTCCTCGTACGGCCAGTTGAGCGAGAGGGTCTGCGTAAAGGGCACAAAGAAGTCGTCAAACAGCTCCGGGGACAGGGACCCGTCGGCAAAGTCGTGCACGAGGCGCTCGCGCATGATGGGGAAGGGAAGGTGATCGATCCAGGCCGGGTGGGGGACGGCGTGCTGGGCCCGGCAGGGGCGGCACCAGGGCGGGAGGCGCTCGTACGACTCGCGCGACGGGTTGATCTGCCACCGCATGATGAGGAACATGATGTATAGGACGGCAACGCGCTCGGGCAGGCGCGATATGTCTGGGAAAGTGGCGAGGATGTCGGTGAAGACCTTGGAGAGCGGGTGCGAGAAGCGGCTATTTTGCGGGTTAAGCAGCGACGAGACCGACGGGTAGCGCGGGCCGATGATCTCCTGCGTCGAGAGACCCTCGGCGGCGCGCTGGCGGCGCTCGCTGAGGAAGTCGAGCAGCAGGTGGTCGAGGGGGCATGTCGGCGGGCAGTGGTTTAGGGGCGTGGCCCACCGCCGGACGTTGTGATCGCCGCCGGGATGGCTCATGGCAGTCCTTGGGCTCATGTCGGTGGCTGTGCCCTCGGGCGGGGAGGCGCTGGCCCCGGGGTATGTGGCATCGTGCCTCATGGGTGCGTGGTGATATTCGGGCGAGTCCTGTGCGCCGTTCTGGCCTGGCTGGATCCGGGTGATCTGCTGCGAGGCGTCGAGGAGGAAGTCGAGCCCAAGACGTTCGGGCCCGAGGTCCAGGCCGTGAAGTAGTTCGTATTTCTGTTGACCTAGCAGCTTCGCCTGGTAGAAAGTAGGCGTCTGCACAGCCGTATTGCCCGTTGCCGACGGGTTCTTCCATTGGATCTGCGCTTCTATCGTGCCGGGCCCTGGCGACACGGCGCTTCCAGGAGTCGAGCCAGGCTGCACCGGAACGGGGGCAGCTGGAGGGGGTGCTTGCACAGGCAGATATGTCTGCCCTGGCGAAGGATAGACTCTGCTGTCTAATGGCGGGCCTGCCACTATTCAGTATACTGCCAGCATGTGGCCCACTTGTGTCAAAGAGTACTGACCTTGCGACCCGCCGAGCAACGGCTGTATCGTAGAGACGATCCAGGCCAGATGCTTTTTGAGACTGGCATTCTCTGCCTCGACCGCCTCCTTAGACCGGATGACGGCTTGCAGCTCCTGGTACGGCTGTGTAGATGTGAGCTCCTGGATCCTTCTCTCCAGGCTTTCGATCTGGTGCTTTGTTCGCTCTCTGATGGCCCTCTGGGCTTCACGATCTGTTCCGGCTCAAAATTAGCCAGTGGCTAGCGCTCAGGGATTGTATTAATGTCCAAAAGAGACACGCGGAGGCGACATGGACGTATCCCAGAATAGTCTTCTCCAAAGGGATATTCATGAAATACGTCGGGGAGTTCACAAAAAAAAAAAAAAAAGGGAGGCGAAGACTGAAAATGTGGTAAGAGCAAGGCCACCTACCGTTGGCACGCTTCTTGGCCAGCTGCTCCGGGGTGAGGTTCGCCACGCCGCGGCTCCCCGGCCCCGTCCTCCTCTTCTTGGACGCGTCGCCGTCTCCTCCGTTCCGCGACGACGACGTGACCGAGGGCGGCGGAGACGCACAGCTGGTATCACCATCGCCCGACAGGTGTCGCTTGTGTCCCCGAACTCCGCCTCCAGCGCCGCCTACATCCGCCTCCTCCGCCGTGTGGGACACACCCGCGTCCGACATTGCTGGGCCCGCCCCAGCGGAGCTCCGCGAAAAGGGGGGACCGTGAAAGGGGTTGAGGGCCCCCGCGGAGGACCGCTCTTGTACGTATGGTATATCAGGTATGCACCCGTCCAATCAGCCACCGCACCCACGCTGCGCCATGCAGCCGGCCGGTCCTGTCGCGTCCCGGGGCGCCAGTATGCAACACCCCCCGGCTCCCGGCCCCTGTTTTAGCCGGCAACCGGATCCCCGTCGCGCGTCTCCCGGTGTTGAATTGGGGGGCGGCTCCGCTCCCCTCGGCTGGCGTCAAGGGGTAACGGCCCTCCGTGGGGGGGAGAACAACAGGTCACCCAGCGTTGAAGGGTACGGTACGTAGGTAAATTGATACGATGGGAGGTGGGGCGAGCCACATAGAGCAGCAGCAGCACAGTCCAGACTGGCCAGCGAACGGCCAGTTGTGCGCGGCGCACGCCACACTCTGCGCACACAGGCACGAAGCAAGGTACACACACGTGCGCCGTGTGCAGGCTGGCTGGGGGGACGCCAGACGGAACGAGAGAGGCGAACAAGGGGTAACACGCCTATCGCACGCAACTGCAATGGCGGCCGCCGATGCACACACGAGATCCGCAGGATTGAGTCGGGTGGTTTGATGCAAACAAGGGGTGCCGGGACGTCGCTTGACTCGGTGGGTAAAAATAAAAATGGGCTGCGTAGCAAAATGGGAGGGCGGATGGGCCCGGATTATTCGTGACGTGCGCCTGGGATTCGATTTCCTGAGTCAAGAAGCCCAGCCCGGCTCGGCTGAGTGCGGGAAAGAGCCCCCCAGTAGTGAAGAGCCCCCAAAAAGCCCGCCCCAAGTGGGAAAGACACAACGGCTTGTCTAAAAGGGACAGAGACAGCTGCGTTAGGTAATCAACTCCCCATAACACTATATTGAATGTACGTATATGCCAATAAACCAACGACAGAGAACATTGAAGTAGGTACAGGTGCATGGTCCGCTGTTCAGTCTGTTGTACAAGTACTGTCCTGAAGAGTGCGGGAACATATCGTTGTGAAAGACCCCGGACCTAATTACCGTTGCATGTGCATAATAACGTGCCTAACGACAACAGCAACAACGTTGCAAGTCATGTAGTCATGTATTGTACAATGAATAGTCTAGGCTATCCTCTTCTCCCGACGCAAGATCCCTGTGGGAAAACCACGTCGCTCGCCCTTTCGTCCTCTCGTTATTTTCCCTCTACCAAAAGTAGAGTGGCTCACCAACTACGCCTATATTCGGCCACCCATCCATCCATCCATCCATACGCACAAAAAGCTCAATACAACACCAAACCTCTCCAGACCTCTCTCCACCCTCCCTCCTAGTCCGCCGACGCCCTCGCCAGCGCCTCGTGCAGGTGCGGCGGGAACCGGTACCGCAGCTGGCTCGTGTACGTCGTCAGGTCGACGCTCATCTGCTTGAGCTCGGCCGCCAGCATGCGCGCCGTCGACTCGTTGCCGCTGAACCGGCCCGCCGCCAGCCGCTCCCGCTGCTTGGTGCAGCACACGACGGTCCACATGAGCAGGTTGGGCACGTTGATCGCCACCGGCTGCGACAGGCTCGAGAACTTGGACGCGTAGTTGCGGATCGCGCTCGGGTCGCCCTTGGCGTTGAGCGGCAGGATCTCGAGGCCCCGGATTCTCTGTGACGGCGTCCCCAAGATTAGTAACCAGGTCAAGTAAAGGGGGGGGGGGGTCCTTTCAATGGTACAAGACTCAAGAAGAAAAAAACACTCACATCCAGACACTCGGGCCACTTGCCCGCCTCAACAAGCCCCTTGATGTCGCTCATCTGCAGCAGCACGCTGCACGCCACCCGGTTCGGCTCCCGGATCCTCTGCCTGAACATCTGGTCCCGCTCGTACATGGTCATCATCGTCCGCGCCAGCTCCACGGGGTCGTCGAGCGACGCCAGGCTCAGGCTGCTGCCCGGCTGCGCCTCGGCCTCGGCCCCCTCGACGCGCGGCTTGACGGGGACCAGGCGCATCGGGTCCTCGCCGATCTCCAGCGAGATGGCCTCGCTGAGCGCCCGGCTGACGATGGCCACGACGGTATCGTAGTCGCCCGCCAGGTGGTACAGCAGGACCGCGTCGGTCGTCCTGCCGTTGTCGTCGGCGAAGCTGGCCGCCTGCAGCGAGATGGTCTTGATAAAGTCTTGCTCGTGCTCGAGCGCGATGAGGGGGCCGCGCTCCTCGATGAGGCCCTTGATGCGGTGGCCATCGGGCTTGATATCCCCGATAAGCTTGCTGAACTCGCGCGTCTCGAGCACGAGTTCCCGCAGGGCCTCGTGGCAGAGAGCCGCCTGCTGCTTGTCCAACTCGTTGCTAATGTCGTCCATGTTCAGGCAGATCAGCACGAGATAGTCAACAGCAGCAGCCACGTTGGCGGCACGGAAGTCGCGCGTGTAGTAGCCGAGCATCCTGCCAAAGTTGATCTGGGGCATGCCTCGTGTATTGTGACTGAGCAGCTCATTGCCGGCAGTCAGAGCGTCCGCGGCCCGCAGAAGACCATAGTACTCTAGACCGATAGCGAAGTGGACAGCATCCACGTATGAGAACGAGTAGAGGTAGGCAATGGCCTGCTCGAACAAGCCTGACAGGATCTGCAAGTAGAAGAACATGCCAAAGCTACCGTTAGTATCCTCGGTGCTGTTCTTTGGGAAGTGCTTGAGTCCAATCTCCTTGATGCTGCCCTGCAACTCCGCCAATCCGTACATCTCATTGGCCAGCTCGGCAGACCGGTCACCTTCCCGAGCCAGGTTGAACTGGAGCCAGATCCAGTCGTTGACGTCTTGGTGCAAGCCGTCGAGGCTGCGGTTGCTGACCTCGCAACGGCCAATGATCTTGTAGCAGGCCATCCTGAACGGGTCGATGGAGCCCTCCGGCGCATTGCGCACCCTCTGGTTGTATTCGTTGTTGCACCGCTCCTGCATTTGCCTCTTAAGCCTGCGGTCCTCGCTCGTGGCATAACTGTTGATGTAGCTCGCAAAGGTCCTGTCAATGCTGCGGAAATGGTTCTGGTTGTCGTTGACAAACTTGGCGGCCTCGTTCACATGGCCAGTGCGGAGGAGATAGAAGACCACGGCCCACACCGGCTCGCCGTTGATCTCTTGAACAAAAGTGTTGTCGGGAACAAGGTTCTTGTGCGCAGCGCGTAGCCGGACAAAAGCCTTGATCTTGCTGATGACGTCGGGACGTCCGCCGAGTGCCGCCTCCTGAGGGTTCTTAGCGATCGAGGCCTCGACCTCTGACCAGAACTGCCTCTCAAGATGCCGGTTGGCACCCGTCAAGATACGCTTGCGCATAGCACTGGCATTCTGTGAGTTGGGGTTGGGATCCAGGTATGTCTTGGCAAACTGCCGCTCCCTGGCTGTCGCCCCGCGCACCGTAGGGTCCGCGTCGGGATCTTCACCAACCATCTCCATCACGGCCTTGAAGGCGTCGACAATGTTCTGGGCATGCCGGTCGCCAGACTTGGCCTCGACGCCCGCGAGCTCGTAGAGGATGGGGTACGGCTGGTGAAGCACTCTGCTGTCGTTGAGGCTGCGGATCTTGTCTGCCAGCTTCGCCTGCTTCTCGCGGAGGAATCGGTCATCCATCGACGCCAGGCCGTTCATCGAGCCGGCGTTATCAGCTCCGAACTCCACGTCAGAGAACTCCGGCGGGTGCGCGCCAATCTTGCTGGGGGTGCCGATGATAGACTTTTGGAGGTTCGATCGGCCGAAAGTGCTGCCTCGCTGGGTAGATCGCGGCGCAGGGGTAGTAGAGGGGTTCCGGCTCCTTCGCGACCGGCCAAAGCCACCGGCTCCATCCTTGCTAGGTGTCGTGGCCGCTCCGCCGACGTCTTCCCTCGGCTTGATGCCAAAGTGCTGGTAGATGCGCTTCCGCTGCGCTTCCCACTCCATGGTGACGTTGTCCTCCAGAAAGCTGTCAAAGTCGCGAACCGACCTCTCCAGCCCGTCGGCAATCATGCCAAGCGTGGTCTTCGTCTGCAGGTTCGAGAGATATGTCTCCACGTCGAGCTCGCCGCTGGCAACGGCCTGGGAGCGGTCCCGACCGGCGTGGATGCCGAAAGCACCAAGGTCACGGACAGCCGCACCTGGATCGACACCCGACGCGGCGAGAAGGTAGTGCGCCTTGCCATCTACAGCCCTTGTCTGAGCCTGAGGGCCGAGCTTCCTCAATTTCTGTCGCAGATCACCCAGACCCAGTTGCAGGCTCGGAAGCTGCTCGCTCGACTCTCCCTCGGCTTGCTTCTTGCTCTTCGCGAGGAGGCTGTCGAAATACGCGCCGCTGGGTTGAGACGGCAGGCCATTGGTACTTGCGGCCGGGTTGTTATTCGACAGGATGCTCGCGCCGAAAGGTGCTGAGGTCGTAGTGGCGGTCTGCGTCGCGCCAAAGAGGGGGGGCTTCTGAGGTTGTGCGGGAGCGGCTGATGTGCCGAACAGACCTCCGCCCTGGGGCTGCGAAGTCGCTGTCGTCGAGGCGCCGAACAGGCCACCGGGCTTAGGTTGTGTGGCTGCGGCGGCAGTTCCAAAGAGTCCACCTCCAGTCGCTTGGGGTTGCTGGGTTGTCGTTGAGGCGCCCCCGAACAAGCTACCGCCGGCTGGAGCCTGCGTCGTCGTCGTCGTCGTCGTCGTTGCAGCAGCGCCAGTGCCGAACAGCCCTCCCGGCTTCGGCGCCGCGGCCGTGGAGCCAAAGAGGCCGCCCATCTGGCCCGAGCCTGTGGAAGCAGGCTGCTGGGAGCCAAAGAGGGAGCTTCCGCCGGTAGCACCGCCCAATGGCTTGCCGAAGAGAGACATCCTCGCGTAGAAAACGGCGTTCGAGTCGGTTTACTGAGGGATGTCGTGCGTCGGATAGAAAATGCGGGATGAAGGGAGAACGCGAAGGGGCGGACTCGCGTTGTGGAGGAGGGGGAGAGGTGCTGTATTTGAAGCTCTCGCTAGCCCAGGGAATTTTTTGTTGTTTTTGGTTAAGGCTGCAAACTCGCAGCTGGGGCGACAGCTCGAGGCACGCACCACGCTAGAGCGATGGCCCCCTGCCACTGATTGGTACCTCAAATTTGGTGCATCAGTGGGCAATTATTTAGGTATCTCATTCAATTTCACCTACGAGTTCACAGAACAAAGACCTTTCATCAATTTCTTTCACCACTCTCAGAAGTCGTTGTCGTTCTTGACAAAGCTGCATCTCGTCTATTCGTTCATTACTGCCTATCATTTTCCCGGGGTGGACCAGGAGCCCGTTCCTTCGGTCTAGTTTGTGTGCTACGTTCTTTATGGTCATCCATCTTACAAGCGTAGGTGCCCGAACAGGCAGTCTTTGTGAGAAACTCTTTTGTTTGGCCTCTCTGGATGGCCTCGCTTCCCGTCTACTCTTTCTTGCCCCAGCTGCCGACCGCCTCGTCAATCTTCTTGCGGTACTCCTGCTGCGTGCGGCACTGCTCCAGGAACACCTCGTACTTGGCGTCCAGCAGCCTCTTCTCCTCGGCGTGCTCCCGCGGCCGCACCACGCGGCCGGGCTTGCTCATGCGGTCCATGATGTCCCACAGCGGCTCCGTGTTGCCGTCCCTGTCCGCGCTCGCGGCCTTGGCGCCCAGCATGGCGGCGCCGTGCACGACCGCCGCGTTGACGTAGCGCGGGATCAGCACGGGCATGCCGCACGCCGTCGCGATGATGTCCATCAGGATCGGGTTCTGGCACTGGCTGCCCGACATGAAGATGCTGAGGATGTTGTGGCCGGCCGCGTTCATCGTCTCGACGATCTGCCGCGTCTGCAGGCCGATGAACTCCATCGTCGAGTAGTAGAGCAGCGCCAGGCCGTCCTTGGTCTTGTCGCTGCTCAGGCCGATGATGGCGCCGCGCATGTTGGGGTCCGCGATGGGCGACCGGTTGCCCCAGAGGTCGCCGTAGAAGAAGAAGTGGCGGACCAGGTATGAGACCGAGGGGGCGCCTTCATCCTTGGCCATCTGCTCCAAGTGCTCGTTGAGGAAGTCGTAGATGTTCTTTCCGGCCTCTTTCGCCTCCTTGGCCGTCTCCTGGTATGCCGAATGTGTCTCAAGCATGTGCTTGAGCAACTCGCCAGTGGCGGACTGGCCACCCTCGGCCATCCAGTGGTCCGGAAGCAGAACGTCCCGGTATGGTCCCCAGACGCCTTCGACGAAGACGGCATCCTTGGACATGGCCAAGTGGCAAGTGGACGTTCCGGCGACCGAGGCCAGACGAGTGAAGGCCTGGGAGACGTCGTTCGGGGCGGCAGAATCGTCGAGGTGGTCGGCGCTGAGCTTGACCTTGGCACCAACAGTGCCGATCCAGCCAGCGTATGCGTCGATGACACCGCTGCCGACAGCGATGCCCGCAGGTAAGCCGAGCTGCTCGCCTGCCTTCTCTGACAGGGGGCCGATCAGCTCACCCGCGCTCAAGTACTGCCCGTTCTGCGATTTGTTAGCACAGAGCTCCTTGCAAGATGCATAGACGCAATGAAATAGGGCTCACCACCCCGTTGACTCCTCCCATCCTCTTGAAGTTGTCCTTGACCAGGTCGCCTAGGCCAATGGAATGGTAGAAATCCTCTTGCCAACCCTTGACGCTACCGTCGACGCCGACGGGGACGTAGCCTTGCTTGCAGACAGTGCTGCAGAAGCTGCGGGTCTCGAAGCCCGTGGCCAGGTGCGTCAGCGCGTCCGCCAGGTCGTAGAACTTGCAGCGGTCGAAGAGCTCGGGGGGCATGTGCTTCTTGAGCCACAGGACCTTGGGGATCTCCATCTCCACGCTCATCTTGCCGCCGACGTAGCGCAGCAGGTTGTGTTTTGTGTTGTTGATCTTGACGGTCTCGTCGAGCGGTCGGTGGTCCAGCCAGAGGATCACATTGCGGTCGTTGCCATCGTTCTGGAATTTCGGCCCTGTTACCGGGACGGGCTCGTTGGTGTCGTGGGCGAAAACAGCGAGGGAGCATGTGGCGTCAAAGCCGATGCCCTTGACAGAGGCCGGGTCGACCTTGGACTCCTCTAGTGCGCGCTTGACGCAGATGCAGATGCAGTTCCAGATATCGGTTGTCGATTGCTCCTGTGCAGGCAGACATCCCTGTGCGTCAGTCCTCTGCGTCGTCGTGACAATGGGGCATTACTTGGAGTAGAGAATGAGCTTACATAGTGGGAGCCCTCATGGCCAGAGATGGGTTGCCATAGCTTGATGTTCTCAGCAGCTAGACCCTTGATCTCTCCGGAGGAGTCAATGATGCAGGCTCTCGCAGAGCCAGTGCCCACGTCAACGCCGATGAAGTGGTTCTGTGAGGTGTGTGAGTACAAGTGGGAGGTGGGCTTGGCGCTCAGCGAACCAGTGGTTCTTTGGCAAGAAAACATACTCCTGAGGAACTATGAATGAGAAGAGACAACTCGTCAGCCTGAAGTGTCCTCATCACACATGACTGATCTCCAGACGTGATTGTAGGGTTCTCAACTTACCTCATCTTCTCATGCGAGTGGTGTTCTTGTGTGTTGTCTGAACAGTCTGAGTGTGCAAGGCTGAAGAAAACAGGTCAAGGAAAACTCCCAAGAGGCTTATTAGGTATTAATCCCGAGGTAGACAATGCGTTCTTCAAGATTCAAGGGAAGAGAAGTAATTGGAAGAGAGGAGGGAGACAAGAAAAGAGATCGTGAAGCGAGAGCGAGAGTTCAAGGTCAGGTAAAAAAGTGAACGGGAAGAGGAGGAGGGGTAGCATAGCTCAACACAAAGTGATCTTCATAGCTAAAGTCAGGTCGGTGAGCTATCTAGCCCACACACTACGGAGTACACGCCGCTTCTGCATATCAACTATCAACTATCAACAGATTGCCATTACTCAATCCCGTGGTCAAGAAAACCACCATGCACTGCAGACAGATCGGCGCCCCCAAGACCCTTTTTTTCCTGCGCTGTCGAGCCCCCATCGGCCAGAGCGAGGGGTGGGAGAGTCAGCGAGTCCTCCTCGCTTCTCCACCATAGCTCTTTCGTCGCCGCCGTCCTGCGAAGCTCGAGAGCTCTCAAAGGCTCAAAGGGGTGCACCGGTCTTCGGATGACGTGCGGGGAGGCAAAAGATCTCCACCACGGACCCAGCAGAGCCCCGCCCCAAGATGGGCTAACAGAGACCACATGAGTCTCGAATTTGCAAGATCCCTGGGGGACTTTTCCAATTGCCGTGGAAAGTACAGGGTTTCCAGTGTTGATGAGCGCGAATTGGGTGACGGACGGTGTGGTGGTCGCCTTGCACTGTGCTGCTACCCCCTTAACAGAGCCGGGATGTTGAGTCTTCACGACAATTGCATTCTATGTCCAGACACATTTTTGATGCAGGTGCTATCTCCGTGGGAGTCATGCCACAATATGATAGACTGGTACCATTTACTTGATGGAAATCTTCAGTTTCCCGTGCAACACTATAGATCCGATCCCTCTTCTCACTTGCAGAGGTCCCACAACCACCCGTCTCAAACATATCAACACGTCAAGAATGAGATATCATAGATGCAACACACCGAGAAGCGGATCATATGATCCATACATGAAACCAATAGCATATCTCAAAAGAGCTTGAAGCTGCCCTTGGACCACCGGTCAACTTGCCACTCCGTCGTCTCGTAGTCTTGCCGCACATCATCGCCAGCGGAGTGGACGAGGACAGGATGTGAATAGATCTTAGAAGCCGCACGCTCTCCAGAGCCTCCGATAATACCCCGAGACCTCAATGTACGAGCCCGGCACGCAGTCGAGGAAAGTGCTCTCGGTGCTGTGAAGAAGATGGCTACTCACGAGCGACGGCATGTACCGTGTCTGCCAATGCTCAGCCTCGGCCTGCCTCTCTTCCGCAGAGCCTCGCCTCGGGTCAAAGTACATCTGGCGAGACACCTCAACCGGACCACTGACCGATGCCCAGCTCCAGCTCGGGGCCCGGTACTCCGCCGACGGCCCCCCACCGCTACTCGCCGGCGGTGTTCTCTTCGCCTTGAGGGCGAGATAGTGCCGAAACTCCTTCCCCGGCCCTGCCGTCGGACGTAGCTCTCCGCCAGGCCAGGCCGCGGAAGAGGTCCCGCCCCCAGAACCCGGCAAGATACTTACCGAGCTCTGGCCGACAAAGCACGGCCGCGAGGCCGGCGATCGCGGGGAGCTTTTCGGAAGACTTGGTGAGAGCGCGTGCCGAGAACTCGGAGACGCAGTGGCACCACGTCTGTGCAGCATAATCGGCACCGAAGCGATTGTCCAAGCCGCTCGAGTAAAAAGCCCTGTGGGCCCGGTACGCGTCGGATTCGGCACGATCGACAATCCAGCCAGCACCGCAAGCCCGATATTCCTCATGGACTCGTTCGAGGTTGGGTTTGTAACCCTCTGCGCAGTTGTCGCCTCTGCACCGCCACAACACCTGGTCTCGAGTCAAGTGAAGGACGCGGGGTGATAGAACCCGTTCCTGCAGCGTCCAGGCGCGATGACTGATACACGATTCCAAATTCAGATGGTCATCCTCGGGGAATGCTTCTCGGAGAGTGTACAAATCGCCATCTTCTCCTAGAATGGGGGGCGAGTGGTCATGATAGCGGTCTAGGAGTCCAACGGTACAATCTACCGCCATCGTCAGAACTGCATTGTTATAGTAGCTCGCCATCCGGCTAGCTTCGTGCCGCCAGTCTGATTCATGTTTCTGCAGTATACAGAGGCCATCGATCCAGACGTATTGATATCCAAGGAGCCGCGTGTATCTGACGGCATGCTGGAAGTTCCGAGGCTGTTTGGTAGTGAGAAACCCAAAAGGTTCTACATCAACGCGGAGTGGAGGCAGAGGCGGTTCTTGTTCCCGGTGTTGTGGTGGGCGGTTAATGTGTGGTGGTTATGCTTTGAAGCTGCAACTTGGCCAAACACGCCAATAAGACTGCTTTGTTGCACCTGCTAGGCTTAGATTTAGGGACGACATTGCTAGTACCAAGTATTAGATTCTCAACCCGTATGGAGTGGAATCATGTCGAGATGTAACGATTTGAGAGGGTCTTGAACTATCAGCCTGGGTGGTCCACGATGATGAATCCGCACTGTACCCACCAGATGCCTCATCAATCTGGACCCTTGGAAGCTGAACACGTTGTTAATAATACAAGTACAAGCAAAACCTCCACCTTTTCTCGTCACAGCGGACCTTCAGCCGGGGCGCCCGGAGCGAGACGGCGCCCTCGGCAGGACGGAAAGATCTGCAAGATGCAGCCCTTAGCTTGTACAGCTGGCCTGCCCTCTTTTTTCTTTTGAGCTGGCCATGCGTCTTTCATCATCGTCGTGGGGGGAGGGCCGAGCGGGTAAAAAAAGGGGAAAAAGTTGGGTACGGTCGCAAAGGGTTCTTTTTCTGCGGACAAGTTTCGGCGTCTCCTTCTCCAGTGCGGTATCGGTCGCCATGTCTGTGTCGTGAAGGGGGAATATTCATGTACCTGAGATGGCGGTGTGACTGTGTTATGCATTTGTTTCGCGCTTCTGAAGAAACGGCCCTAGAGGGAGGGATGAGCAGAGTGACAAGCAATGTCACTCGTAGAGAAACGTTGGCGAGGGCGATGATCAAGTCAGTGTCCGTCTATTGCGCAAGCTAGCTGAAACATTGGGCAAAAGTCCCTCCTCCGGCTTTCATGCATCTTATAAAGTACAGTAGTAGGCTAACAAGTCACTAGATAGAGATCTCGCGTGCGGGCGTTTATATGAGACAAGGTGAAATCCGCGTCCTCCCACAATCACAGCTTCGCCTTGGCCGAAGGCTGGGCGTTGATCTCGGCGTACATCTCGTCGATCTGTTTCCTGAAGGCCCTGGCCGTCTGCGGGCGCTTGAGCTTCAGTCTGCATTCGCTTGTTGTCAGTATGTGTGCCAAAGAACTTGATAGTGAGACAAGAAGGAGAGAGAGAGAGAGAGAGACGGGTTCATCTTACGTAGGAGTGATCAGCTCGTTCTCAATCGTAAAGGGCTCCACGTCCAGGAAGACGCCGCGCACCCGCTCGTAGCTGTTGAACTTGTGCGCCTTGCCGATGGCGTCCAGCTTCTGCAGGAACGCCTTCTTGACCTTGGGGTCCTGGCCCGCGGCCTTGACCGCCTGCCTGTCCCCGGGCGCGATCGGCTTGCCGAGGATCTTGCTGGCGAAGGGCGCAAAGTGCTCCGGGTCGACGCCGAAGATGCCGACCAGGGACGACTCCTTGCCGTCGCCGTGGACGTAGGCCATGGCCACGAGGTTGGAGCTGCCCATGTACACGTTCTCGATGCGCTCGGGCGAGATGTACTCGCCCTGCGACAGCTTGAGGACGTTCTTCTTGCGGTCGATGATCTTGAAGCGGCCCATCTCGTCGACCTCGACGATGTCGCCGGTGTGGAACCAGCCGCCAGCATCGATGGCCTTTTGGTTCTCCTCGGGGTTCTTGTAGTACTCCCTGAAGATGATCGGGCCCCGAAGAAGCAGCTCACCCCTCGGGCGCGGCTTGTCGGTGACGTTGTAGTCCAGGTCCGGGCACGACTCGATACAGGCCTCGACACCGGGGCTGGGGCCTCCAATGCTCCCGGTGGTGTAGTCTCCAATCTCTTGAACGAAACCCGTGGCATAGGTCTCGGTCATGCCGAAACCCTGCTGGAAATGGTTGGCAAAGGCAGCCCGGAGGAACTCGTGGACGTCAGGGTCGAGCTGTGCGCTACCGCTGATCATAACGCGGCAGCGGTCCAGGCCGATGCCAGCGAGGACCTTGCGCGTCCATATCCTGTCGTAGAGGAAGTGCTTGTTGGTGGCCTGTCCCGGGGGCAGCTTCATGGACGCCTTCTTCGCGTTGATGACATGCCTCGACAGAGCGCCCTTGAAACCGTCGGCCTCCACAGTGGCCGTTCGGACGGCCGAATGGAACCGGTTGAAGAGCCGCGGAACAGAGAAGAGGCCCGTTGGCTTCAACAGCTTCATGTCGTCGACCAGGCCGAGGATGTCGCCGTGGAAATAGCCGATGCAAGCGCCCGTGGAGAGGGCCGCATGATCGACCATGCGGCCATAGATGTGCGCAAGAGGCAGGTACGAGATGTTGACGTCGTCCGCGAACATCTGGCCGGTTGCTCGCGCCGCCGCCACGCCTGCGACGGCATTCGCGTGAGTGATGACGACACCCTTGGGGTTTCCGGTGGTGCCCGAGGTGTAGTTGATGGTCACGACGTCGTCCTTGCGGGGCGGCTGCATGGGCCGTCCGGATCGAGCGCCGATGGCCTCGACGTCGGTCATGGAGTAGATCTGAATGCCGGCGTCCTTGGCGAGCTGGGTCAGCAGCGCCCCCTTGGAGTAGCCCTCAACCTCGCCAGCATCGAGAGGGTCGAGAGAGATGATCATTTTCAGCTTCGGGGTTCGGGGCGCCAGCTTCAGCAGAGCCGGGATGTGCGGCAGCGACGCGACAACGCACGTCAGCTCCGCGTGGTTGATGATGTACTCGGAGGCCTCGGGTCCCAGGGTCTCGTACAGGGAGACCGGGTAGAGCGACTGGGAAATCAGGGCCAGCTCTGTGATCTCCCACTCGGGACGGTTCTGCGACCACAGACCGACGCCGTACTTCTGGCCCGTCGCACCGACGCGGTGGTGCAGCTCCACAATGCCAGCGCCCAGGTTCTTCCTCCTCTCGGCGACCTCAGAGTACGACATCCACACGAACTTGTTCTCCCAGGCCTGGGTGGTCGGATTCCACGGCCGCCATCCCAAAAACCGCTTCTTGGGATAGGTCTTGACGGAGATCTCGAAATGGTCGTGGAGACTCTGGATCTCGGGGTCGTACGTGTCAATCAGGGGCCTGTCTCGGAAGCGCCAGTGGCGGTAGACAGCGGTGCGACCCTCGGTCTCTGTGCCAGGGACAGGCAGGGCGTAGGGCGAGCCCGGCGGGGGAGGCGCCGAGATCTTGTCGACAGCCGCCTGGATTTTGGCGAGAGACATCTCTGCAACGCCCACTGTGAGCCTTTTTGTATGCTGGGGACGCTCTCTCCGGCAGGATGCCAACTTACTTGGCAAGGGCGCTGACGCAACAAGGGGAAGAATGGGTGCGATCGACGACAGGTCGCTCCGTCGATTAGACAGGCCGCGCGACAAATGCAATCAACGCTAATGGCAGTACTGAGGGAGAGTCAAACCGTCGACGATGGCCCGCAAGAGGTTCGTATCGAGATCCGGAGCTGGTATTTAAGGAAGAGGATGTGGTGAACCCGCAAAACACAGAAAGGAGAAGGCCGCACGTATGCCAGGACCAAGTGCAGGCCGGCTTTGGTTCCTCAAAGAGGCGTTTATCTGCGAAAAGCTAAGCTTGTGTGGGGATAGTGAGGTCTTGGACTTGGAGAGAGAGAAGATACGGAGTAGGTACAAGCTAGAGCAGGAGTACTCCGTAAGTATGGGCCACTGCAGTGAGATCCGAGGGCCTCGGCACCGTCTCCACATCGAGACCCACCCCCGTCCATGACGCGGGACGGCCTACGGAGCATTTTCTACAGGGATCGCATCCACTAAAGAGCCCTGGCAGATTTGCGTGTGCTGCAGGCCATCATGGCTTTTTCATCTCTCCAGTACCTTACTTCGTACTGGCACCCTCATGCGCGCATTTTGCACTGGTGGGCGGTGCGGTTACGGAGTAGAATCGAGAACGCCGTTGGTGATGCAGACCTAACAACCCTCTCGAGACACCAATCTGGGCAAGCCCGTCTCGCTTAAGGGGAGACCGAGGGCTTTTGCTGACATACCTAGTACATACCCAGATTGGGGAGGTCCTTTTAAAGGTCACAAGCCAGCACTGCGCATGCTTGGCGCTGACTGGCGGTTTCTGGAAAACCCTCAAGCTGGCTGGCTGACACATGATAATTTCGCGGACGGAAGTTTCGGTCCACCTCAAGAGGACCCCGTCGGCGCCATCGGTTGAACCTTGGTGGCCGTGGAGGGCCAGGTCGTGAAACGGCCGGGTCTGCCGCTATTCATGTCTCCCAAGCCGTCGGACCCCATGGGGCAATTCTGGAGGCCGGTCTTACTTTGCTTCTCCATCCATTCTTCTTCCTCTGCTGCGACGGCAAGCATCTTGCATCCGAGATCTCGTCACCGCCTCCCGTACGGATATGCGATGCGATACTGCGACAGGAAGGAGAAGAAAACAGAAGCATAGGGAGAGGATCTGGAGAGGATCTAGAGCAGGCAGTGAGCCTCAGATCTCGCCGATCTCTGCGGCTTTCCCAGCGGCCTGAGTTAGTTTGCACGTGGGTTGATGCACGCCGCCGTTCTGTGTCCAAGATGCCCGATTTCACATGCAAATTTGGTTTGGATAGAAAGTGCACCAGTTTGCGGCAAGCTTTGGACAGCCTCCAGTCTGATCCCCGCCCTCGCTGTACACTGTACCGAAAAGCCACCCCAAGGCCCCAAGACTCGCTCCGACGCGGGCAGAGAGTGTGGGGGAGCGCGCACTAGAAGTTGCCCCAGGAGAGCGCTAAAAAGCATTAACTACCTGAATCGTGCATCTCCTCTCCTCTCATTCGACCGACTCACCTACCGACTCCGTTCTTTGGCATGCAGTACTGCTCGATATATCTCTTCTTCCCCCCCCTCCCCACAAGGACTTGCTCGCAGCGCAGCTGCTTGTAAGAGAAACAGATCTTTTGTCATATGAGAAAGATGTTTCAAGTTCTTGTCTGGTTACGCTATTGTGCCATCTTGTGTCTCGTCAGTCTCGCACAGCAACGGCTCATTGATCGTTTAGGAAAGGCTCGTCGACGTTGTACCTCCGTACCAAACACTTACCAAGAATACCTTCCTAGGTACCTACCTTAGGTAGGTGGTAGGCACAAAACTCACGGTATCCCAAGATTTGAATCTGATCTTCCTCCGGTGTCAACGTTTGTTTCTCCCAACAAACGCCGTAACATACGGCGTGCCTGGCATCCCAACAACCCCCGGGCGAGACGGGCTGGCGACATGCCAAGACATGGAAATCCCTTGCCCGAGCGATACCGTTGACAGGGCGGAACGAATCGCAAAGCTTCTCATTGCCTCCCCGTCCAGGATACCCTGGCCCTGTTCTCGGCACTCAGAGAGGGCAAGGTCGCGCTCTGTTCTGTGGAGCTGTCACACAAGCAAACGTTTCTCTGACGCATCAGCCTCGTTATGGGGCAGATTGAGGACAATGTCATAGGTGGTAGGCTTGAGCTTTCGATTGCCGCAGATCTCATTCCCTGTGCGGCAGGCTGTCCGACAAACTACAGTTTACTGTGGCGATGCTCTCCAAGAGGCGACTGTGTGTTGAGTACCTCACTATATTCTTCAATTTTCTGTTTGCTCTTCTCCCTCCCCTCCTGGACAACCTAACCATGTCTCGCTGGTCTCCATGTTACCAGTAAAGACCGTGTAAATGCCAGACTGGAGACTCATTCACATCAACATGCGACGCCGCCCTTGTCTCCTAACAGTGTTGCTTCCTCCTACTTATTTTGTGACAGTTGCCTATCATCACGACTCGTGTCATTACCGTATCCAGTCTGAAGTCTGCAGTCTCCGATGCTAAGCTCATACATGTCGCACCTTTGCAACTCGGCAATCTCAAGCCCAGTGAGGCGACGGCTCTTGCAGGAGATAAACTACTCTTTTTTTTTCTTTTTTTTTACGGAGTACGTGCAGTGATTGGAACGGCATCCTCATCCGTGGACCCTGCTCGTTGACGTTGCGGGGGATTGGTCGGGGGGCGGTTCGTGGTGGGCTTTGCGCTTTGTGCCCTGAGCGGAAGCATGAATTCCCATTGATCACGGCGTTTCATGTGGGCTTCAGACTGCGATATCCACGATGCTGCACCACCAAGTCCTCGAGATCGCCATTCTCGAACACCCTTGGCTGCAGGCGGCATCTTTAATTAGTTTGGCACAGCGAAAAGGCATGAGTGACTTTCCCTGTCCTTGCGTCTCCTCATCTCGTTTCCCTGCTTTCCATGTCCCTTTTATGTTTCTGGCATCCCATTTGACCCGGTGATTTTCTCCGACCTCTCTTTTCTTGTCATATCTTTCATATTTCCTATTTTTTCTCATACTCTACTTCTCGTCACTCCCTTGTCCAGCGCACCAGTTGCAGCTTTTCTTCTCGGACTTGTTCACCTGCTGGAAAGTTGCTGGTCCTCTTTTTACATCTTGTATCTTTTCTTCGTTTCGTGCCGTACTGTAGATACCGCGGGGTGTCTAAAAGAAAACGACACACAAAATGGCCATGTCTGTTCTTGCCAAGGTCCGCGCGATGAAGGCCCGGGGACCGATCCTCATCCTCCGCTGGGTGCAGCTGTCCATCGCTGTTCTCATTCTCATCCTCGCCATTTATGGTACGCCGGCCCCCCTTTGTGAAACCGCAACGCCCCGACGGAATAGACAGAAAAGTTAACTTGGGAGCAGTGGCGAACTGGTATAATATGGAAACAAGGTCGATGAGCGCGCCGGGAGAGATCAACCTCATGATCTTTGTCCCGTGCTGGTCCATCTTCTCCTTCGTCTGGATCATGGTCGCCAACGCGTACATCCCCATGTGTAAGTCCACGCAACCTCTCGGGGCCCGTGACTGTGTGGTGTGGTAGTGCCACAAGGAAAAACAAGGTCCCCAAACAACTAGGCTGACCGTCCGTGTGCGTCGATACGAAAAAAAACAGTGCAAAACCCTTACATCCGGCTGGCCGTCGACACGTCCAACCTGCTCCTCAACTTCGTCAGCTTCGTCGCCCTGGCGGCCTTCCTGGGCGGCCTCGAGTACTGCCGTGGCAGCGTGTGCGGCGCCGCCCGCGGGGCCGTCGCCTTCGCCTCCTTCGAGTGGGTGCTCTGGACCGCGACCGCCTTCCTCGTGGCCAGGGAGTGCTTCTTCAACAAGAACGGCGGCGGCTGGCGCAGGGGCGGGGGTGGTAGCGCTCGGGCGGCGGTTGTCGGCCCGGCGGGCGCGGCCGAGACCAAGGAGATGCAGACCGCGTGACGGGTCTCGGTCGTGGCGGTGCCCGCCGACGCGCTGCTGCCGCGGCGGCCCTCGCTGGAGATATCGCGCAAGAAGATGTCGCTGAGTTGGGACCGGCGCGGCGGTGGTGATGGCGGCGGTGGAGGCCAGGAAGGAGGAGGAGGAGTAGAGACCGAGGAGGACTTTTTCATCGGCGGCGCTGGCGGCCGCAGGGCCTCGCGCGCCGCGAGGATGTCGGGGGCCACGGGCAGGGGGGACCGGTTCTGGGCATGAAACGGATGATGTTTGACCACAGCTGTGCTGGGTTCATCGCGAAAAAGTGTGGAATGACGGGTCGCAATGCTTCACTCGAAGCTCAATGTGTGAAAAGGTACGAAACGGATATAACGAGTTTTTTCCCTTGTTTGTCAGACGTGTGTAGACCGGCGTTGGGAAATACAATCTGCGTGTCTTCTTCAATTCAAAGCCATTGGCAGCACTTGTGACTCTCATGTCGATGTCCCATGAGTGATTCAACTCTTGCCATCTCCCATCCTTCCCTGCCGGCCCTCGAAGATGCACACGCGCAGAAGAGCCACCAGACATGGCCCGGTCTTGATGAAGATGACCAAAGACGGCCACACAAGACCAGACCAGTCAGCTTTCCCCGCAGAGAGGGCGGCGTCCGATGATACGCATCTGCACGAGGCGATTGGCCGACAAAACCCCTGCTGCACTGGACGTCTACTCCGTGGTCTTACTCCGTACTTGTACAAGTAGGATGCGTAATACGCTAAAACTGACGACATCTCAGGATGCGGAACGTGATATCATGCTCCGAAGGCATGATTATGGCGGGCTAGCGCGGCGGGGTCACTTCAATTCTTGGGTTTCTGGTGCTTTTCCCTCTTGAGCTTCGACTAGGTAGAGGGATCGCCAACCCGTCGTTTGCTGTACGAGTAGGTATTACCCCACACAATTGACACATCCCGTCGAGGCAGAATTGGCAGCCGGGTGGGTGGGTGTCTTTCTTTTAGAAGTGAGTGTCTTGCGGAGGAAAATATCCCAGAGGTCCATGTTCAATGGGCAGTCAACTCCAAGGCCTTCCTTGCCGTGAGCTCCATCACAAGCCCGCCGCCGTCTCGCCGTCCTGGAACATCCCCGGATATCCATCCGAGCCCCTTCCAAGTCTCTGGAAAGAACACAGGTACGCACAGGCCACAGAACAGCAACGGGCTTGAGGTCAAGCGACCAGCAAAACCCCCCACACGATCCCAGTGCCATTTCCCTCGCCGGTGTCGCTCGAGAGCTATGCTCGCAAGAGAGTCTTGGCCATAGCCGGAAGGGCGATTGCGTGCTCGAGGCGGGACCGCGCACTTGACCGTTTCCGGCCAAAAATCGAACTAACAATGGCGACAGGCAGTGGAGGGGAAACGAGACAGGCCACAGGAAAGCTAGAGTATCCTACCTAGGTCGCCGACGAGCTGCCCTCGCAAGCGCAAAGAATCACGGCACGTCGGGGGGCGGTCTTGGACGGGAGGGGAACAGGCTCGTCGATCCCATCCAGTCAGGTAGGATGTTGGGATAAGGGTCCTAGGCACGCCTTAATTATATAAAGTAGCTTTTGCCGGGTGAAACCAACCTTGCCTCTCCCCTTCCCCTTCCCCGCGATCTCTCGTAGCTTTCTGTCTCCATTCTCCCACCCCTCTCTTTTTCGACTTTCTTGACAGTCTTGTTTGCGGCCTGTCAGCTCTACAGTTGCCAATTGACCCGTCTGCCCTCTCTTGTCGCCACTCGTGACGTTGTGCCCATCATGTCTGAGCTCAGCAAGAACTTCGAGACCCTCCAGCTCCACGCGGGGTAAGTAGTTCCAGCTCCCAGCCCAGAGCCGGGCTGCCCGAGGTAGTCGTGCAGAGGAAGCAGAGAGGAGACTGACTCTCTGTCTGCTTTGTCTGCAGCCACACGCCCGACAAGGAGACCAACTCTCGCGCCGTGCCCATCTACGCCACTACTGTAAGTCGTCACACAGCTCTCTGCCTTGCCGGCCCCGCGTGTCTGACCAGCTTGGGCGACAGAGCTACGTCTTCAACGACAGTTCCCATGGCGCGAGACTGTTCGGCCTCAAGGAGTTCGGCAACATCTACACCCGCCTGATGAACGTAAGTCGCCATGAGAAACCCCCGGCAAATAGCACCGGACAGAAGAGTGGGCTGACCAGCCGGCGCGTTTCTACTTAGCCCACAAACGATGTCTTTGAGAAGCGGATAGCGGCGCTCGAGGGCGGCGTCGCGGCCGTCGCGACCTCCTCGGGCCAGGCCGCGCAGTTCATGGCCATCACCACGCTGGCCGGCGCCGGCGACAACATCGTCTCGACCTCGAACCTGTACGGCGGCACCTACAACCAGTTCAAGGTCACCCTGCCCCGCCTCGGCGTCCAGACCAAGTTTGTCAACGGCGACAAGCCCGAGGACCTCGCGGCCGCCATCGACGACAAGACCAAGGCCGTCTACGTCGAGAGCATCGGCAACCCGCGGTACAACGTGCCCGACCTCGAGAAGATCGCCGAGCTCGCCCACGCCAAGGGCGTCCCCGTCATCGTGAGTGATATACAGAATCGACTGATGATGCCGTAACGCACTTGCGCTAATCGTGGGCGTCACACGCGCTCTCTGGCGACAGGTCGACAACACCTTTGGTGCCGGCGGCTACTTCTTCCGCCCCATCGACCACGGCGCCGACATCGTCGTGCACTCGGCCACCAAGTGGATCGGCGGCCACGGCACGACCGTCGCCGGCGTCGTCGTCGACAGCGGCAAGTTCGACTGGGGCGCCAACGCCGCGCGCTTCCCCTTCATGGTCGAGCCGTCGGACGGCTACCACGGGCTCAAGTTCTGGGAGACCTTTGGCCCCATCTCCTTCGCCATCCGCGTGCGCGTCGAGCAGCTGCGCGACATCGGCCCGTGCCTGAGCCCCTTCGCCGCGCAGCAGCTGCTGCTCGGCATCGAGACGCTGAGCCTGCGCGCCGAGCGCCACGCCTACAACGCGCAGCGGCTGGCCGAGTGGCTCGAGAAGAGCCCCTACGTCGGCTGGGTCTCGTACCCGGGCCTGCCGAGCCACCCGTCGCACGAGATGGCCAAGAAGTACCTCAAGCGCGGCTTCGGCGGCGTCCTGAGCGTCGGCATCAAGGGCGGCGCCGCCGCCGGCAGCCAGGTCGTCGACGGCTTCAAGCTCATCTCCAACCTCGCCAACGTCGGCGACTCCAAGACGCTCGCCATCCACCCCTGGACCACCACCCACGAGCAGCTGTCTGACGAGGAGAAGGTCAGCTCCGGTGTCACCGAGGTAAGATTCTTCTTCTTCTTCTTTCTCTTTCTCTCTCCTGGTTCATGCCATATCGCACACTGGAGAGACCGATATGCTGACATCTGTTCCCTTCTTCTTGCAGGACCTCATCCGCGTGTCCGTCGGCACTGAGCACATTGACGATATCATCGCCGACTTTGAGCAGTCCTTCAAGGCTGCCGAGGCGACGCGCACGAGCGGCAACGGCGACGGCGCCAAGGCGGACGAGAACAAGCACGAGGAGGCTCCCACCGTGGTTTAACGAGAGAATACCCCCCCCCCCCCCCAGAAGAAGAAAGGAAAGAGAGGTGAATGAAAAGGAAAAAAGGCAGTCTATCTCGTTTGTAGCATGGCGAAAATCTGAACAGGATAACGATACCACACTTGCGTTACCATCTTGCGTAGCTCGAAAAGTCTCTGGCATTTTGTGCTTCTATGACAGTGCAAATTATGTATAAATTCCGTGATGCTTTTATTCCATTTTGAGATAAGTGGTGAGTCGTGAGAGAAATAGGGGGCATCTTGGTAACAACCTAGTTGAAGGTAACGGTGTCCCACCACAGCTGGCGGCCAAGCCAGGCGGGGGAGCCACAATTAGTACTTGTCCACACATCTCACCAAAAGCTCCATCCCAGCTCTCTCATCATCATCTCGCAAAACCTCACTCAATCTCTAACCTCAATCCGCGACCCATCCCCCCCCGGCCCGGCCACATCCACGACTACAACCCGGGCCTTTCTCTCTCCCCTTTCCCCCCTCCACAAGCACACAAGATGCAGCTCTCGCTCCTCCTCTCCGCCCTCGCGGCCACAGCCGCCGCCGCCGCCACCCACCAGCACCAGCAGCAGCAGCAGCAGCAGACGACAATCTCCATCGCCGTGCCGGCGAGCCACGCCGTCGCCAACCCAGGCGCCCTGCCGCCCTCGACCCACGCCACGCTCTCGGCGCAGCACGCCTCGCACCGCGCCGCCCTGAGCGCCGCCAACGCCTTCGTCTTCCGCAACGTCACGCCGGGGTCCTACCTCGCCGACGTGCACTGCCCCACGCACGCCTTCCACCCCTTGCGCATCGACGTCGAGGCAGACTCGGGCGGCCTCCTCCTCGCCGTGCGCGCCTGGGAGACCTACCGCGGCAACGACTGGGACAACCGCGGCGAGGCCCTCGCCGTGGCGGCGACCGCCTCCGGCTCCGGGGCGTACCTCTCGGCCCGGGCGCTGGGCCCCAAGGCCTACTACACGGAGCGCCAGGGCTTCTCGCTCATGAGCATCCTGGGCAACCCCATGATCCTGATGGGCCTCGTCAGCATGGGCCTGTTCGTCGGCATGCCCTACCTGATGGAGAACAGTGAGTAGAATTTCTCCCTCCCCCCCCCCTAACATCCCCATGATGTAAAGATTAGTGCGCTCTTTTCTGACCGTATTTCCCCCTTTGCAGTGGACCCCGAGATGAAGGCCGAGTTCGAGCAGCGCCAGAAGCAGAACCCGATGAACAGCATCCTCAGCGGCGCCGCCGGCGGCCAGCAGGCCGGGGCCGGCAACCCCATGGACAGCATGGCGGCGTACCTGGCGGGCAGCTCCAAGAAGGAGGATGGCAACGGCGGCGGCAAGAAGGCGCAGGGTGTCCGGAGGTAATGTAGTGCGGAGGAGATGGACGAGTACAAGGGGGGGTCGATGAACGAGCCTTCTGGCTCCAACCAAGATGTAGACGTCGAGGCGACATACAGTGGAGTTGAATACAAGCTCCTCTCGAGCTCTACGAAGTGTACATCACTATATTGGGCTTGGCCGTGGAACTGCTCAGGCGTGTTTCGCCCTCCGGAATGAAGAGAAAAATGCATTCATGCGGCTATGTAATGTTTAGCTCACAGGCTCCCGTTCGTGGTCTCGTATTCACCGGTCTTCTTCGTCTTCTTCTCCCACCAGCAGGCCTGATCTCCAAGCTTCAATGGCATAGCACTCGGTCATCAAGCATGCTCGATCGATCGACCCAATTCCCATCTTTCCCCCTTCTTGACTTCTTTAAGCGATAAAAGCCGACGCAACGTCAAATGCCTCCCTTCAGCCCGAGAGAATCAATGCACAGATCAATCTCTTACTTTCCTCAGGTCCATCATATTCGTCCACCCGTCCGTTGTTGCTTAGAAGTCGCCACCGCCAAAATCACCACCACCAAAGTCACCGCCGCCATCAGCACCGTCCTCTGCAACACCAAGTCAGTCAAACACGGTCTTTTCATCAAGTCATCCCCTTTCTCAAAGACAGAGAGGCCGAGGAAGGAAAAAAGGGGGAGACTCACGATATCCCTCCTGGTAAGCATCATGCTGCCCGTCGCTTATCGCATTAGAAATCAGCGCGCCGCCCAGCAGACCCGCGCCCACGCCCAGCGCCGCACCGCCCATCATGCCCATGCCGCCGCCGCCCCTCTGGGGGCGCTGCTGCTGCTGCTGCTGCATGGGGTACCCCCCGCCGCCGTAGTACCCGCCCGGAGGAGGGGCGCCGTAGCCGCCGTACCCCTGCGGCGGAGGCGGGCCGTACCCGCCATACCCCTGCGGCGGAGGCGGAGCGTAGCCGCCGTAGCCCGGCTGCGGCGAGGGCTGGCCGTACGGCGCGCCGTAGCCCTGGGGAGGCGGGGGGGAGCCGTAACCCGGGCCCTGCTGCTGTGCGGGGTAGCCGCCGCCGCCCCCGTACTGCTGCTGCTGCTGCTGGCCGGCCGGGATCTTATTCTTGCCGCCGCCAAACAGCTTGCCGAGCAGGCCGCGCGACTTGTCGCCCTCGCGGGGCGGGAGCTGGTTCGGGTACGGGCTGTTGCCGGCGGCGCCGGGGGATCCGCGCCGCGCGTCCTCCTCGGCCTGGAGCTGGCGGGCGAGGCGGGCGTCCTCGGACTCGGGAGCCGAGGAGCCGCCGGCGGCGTAGTCGGCAGCGGCTCCTTTCTTTTCGTTCTCGAAGGGGTTGGTCTTCGCGTCGGTGGGCGCCGGGGCGGTGCCGGGAGTGTAGCCTGGCGGGGGGCCGTCCGGGCCGTCGTCAGCCGGGTTCCGCGCGGGCTCGGTGGGCTTCTCCCATTGTGACTTCTTGGTGTAGGTGTTTACGTAGAACCTGGCGGAGGCGCGGGGATGTTAGCATAGCTATTCGCTTCGTGTCGGATGGAGGGCTTCTGAATCATGGGCAGATCTGCCGCCTCGGTGGCAGACACACAAAGAGTAACCTCCCCCTCAAGAGTGCAGAGCCATATGGAAAAGAGACACACTCACCATTCCTTGTACTGATCATTCCACCGGGCGACCCAGCCCTCGGGGACCTTGGGCGGGGGCGGGCCTGAAGGAGCGTCAAAGTCTGCCATCAGGGTGCTGTGTCCTGGTCGAATACAAAGCTTGATGCCTGAGATCAATCAAAAGACGAGGCTCTCGTGAGAAAGGGGAAAAAAAAAAGGTATGCAGGTGGACAAGTGTGAGACGAAGAAGGAGTGGTGGTGCTGTCGTGCAGATGCGTGGGTGGCGTTCCAATGGTAGCTTAATATGCAGCAGGTGGGCGATCACTCAATGCTCCTTCTGAAGACCCGATAGCCAAAGAGGGGTAAAGTACTTGTAGAGGCGGTTTGGGAGCCAGCGCCGTCGGTGTGCTTGGCAGGTAATGTGGGTGCAGTGTAGTAGTGTAGTGCAGTGAGTGTGGACGGATGAATTCAACTAGAAGACTTGACTACGCCCGGTAAGTACCTAGGTAAGGTAGCTGATGGATGGATGCTGTGAACTACCTACGGTGGGTGTTAGGTGCACTATATCTACACTAACGGCGGCCTCCCCCTTCCTCTTCTCCATGACGAGGCAGAGGCAAGAACTGGCCAGCTCTTTCCAGGCCTTCTGGGTAGTACATCTGAGTTACGTATCGTCAGACTTCTGGCCCGTATCGTCACGGACAATGCGTGCATGAGACGTGGGACGCACGGAATGAAATGGGGGGCCACGGTGGCGGGACGAAATTCTGGCGAGCGGCGCATCCGTCGCTGTTCCTTCAGCTTCCAAGCTTCGACTGCGCCTCACTCGATTGCGTTTTCGCACTGGAGCGGGGGGTGCGCCGGATGACTGATGGCTCGCTGATCAGACGGGGGCGGCGCCCGAAAGGCCCGCCCGCCCGCCCGGACATACAAGTACATGTATCGAACAGTTTTCGATCTAGATCGTTGATTCCACGGCCAAGAAACCACCCAGGACCATTCGTGAGCAGGATAGCATTAGTTGCCTCTTGGCGGAGCTTGTGCCAATTACGGAAATTGATTCATTGCCTATCAGCTTGGTGCACTTATACGAGAGCACAACAGAGACCTCAAGCAAAGTTGCCGGCCCATCAGCAGCTTGGTGCACTTATACGAGACCAAGCTGCCGGCCCTTCTCCACGACCACATGCGGATGCTCTGCGGATACCTACCTAGGTACTCTGCGGATGCTCAACCTAGTTATGCTTAAATCTTGAATCAACAAACTCTTACAGCACTGCAGAGAGCCACGCTGTCTGTGCCTTTCAGTCATTGAAATATATTCCGATTCTCTAATCCGCGTCGTTGAACCACTCTGCCGACGCTTGTTCTGTAAACACCACACCACACCACACCACACCATACCGCTATTCACTTCACTATCCAGTGCGATACAAACGTGCTCAGGCCCCCCCCCCCCCACCCCCGAGAGAACCTCGATCAAAACTCAGTAGTAAGCCTCGCGGTCTCGCTCATCACCCCGGCCACCAAAGAGGTACGCCGCCTCCATGCAGTACCCGCCGCCGCCCGCCGCCATGCGCGTCTCGCTGCCGTAGCAGATCACCACGGCGTCCACAATGCCGCTGAGGATGCCCTCCATGGCGCCCAGCACGCCCCAGCCGATGAAGCTGGCCACGAGCCCGACCACGTACGCATACGCGCTCCCCCTGATGCCCATACCGTCCGGGATGCGCAGCTGCCGCGCCGTGATCACCCAGCCCGCGAACCCCAGCGCCGTCGCCATGATGAACCGCGTCGCGTGGAGCAGCAGCTTGGCAAGGCGGTAAGGGAGCAGAGGAGCCCTGTTGCGCCGCCCGCGCCCGAATGCCCTTGGTGTCAGTGTCGTCGTGGGCGTGTCCGGCGACAAGAAGTCCATCTGGGTCAGGCCTCTAGCCGATGTGGCCAGGTCCTGGGAGTGGATGGCAGCGTAGGTCAGAGTGAGCGGGTTCGTCAACGCCGTGATCGGCGTCGGGACAAACGAGTAGAAGAACATTGTGATGATGCCCGCCAGTCTCCTGGGCAGCACCAACAATGGCAGCCGGATGACCAGCGCCAGCAGGGTGGAGAGGCTGATGGAGCCGAATATCGTCGTCACCGAGTGGTTCAGAGCAGCACTGACCACTTCCCTCGACGACGGCGCCGGTTGCACATTCCGATGAAAGTACCACTGAGAGACGGTGGCAGCCGTGGTACCCCGTTGAACGCCCGAGATCACCGACAGGGTCCAGAGATACATCAGGACAAAGTAGATCCCGAGCCACCAGCTGGACGCACTGATAATCCATCGAGACAGGGAAGTCGAGAAGTAGCCACCCAGAAAGACCCTGGTGAACATGGCCAGCCACGCCCATGTCCAGAGCACAACAAGCGCCAGGCATGCCATGCCGACGAGGACAAGCGCCGAGTTGGCTGCGAGAATGCGGCTCGAGAACTCCAGAATCTCGATCGAAGACTTCAGAGCCGACCTTCCCTTGTAGACGAGATAGAGCCATAGGATGGCCGACGCTCCGGGAATGACGGCCGTCCACCTCATCACCTCGTCCTGCAGATTGCTGCCGCCGTTTGGTCCCTTGTAACTCGAGATCAGGGGGTATAGCGAGAAAGAAAACAGAATGACGGGGACCGCGAGGATGATCAGCCCGACCAGGTACCTCACGAAGGACCGCAACGCCGCAAGCCAGACCAGAGACACGATGACGGCCACCAGCGTGTCGACCGCGAGGAGGTGGAAGGACGAGCGCAGCGTCGTGTAGATGGTATCGCCTATCGGGCCTTTGCCGCCCGTCGCCGACGTGTGCAGGAAGACCAGTACAAACGTAGCAAACAACGACGCCATGGCAATGATGTAGATATAGGCGAAGAAAGGATCGTGCTTGAATATCTCGCCATCCGAGGGCATCTCCGTCGCGGGCAGCACGTTGGTGGTCGCCGCGCTCTGCTGCAGCAGGCCCATTTCCGACTCGTTGACTGAACCGCGGCGCAGGGTGAAGCGCGACGGGCCGCCAGTCGACTTGAACTGCTGGAAGGCCGGAGGGTCCGGGTCGATGGGTGTCTCTGTAGTCAGGTCCGCGGGCGGATCATCATCTTCACCGCCTATCGTGGATTCAAGGCCAACATCGACCATCTTGCCCTTGCCCTCGGAGCTTTCATGGGAGCTCTGTCGGGCGAGGTCTTCGGCTTCCTCCGCCACGGGCTCTTGGTTGGCCGCTCTGCGATAGAAGCTTCTCGTTCCGTTCCAGCTGCTCTTGATTCCCAGCCCCCGGGGCCTGTCGCCATAGGTCCTTCCTTCGTGCTCCTGGCTCTCGCCGAGAGAGCCACGGCTGGCCTCGCCCTCCGTCTCGGAGCTCTCCTCGAGCCTGTGTGTGGGAAACACCCGCCGCGACTGCTGCAGGGCGTACAGGTCGGCCGCCTCCCGGTCCCGCTCATCCTCGTCGTCGGCCTCTTGTATGTCGCCCCGAGCGCTGTGGAATAGCGGCGCGTCTTGTGTAGAGTAGCGGGATGCGAAGTTCAGGTTCCCAAAGCGGGAGCCGCCTTGCTGGTACGGGTTGGCAGCTCCAAGGCCCCGCGATAAGAACGATCTGCCGTAGTTCCTGGTCCCACGAGACTGCCAGTCCGCCGCTCTCCGGTTTGCGTTGTCCGCATCGTCCGTCTGACCAAAGTTTGACAGTCGAGATTGGGACTGTGCCAGGAATTTAGAGGCATCTGTAGGATTTGTTGGTCAGTCTGACAATCACTTTGCATTCATCATGCTCTGGGCACGACAGATGGAGGCGGTGCAGGCAGCAGAAGACTTACACTCGGAAAACATCGTATCCCACGGGCCTGTCTCCGCGCCCGAGTTCACAGGGCCACCTATGAGGCTAGCTCCTGACGAGTGCGCTCCCTCCGATGCTCGACAAGATGAGGTGGATGAATATCAAGAGCCTCTAGGATCGTTGAGGCTTGTGCTCCAGTAAGTGTATTGATCTCACGGCGGGTGGACGGGGACGGTTTGAATGATGGATTGCTCCATCCGGGTGCGTTTAGTGCTAAGCCCGCTCCAGGTTTCCTGCCTAGTGGAAATGGGGGGCAGGAGCCACTGAATCACATGGGGGATAAAGGCACACTTCTCACCTAATTTTCAGGCTAGTCCCATGCAACAACGCACGCAAGCATCAATACCACCACCAATTTTGCCCCTCCATTTTCAACTGGCAACCAAGTGGGCGTCTGAATCTAGGTAGTTGCCGGAAGTTCATCAGGAGCTACCTCAATCTTAACAATCAATATCCTTGTCACATCCGGGCCCTGGAACCCGGAAGGGCTTTCCCACTACCTAAATCCGATGGGCTTGATGGATACCTAGGTAGTCAAGTACTTCTGTTCGCAGTCCGTCAACTAATTTGACTATCGCTTGGCAACCAAGCCCAGTGATAACGTCACCAGTGTCAGGTCACCGGGGCCGAGTCGTGTCAGTTGAACCACGACCTCGCGTCACCTGTGAAGATAAGCCCAAGTGGGGAGGCAGCGTGCCCACACGGCCGGGTTCTGGCCCAATTGCCACCTACCTACCTAGGTACCTTATCTAATGCTAGAAGGCGACTTAGGTGCCGCTGGATCTTTTGCACAAGTTCCATCTTGTTTGAACGTAAAACTGTTCGCTACCTACCTCAAGGTAATGATAGACCTAACAAAACCACAATACACCTTTTCTAAGCATCTTGATCAGAACGCACCTCTATGAGAACAATGTTGCGTCTTCTCTTGCTATTGGCATTAAGGGCGTCCTACTCCGTAATCTAGACGAGCTCAAATACCTAGGTATGTACCACCTCTGGCTTGGTCTGTGCACTGACTAATACCGGCAGGCGGAGATAATACCATCGTGTACTTGCCCAGGTGAGGTTAAGGAATACCTTTGTTAGGCATGGCGGCCTTCTGCACCTCCCTGCTACAAGTACAAGTGTGTCCCACAAAGCCACAGTCTACCCCACGGTCCTGAGAAATAGAAGTTAACTCCCCTAAATTACTAGCGACACCCATTTCGCCTTGTAGTGTAATGCATGCAGCTTGTGTAAACAAGCCCCATAACCAAACCACCACCTCACCTTTGGAGCATATATGCGACCGAAAACGGGTTCAAAGCAACAAGTTCAACTTGGGCACCTATCCAGAGCTATCTAACTGAAAACCCATCCTCACTCCGATCTATCCGAAACCCGGTCCCGGGTCCACGGCCCTTCTCTCTCTCTCTCTCTTTCGCTCTCTCCTTACTCGGGACCGTTCCGTCTCACACGCACCGCACCGCCTGCCTTCTCTCTACCCGTCCGGCGCGGCCATCCATCCATCCAATCCTCCTCTTCCCTCCCCACACACAGACCGCCAGCCATGTCCTCCGACTCCGCCTCTCCCCCGTGGGACTACATCGCCAAGCTCGTCTGCATCGGCGACTCGGGCTGCGGCAAGAGCAGCCTGACCATCCGCCTCTGCGAGGGCCGCTTCGTCGCCCACCACGACGTCACCATCGGCGTCGAGTTCGGCAGCCGCATCGTCCCCGTCGGCCCGCCGCACAGCTCCTCCCTCGCCCCCTCCGCCACCACCACCACCACCACCCTCTTCCCCGACCAGCAGCTGCAGCAACAACAATCATTATCATCAAAAGACGACTCGCAGACACCACCAGCAGCTACCTCCTCCTCCTCCTCCCCCTCCTCCTCGTCGCCCACGTCACACGGGCAGCAACAGCCAGAGGGCGGCCTCCCCGCGCCGCGCAGGAACCCCCCCACCAAGGCGGCACAACAGCACGGCCCCTCCCAGCCGCAAAAGCACATGAAGCTCTCCCTCTGGGACACGGCCGGCCAGGAGACGTACAAGTCGGTGACGCGGTCCTACTTCCGCGGCGCCTCGGGCGCCCTGCTCGTCTTCGACCTGACCCGCCGCCAGACCTTCCAGCACGCCATCGACTGGCTCAACGACCTGCGCCAGATCGCCGAGCCCGACATCGTCGTCGTCCTCGTCGGCAACAAGGCCGACCTGACCATGCAGCAGCAGCAGCAGGCATCGGAGGAGGCCGGCGGCAACGGTGCCCAAAAGAACCAGAGAGAAGTGACGCGCCAGGAGGCCGAGGACTGGGCCCGCCGCAACGGCGTGCTCGAGTACGTCGAGACGAGCGCCAAGAGCGGCGACAACGTCGAGATGGCCTTCATGCGCGTCGCCGAGAGGATATACCAGAACATCCAGGCCGGCAAGTACGACCTCAACGACCGGAGGTCCGGCGTCAAGGGGCCCAGCGCCGGCGGCAGCCGGCAGGTGAAGCTATCGGCCGACGCGAGCAAGAGGGGGAGCTATGGTGGTTGTTGCTGAGACGAAATCGAGCATGAGAAGAGGTTGAAACCAGACGCACCACCTCCCTATCCCGCACACGCGAGATCTTCGATGTACCATACCATCAGGCAGAACAGGACGGGCCCATCACACAGAGGAAAGATTGCCTGGCATACCTACAGCTGATAGAGAATACCCAGGAGGATCGTTATCATTATTGTCAATTGAGTCGAGACAAGGGGGCCTCTTCTTGGTTAACACACACGAGCTCATGTCTGTACACTACTATTAATGCATAATCACGAACCCAACCGAGGCACAGCACAGAGGAGATATGGTACCGCGGTGTTCATTACAAAAGAGAACGATGTTCAGTCGTATTAGTGAACAGCAAAAGATTTGCCCTTTTAGCTTTTTTGTTAGTGGTAGTTTGCGCGCCTTGTATCGTAGCAAAGCCCCATAGCCAGAACTCCTGTCCAGTTGTCCTTGATGCTGCCTCCCTACCTATCCGTACATTGCAACAAAAGATGACAATGCAGAGAACGGAGATGGTTTTTCCCTTCATCTGCCCCGCCAAAATCAGCACCCCTTATGCATGGGGTGCCCACTCTACCCCCACCGTCTAAGATCTTCTTTGTTTTTTCGTTCATGACGTACGTCGAGTTCGTGTGTTGGTTGATCAGCTTGGACACGCCCGACTTAGTCCGACATCCTCCACGAATCGAACCACTTCATGTAGCTGTAGTTCTTGTTGGGTCCAGTCATACCCCAGCAGATAGGGATGAAGTAGATGTAGAGACCAATGATGATGGTGTAAAGAACACCGTAGACCGCATACTGGAGGGCCTTGGCCTTGGTTCGGAGGAACCAGTCGGCGAGGAAGCCCAGGCACATGATGGCAAAGTAGAGGGCAGGGTAGTAGTGGTGCACGTAGGTGACGCGGGCCATGACAACGAAGGGCAGGTAGTGCAGGAACCATCCAATAACGGGGTAGACACCAGCGTAGTGGATGTGGTCGATCTCTCCCTGGGAGAGCTCCTTGTAGCCGCGCTGCCATCGGATCAGGTACCAGGCCACCAGGAGACCAAAGACGCCCAGACTGGCGGTGGAGACCCAGTAGACGAACGGGTTGCCGAGCAGGAAGTACTTGACAATGCTGTCGTCCCAGCCGCACATGCGCAGACCGACATTCAGGATGGGCCACTGCCACCACTGAGAGGCAAGGTCGTCCTGCTTGTCAGGGTCAGGCACCAGGGCATTGTTGCTGGTCATCATGGCAACGTTGAGGTGGATAAAGTCGTGGAGGAAGGGAGACTTGTAAACACCTGGGTCGCTCGCAGGGACTAGGGATAGATGCGTCAGCACAAGTCAAGTCAGGGGAGTCAAACTCGGAAGGGAACATACGCTTCTCGTTCCAGTGGGCCTCAACGTTCCAGTGGGTGTAGGTATCACGGGGGTTGTTCTCCTTGGTGCAAGTGGTCTCGATCTGCTTGAAGCCCCACTGAGGGAGGTTGACGTTTCCGGCGCGAAGGTAGCAGCCCATGACCTCATGCTTCAGGCGGAAAGCCGTGGTCAGGGTGCGGATGCGAGAGCGGTCCCTCGAGGCGACATCGCTGACGACCTCGACCTTCCAGTGGTCCTTCTCATCGCCAACAGTCAGGTTGCCGTAGCACGAAACCTCGCGGTCGGCCTTGGTGACAGGGGCGGCGATCTCGTGAGAGTGCAGGTTGCGGCCAGTCTGAGCATGGATCAGACGGATAACCTGACCATCACCGAAGAAACGGGGCTCCTCCTCGGGGTTGTAATCGGGGTCACGGCGGTTGGGGTAGAAAAACCAGTCATTGTTGGCATCCTTGTGGTGGTAGCAGGTGATCTGCTGCTGGTTGGAACCCTCGGGGTAGGTCTGAACGTGACTGTGCAGGAGGCCTCCACCATAGCCCATGTTCTTGATAGTGGCCCTGGAACCGTAAGCAACCTCGAGCGGGCTGTTTCTGCCGACCTCGGTTCCCTCGAGGTTGGCCTGGAAGAGAGAGCTCATCTGGGCATCGCCGGGGCCAGTCTTTGTGAGGACGGCAAAGTGGATGGCGAAGCTGAGCAGGTACACAAGGAAGGGAACAACGATCAGTCCCACGACACGAGACACGACGTGGGCACCGAGCTCGAGCTAATACAAGGTTAGAGATGGCAATGGCAAAGTCAACCAGAGAGAGTGATGCTCACAGGAGGCATCTTGAGGTCGCCAAACTTGTTCCAGAGGTCCTCAATGGTGTAAAGGCCGACCATGGCAGTCACGAACAGGCCCACCAGCTTGACACTAGAAACACAGCCGATGCTCAAGCCAGTCATGAACAGCCAGAAGAACCACTCAGGCTCGAAGCTCTTGTTCTGGAGGCGGTGGAATTTGGCCCAGCACAGGACGGTCGAGACAGTACCGCAGAGCAGCATGGAGTCGAGGAGGATGAAGCCTGGAGACACATGTTAGTCCGGAACCCTGCTGCGTTCTTTGTCTTTGGGGGCGGGTTTCATACGGCTGATAGTGGTGTACGAGTTCTCGCAGAGGACCATCAGGGTGATGAGCCAGACAGCCGGGCGGCTCATATTGAGCGCGCGGGCAGTGAAGTAGGACATGGGCACCATGGCAACGCCGAAGAGGGCGTTGAAAGCACGCATAGTAGTGTAGTCGAGTTCCTCGGGGTACTTCTCGCCCGACTTGAACTCAAAGGAGCCATTGTAGCCGGCGATGTAGCCGGACAGGCCAACAAGAAGCTTGCCGAGAGGAGGATGGACATCGAAGTAGTAGGTGTGCTGGAGGTAGTGCGATCCGAACTTGCCAAAGTGGGCTTCATCCCAGCTATAAGCCACGCGAGACATTGTCAGCTACCCGGGGTCTGACCAGTCGCAATGGGCATTGCAAGGAGGCCAGTTACTTACGTGACAATGTTGGACTGGCCAATCTTCCACAGTCTGGTGAAGAGGGCTACACCTGTGAAGAGGAGAGAGGCAATGACGGGCTCCCAAGCATCGAGGATCTGGAGGAAGGATTGGCCCTGCTTCTGGGCCTTCTTGCGGTCGTCCGCCTCGGCCCTCGGGGCGACAGCTCCTGGAGCGGCTGCAACATTGCGTCGGCGCAGAGCATCGGCTCCGTCGACATTGGCGCCGGAGACGGCGGTAGCTTTATCAGCAGCCATTGTCGAGCTGGCAACTGATCAGAACGAACGGAAGGGCCGATCGTTCCGGGGTAGGAATTACGAAGTCGAGGGTTTCCAACGTCGAGATAGGAAAATTAATGAAAGTGTCGAAAAAAGGGCCAAGGCCGGGTAATTGGAGGTCCTGAGATCAGCGAACCTGCAGGGACCAGGCGAGCACCAAGTGTCCGGCGTGCGACGAACAGAGCTTGATGTCGGGAGGGGAAAAAAGAAGATGTCGAAGAAGAAGAAAAAAAGGAACCCGAGCTCTGATACGAAAAAGAGAACACGAGGCCGTGGGAGATGAATGGGCAGCGGCGGTGGTGGTTCTCACGAGCAAAGGAGCTGGGAGAAAAGGGATGCCTCTCGTCGACAAGATACGACCTGTCCTTTTTGGAGCCCGTCAATATTTTAGCTCGTACAAAACGCGCGGGCAGCACCGTGTTCAGACGAGGTAACACGCCAGAAAATGCCAGCCGGGTCAGCTCCCAGCTCTGGGCAGCAAATCCAGGGGCACTAATGGCTGCTATTTGCGGGTCCCAGGGCGAGAGATCCCCCTCTATCGTCCGCAATCACGGCTCCACCCTGAACCTAAAGTGCCCTAGCTTCTCTGAATTTTGGTGTATTCAGCGAGTGGAGGTACCTACAGGTACTCCAAATGTGCATTCTAGCCCTGATGGTACTTTACACACGCATTCACGGGCATTCAGCATTCACTTGTTGATATGGGTCTCAACGATGGAAGAGAGGTTCCTGCAACCCGTATTCCGAGTAGCAGAAGAGCGCTCGAGTCCTTCCACTTCGATACAAGCACAGCTTGCATTGACCGGAAATTGAGATGCAATTCGCGGATTTACCAATCCTCGTAAGATACCGCCATTTCCAGGGCGGCCTGTCAGGGGGATGGTCCGGGCTTGGCTATTTTTGGCCATCACAGTCGATATCCCGGGAAGGCAAACCACGGCTGGTCCCACTAGCAAAAGATACATCCTGGGCCGTCGCTTGCCCCTCCACGCCCTGCCTTTAGCTGGTGATTTCCATGTACATCTGGTAGAACCTGCGAACTTGTCAGAATCGCAATCACAACCGCACGTGAAGACTCGATGCTACTTCCAATCAACCAAACGTGCCGTCTATTTCCAGCCTCGTCATGTGTCGAGTACGGCCGATGCCATAATGTTGTTCCTCGCGTTGTAGCTCACAAAGTCAACGCCCTCTATGTCCGTCTTGGGCGTCAAGCAACCTACGTCTTGCATGTTGAGCGGATTCTGTACGTAGGCAACCTATGGGACAACCTTCAATATACAGCTTGTTTCAAAAAGAAACTCATGAGCTGGCGTTGCGTCAGAAAAACCCGCCCATACAAAGCCGGCTTTGGTTCGTACATGCCTGGGCATGACACTTGCTCTGCATAGCTTGACATGTCAACAGAGCCTTACAAGGAGTTAATTGTTCATTACCTGCTGGGTTCTATAACTCTGGGATCAGCCAGAGAACTTGATCAGTTCCGTGCCTACGGGCTGTCGAATGCCTTGAGGTGAAAAAGAGAATCTTGACACGTTGAAAACCCATTGTCACTCAAATAGGGCAACCAGAGGTATGCGGCTTGCCAACATAGCAAGTAAAAGAGCGGATGACTTCGTCACAGGAAGGTTTTGAGTGAGTAGAGCTTGCATCTTAAGCAGCATATGATCCATGCTTCTAAAGTGCGGCATGACCGAGAACAGCGAAGGCCCTAAGGCTGTGGGAATAGATTATGAATTGACTCAGGAGGGAGAACTCAAATACTTAAACTCCTCCGTCATCCAACACGCTTTCTATACCATGCCAGCATCCTTGCTTTCGAAACATTGTGTGAGTATGATATAAAAAAGAACCGTGCTCTGCATAGTTCGTCCAGTGCCCACTGCAATACATTACCGACTTCAGATCCAGACCGCTACCATCCGTGATACTGCGCAACTGGAGAATGCTAGTAGTTATGGTAAAACTCTCTTTCTTCTCAGTCCGTTCACATATGTCATCGATGATTTATATTGGAAAACTTGCAACAAATCATCTCTTGTAATAGTTAGTATTGAGAAACATTGGTACTCTTCGCCGTGAGCCATCATTATTAAAAACCACACATTCATAGCTAACTGTTCTGAGCTGGAGCTCACATTGTTTCATGATATGTGTGGGTTATCCTTATCTGTCTTCCTTGGTCCAGGCTGAACGATCAATCGCTCTTCTGGTCCAGGAGAGGAACTGTGAGAACTCAAACAAGGAGATATTCAAATCAACAAATGAGGGTAGACTCTCCTAGAGCAAGCCCCGATACACATACGGCAATTGCCCTCAGCCTGCCGGCTCAAGATTGTCAATCTCAACTTGAGCAGACCACATCAACAACAAACGACTCAAGGAAACAGAGACGGATGTCCAGGATAGCTGCATACTTGTCCTGGAAGCAGTAATGAGTGATAGCCAACGACGCAGCTTGTTCCCAGTTGAGGTCTAACTATGCCAACGTTTCACGGACAACAAGAAGCTCGATGAGTTGATGTCGGTACTGTGTGTCCCTGCATGGCTACATCAAGCTCCCAGCATGAGTTGACTGGACGGTGTGACACTGCCGACTTCGTAACTCGGCAAACTTACCCATCCTGTTAATTGCAACGACTTTGTAGGTTACAGGAAGCTCAATACCCCTAACCAACCTAGTTGCCCAACACTAGGTGGTTCAGGACAAGGAGGACAAAAATCGAAGAAATTCACCCTCGACATCGAAAGAGCCACAGGCTCCCTCCCGAACATTGTCATAGGAGACACCAACACATGTCACTGCAAGCACCCCCCTTAACATGGATACATCTCCCATCTTATTCCAGACAGTACCGTCGTGCCACCGTCGCCCTCAAGAAAGAAGGCGCCCACGCGAAGACGCGAACAGCGAAAGAACTCGGCGCCCGTCGCAAACCGCGCCCTGTCCTCGCCCATCGGGGCGCGAGCGGACCGCGGGGCGAGAGAAACACGAAGCTCACACGACAGCCTCCCCCCCCCCCCCCCCCCCCCCTTCCAAGAACCCGCATCGTGAACACAATCGACAATGCAGTGCACACGTACCGCAAAATAACCCTAGCCGCCAAAATTCCTCCCCGCGTCCCCCTCCCGTACCCTCTTGTGTGAGCATTGGCATCAGGGCAGCACGGCGTCTCGGTAGGCACACTCCGGGTCGATCGGGGGCACGACGCTTTCCTGAGACTGCTCCCCTCCCCTCCCCTTTTCTCTTGGCTCGACCATCAGAGCACCGCATCGCTTGATTACGCGCTATGACGATGGGCGACGGACGGACGACACGCACCAGGGTTCATCCGTGATACGGTATGTTCCGTTGTTGGACGTTGGGATCCTGGGAAGCGGGCTGCGAAAGAAAAGGGGGGATGCACAGCAGGTTACAACAGCAGCACGGGTGAAGAAAAGGAGAAGAAAAAAAAAACAAGGATCAGAACATTCTCGAGCAGCCGGTGAACAAGAACTCTACTCTCCAAAGAAACGCTACCTGCCACCGTGAATGCAGTGTTCATATTGTGCGTCCTGCTTTGTAGACTCGAAGCCGATCACGTCCACCATGCGATATCCCATGGAGAATCAACGGTGCCGCTATTGACGACATATCAAACACAAAAGGCGCTGTTTACAGTACAATCACTACGATACAGCATTGCCACAAGTGATTCCCAGACACATGTTTATTGTACTCGTCAGCTCGTTCCATCGAACCTATCTCAGCTCTACCAGCAAACCTCGTCACTCCAAAGAAGGAACAAGCATCGTCCCGAACCCGTGACCTCAACGAGCTGCCTCAACGCGACAAGCCGTACAACTCTCGCAGCAACGCTACACCGGCACCCGCGCACCGGCACAGCGCATGGCCCGCTGCCTGCCTGCTTCTTTCCCACGGACACCCGCAGCTCGCCGTCATCGGCCCCCCATCGAGAAAGGGAAAAGGATAGGGAAAAAAGGGGTCGGGAATCCCACGACGCTTCCAAGAGCGGGACTGACTAAGGTCAATGGTCTTTGTGCAACAGCAGTCTGCGACGATAATCGCGCCTCACTGCAGCAAAATCAGAAGAATGCAGGCCCATCGCTCGTCCGACTATCAGACGACTGCGGAAAAGGGTCTCAATACCGCATGTCAGATATCAATGTCTGCGCTGGGCCCCCCCGGATAGCTGCAGTCCACGTCTTGCCGCACCCCAGGCCGGACCTGTTGTCCGGGGACATGAGAGGGGGAAAAAAAGTTGGGCCTCTAGAAACGGGCCGCATGTCGGTTCCTGCAGCAGCTCCAGGAGCTCTTCCGCCCACGCCCCCCGGCGGATAGCTTCGGGATGGCTGCGAAGGGCCAAAAAAGAAAAAGCAAGAAGCACACAATGGAAGGCCCCCTCCCCCCGGTCTCGTCTCGTCACACGGGTCTTGACTCAGGCAATGGAAACCGAACAGCCCCCTTCAACGGTCTTGCGTAACATGAGCTGTCATCAAGCACGAAGGCACAAAGAGACGCAAGAATGGGCTCACGATGGCCCTCCGCACCCCGGACCCTGCCCATTATCTGTCCCACGTATGCACCGAGTCGGGGCCACCACCAGCTTTGGTGATGGCAGACCTTTGTTCGCCCCTCTTCCGATGGGAGCTTTGCCTCCCAAGACACCGGTGGCGACAGTCCGTGGCAGCAAGTGGCCCTCGTCGGGATCGTCATCTGTCCAACTGGCTGAGGCCGCGCCGCGACAAGTGCCGGGCGTGATGGATGGTCTGGGAGGGAAAAGATCCTTCCCGAACCCTCGCTCGTTCTTGCGGCCCTGCAACACACTAATGCGTCCAGGGACTGTCCATTGTCCACTGGGACAAGGACAGAACAGACATGCATTCTTTTGCCTCGACACCTCCATTCGGATGACGGCAGGAGATGATGTGAAGGAGGCAAGTCTGAGCGATCGTGCAACATCAGGCAGGCGACTGCC